ATTAATTATAAATTAAATATTAAATATATATATATATTTAAAAGAAATAAATAATAATAAAAAATATATATATATATAGAAATCTATAATTTAATTTAAATTTATTTTCTTAATAAATAAATATTGTTAGAGATATTATTAAATATTATTAATTTAATTATATATATATAATATTATATAATTATATTTAAAATAATTTTATAATTTAAATATTATATATAATTATAAATATATTTTTTTTTACGGGGGGCCCTATTATTATAAAATATTTTATATATTTTCCACGCACCAGAAAATTTTCCTTACGTAAATAGGAACAAAAAAATTAACCGGTCGTACCTCAATAATTAATAATTCATAATATTTTTATAAATTTCCGTCCCAGTGCGGGCCACGCACCATCTTAGATAAAATCTTTAAGAAATACCCCCATAAAATTTCATTCACAATTTGCTCTCATGGACTTACGCCATATTCTCTTAAAATTTACATTTGAGTTTTCGTGGAGCTTTTGCGAGGCTTTCGCGGATTTTTTGAGTTACCTTCGAAAAAAAATATGAATTTGATATGCAAATATCCCGATAAATCGGGTCATAAAGATCTGACTATTAAAAAAAAACTCACGATGCTTTCACGAGGATGCTTTTCGACTTGTCTTTCGCCGAGCTTTCGCCATTTGTGTTTTTTTGCTTTCACAAGCATAACTTAGTTTCAGCACACCTTTTTCAGCCTTTTTCTATCTATATCTGCTCTCTTGTTATAATGTTAATTTTACGTAATCTATTTAATATATTGATATGTTTTAAATGAAATATGATGAGATGTGGTCTGGACCGTTGTTGCTGTTAATGCGCTGGATGATCAAGCCATGGAAGGCCAAGGATGATCCAGATTTCAATAATCTTCAATGAAATGGGTCGGTTTGGCTTGATCAAACAACACTTTTCAAGCAGCTCCAGAATCATACATAAGGTAGAAAGATCTGCTTGCAAGCTCAAAATACTTGAGGGATCGGATGTCAAGGCGATTGGATGAGGATCCCATGATGCGATCTCTGCAGGTCTTTCTGATTTCGCGGAACCAAAAACCGCCCAGCTCCAGGACCTTTATGAACAAGGGGTTAAGCCGGTTAAGCCGCTGGGGCTTCTCCCTGCTTTCGCCTTATGCTGCCACCAACTCGTATTCGGTTTTTGAAACGTCCTTCGCCTGGCGGAGCTCGGAAGCTGAAAGCAGCTTCTGTCGCGGCTTGTGTCTGTTTGAAACTAACCCTGGGAGGAAGTGATATTTGCAGGCCGAGAGTGAATAAAAACATCTTGTTCTCGCCGGAGACAAGAAAAATTCTGCTATCGCATCCTTCAAATATGCAATGGTTCTGTATGAATCCGTATGATATGGTATGTGGGATTTTCAGTTATGATCAGTTATGTACTACAGTCTAAGTTAATGCGTACCTTCACCTGTGCCTATGTCATGTCGAATTAAACTATATCCATCTGCAGCACCACATGTGGAGCCAGGCACCTCATTGGGAGTCACCGTGGTGTCTCCATCATGCTTGGCAATCTTGCCCCACCTGAGAAAATTGCTGTTCTCATTCTTTTGAATGATGAATACTGATCAAATACTGATCCACTTGCACAGCAAAAAATCCAAACACAAGTCCGAAAGCATCGAAAGCATCTTTGACGCTTTTGAGGTATATAGAACATCTATGACGGTGTATATATATATATATTATACGTATACGTATGTGTATATAATATATATATATATCTATATATATAACAACTTGTGGTGACGTATGGCGACACATGGCAGTCTCCAGGCAATGGCCGGAGAAGAGCTCTGAGGCACTGGCTTGCCCACGATGAGGCGGATAAATCCCTGCCAACCGGAAGCAGTCAAGGAAGAACCTACAATGACCTATTATTTATGTAGTATGATATATATATATATATTATATGTATATAGTTTATACATGTATATAAGAATTATAAGTATATAAAATTATATAATTAATATAATATATCCTAATATATCCTAATGTTATATCCTGCATTGATTCTTGCTGGAAGAATTGTCTATGTTCTTGTCATGCTTTTACTTGCACAACGTCCCTAGGGTCCAAGGGTTCAGTCGCTGCTTTGCAAGTGTGAAAGGATCGAGAATCGTCATAGCAATTTCATATCTGGCTTTTTCTTGCTCCAGACCCACGTTCGAGTCTCCAAAAAAAACAGTTCTGACAGTGTGCTGAAACTATCCTGGCCAAAAATAGACACATCTACTGACCATTTCACTGGGCTACTACAGGAGATCTTTCCACCCAAAAAATGATAAATGTGATAACAGCAGCTTTTGCCCACAAGTATCCAGGCCTTCAAATTTCAACAAATGTGTTGAAAATGCACAAAGTTTTACTTCGTGCCCTCACACATTGTATGCCAACACGAGTACTCACTGTGAAGCATCAAGTTGTTCGCAGTACTCCCATCATTTGTCCAGAAAGATGCTGCGGTCAAGCTTTTCTTGACGAATTTCATCCTTAGCCCAAGACTCTCAATGAATGTCACGCGCACACACACACACACGCACGCACACTTACTTTTGACATTCCTGAAGTACCAGTAACAAAAACGTTAATCCATCAATTTCAGTACCATTTAGGTGCAAAGGAGAGTGCGGTCGCCCAGACTTGTCGTCAAGTCGTTGCCCCGCTTCACTTAAGTCACAAACTTGCAGGCTGACATGTCAAGTGACTCAAGAGTCATCAAGAGTCGTTTTTGGATGGTTTTTGCCAGATCCGTAGACATGGTAGATAGCTTTTGGATGCTTTTGGCAGACCAGCACAGTTGAATGTCTTTTTCCAGGACTTTCAAACGTCAATTCCAAATATTTCAAGCCATGCAGCAAGACTTTGGCACAGCCGCAGCACGCCGGTAGTCCCACGTCACCCGTTTGGGTGGGAAGCTCCCGTCCTACATCCAGAATGTTCAAAACATCACAGACTCGAACCGCATCGCAATGTCATATTGAAGGAGATAGGTTCGAAAAGCTGCTGAAACCAGCAAGATTGGCTGACCTGGTAGGCTCGAAAAGCCTTTTGCAGCTCTTTCTTGTCACTGGCAACAAATGGGCCATGCCATGCTATCCTCAGTCAACGACGTGCCAAAGGATCACAGGATGATGCCCATGCTGAAATTGCATCTGATTGCACCACCACAAAGAAACTCTGACACAGATTCCGCAGCCGCTACCAGCTGTCAATAGAGACCATCCCACGAGCAAAAACCGTAGCTTCAAACCGTAGCTTCAACCGTTGATGGTCAAGTTGCGGCTCGTTGATCCGCTTGCCCGCAAAGAGAATGCAAGCAGCTCCATCCTTGGCACAAAAGCTCGCCATCTGCCATGTCGACCATGTCGACACGTCGCACCACTCAGTATATCATGCAATTTCCAAGGGTCATACAAAAGCACGAGACATATACAAGATTATACTTAATACTTAAGTATATCATGATTGAATGACACATATTGACACCATTTAACACTAACAAAAACTAACAAAAACTCTGGTGATGTCTGGAGACCTCGCCAGCCTCCAGCAAGAGGTCGCGCTGGCTGGTGGTGCCATCCAAACGTGCGACATGTTGGGCAGGAAGCCTTGGCAGAAACTGCAGATGTTTCCTGGGAATCCACACAGATCCACACAGACAAAATCTAACAGTTAAGTGACACATGTTCGGACACTGCAAACGTTAGAAATGAACAAAAGACACATCAGGATCTTGTTGTCCTGGACCATGGGCCCAAATGAAAGAAAACTACCCAGAAAATGAGTTTAACTCCTCACTTGGCATATCTTCATTGACATTGGTCAAGCCGCTTCTTGCCTTCCGCTCCCACACGAAGCTCGCCTTGCACAAAGTCATGAGGTGACTTGAGAGAGTAGACTGCGTGATCCATGAAGTCCCATGTCGGCTGTCGTCAAAGTGATGGTGGCTTCTTCTGTCACGCTCGCAACCCCTGAGCAAAATACAGCGCCTCTGTAGCAATACACTAAGACTGTCTCCATATGCTCAGGGATGGCGTGGCAGAACGCCGCTCGAGGTGTGACCTGCAGCCACGGATCTGACTGCAGTCACCTCTACTGATCTCGCTGCTGATCTCGCATTATCTACCAACATGTTCTGGGCTGATTCCAGAATTCAACACTCTGGGACAGTACTGTCAAGAACAGCCCTGTTTTGTCCCTCGTCTTTGTAACGGGACTGTGCCAAAAACAAGAGCTTTGCGCGGCAAGCCTCAAAGTCAATCATTTGGACGCTCTGTTTGGTCCGGAATGCACCTTCCTGCATGACAAACTGTACCACTTGCCTGTACTAAAGACATGGACAGAGTCTCAAACAATCGGCAAACCCAACAATAAGACACTACAAGCCGGTTACAAGCCATCCCCAATATTACCATAAATGGTTGGTCAAAAACTAATCCCAAACGGGATTGTTGTTTATGGCACTGGGTACATCACATTACTCTGATCCCAACCAACCAATGTATCAGGGCCGATCACTGCGCCGATCACCTGATCAGCATAGGGCCCTGCCAAAAGCCGCGCTCGCCCAGCACCACCCGTGAGATCAAACTCTGTAAGGAGCTCCGGCTTGACAGTGCCGTACCTCATGTGCTGATGCGCTTTGCCGTAGCTGGACATGGTTTCAACATATATATATATATATATTATTATATTATATATATATATATATCTTTCATAAACGTGTGTTCACAACACCACAGATGTTTCCCAATGTTCCCGCAGAAAATCAACTTGCGCCAAGAGGCTGAGGATCATCTGCCTTGTGCACCTTTGGCACATTGAGCCAAATCTGGAAGCCATGTTGTCGCTCGCCTGCTCTCGAACAGAAATCAAAGGATCCCATTCCCATGGCAATGGCCTTGTTTCACATCCAAGAAGTACGGTCTTGCCTAGAAAATGAGACGCGGTTTGAAAAATTAGACGGCATACAGCACCCTGTTTATTCCTTTTATATTCCTGGATCATCCATTTAAGTAGATGAAGTCATTAATTAACGATAATTAACGGATGTACTAGATCATCCTTTTCCAAAAGTACCGAAAACTCCCTGTAAGTACCGGGTTGTACGTGTGGCAGGCGGCCTTTCTCAGTGCCACCGCCTTCAGCATGCTCGATCCCGCTACCCACGCTAATCCATTGGAAGCCAGGGCTATCAAACCTTGAAGCGTGGCTGCTCTGTCGGATAGTACAAGTAGTACTACTAGTACTAGTAGTACCAGTGTACTGCTAGAAGTACTAGTAGCCCTACTATGTACTACTATGTACTACTAGTGCATACGGCAAAAGCTGAAGTGGCCAAGAACCTGCATAGAGTTGATATGACACAAATTGCCGATATTTGATGATGCTTGATGAGTTCTATCAGGTTGGAAAATGTTAGAAATCCAGCTGCCTGCAAGGAACTCTTCACGATTACCCAGAGAATCGGCGTGTCTGCCTCTCCCTTCACGCATGTAGGTCATGATGTCCATTCCAAGGTGGGGGTGCCATCCAACAGGAAATCTATCCTGAGCCAATGACCAGATTACACACACTTTCCAGATTTCAACCCAAGACTGACCTGTCTTTAAGATCTTTAAGACCTTTAAGATCTTTAGTAGATTTTAGTACCATCACAAACAAACTGTAATATAGAAGTACTGCAATACCCTTTTGCAAGGGGTCATCAGAATTTTAGAGACCAAGTCCATACATTGCCAAAACACCAGGGAATGCCGGAGGTCGATCTTGTCTTGAAAAAACATCGCTGCAACTTTGAAAGTGGAAGAACATGAAGAACTATGATCATGACATACATTTTATATATACACACAACATGTATATGTATCTATATATATATACATATCATATATATATATCATATATATATATATTATATATGATATATATATATCATATAATATATATATATATATGATATATATAATTATATATATATTATATTATATATATATCATATATATATATAATATATATATATAAAATAGATATATATTATATATATGATATTGATATATATTATATAATATATATAATATATATATATATATCATATATATATATATCTTATATATATAATTATATATATATATATATATATATCATATATATATATATACATCATACACATGGATATCACATAATCTTGCCATATCTTGCCAAAGGTCTGGGTCGGTCTCCTTGCCAGTGCTCACAGTCGGGCCGAACTCATCGCCTAGGCTCATGGCTACTACTTGCATGATTCTAGGGTATCCGAGCCCTCAGTAGCATCAGTAATAGTTGGCCACACTCAACTGTACTAGTAATACCCTCTGGTAATTTAACATAGCTATTGAAAATGACCATTTATAGAGGATTTACCCATTGAAAATTGTGATTTTCCAGAGTTATGTTAGTTTACCAGAGGGTAATAATATGGAATTTGCGCTCAAGCAATCTGGGATCTCTTGTCTTGATAATCTTGTTGCGCATTGCTACCTGCTTCATGAACGGAATGGAAAGCGCAGCAGCAAAACGGTAGGCATCCCAAAAAAAGGAGCCAAGTGGCACATCAGGAATGGGTCGGCCTCTTTCTCTGAGATTGCCGCAGGGAAGGGCTGCATCACTGCAAACTTTGGATCTCCGGTCCTTACAGCGTCTATGGAACTTGACATCTGTCATGACCATGGTGCAATGGGATGCAATGGGTACCATTGGATTACCATTGGATACCAAGAGCCTGACGGATGTGTCACCTGGGCAGCTTTCACCTCGATGACCGACATCATGGTGCCTTTCTCGCGGCTTTCCTGGTGGGAACAATTGATGAGTGGCTGTGGGCAAATGTTTAAGAGTTTAACAAAACCCAAACCATACAAAACCAATACAAAATCGAACAAAACCAGAAAGCATCCGAAATTTGATAGACTCCCTCATTTCATGGTGATGTCTTCATAAGAGCTAGGCTATACAGTTGATTAATTATCAGGAAGGGCCAAAGCTTTGAGCTCTCAAGAAACAGCGCAGCCTAATCTCTCTCCTTGATGCCCTTTGGGCTTGACAAACAAGCGCTAAACATGAGCCTTGATACTTAAATAAGGCTGCGGGACGTGGTCGCATGGCGGCTGCGTTGATGTGTCTGAAAATCACTGTGCGCTATGCTCAGCTACGCTCTCAGTTCCTTAAAAGCCACCTTCGTCGTCTCCATGCGTAGCTATTGGATGGTCCGAAAAATCTGCAAAGTCGATCTCACGTGCCTTCATCATCTTGACAGCTCCATTTCGAATCTCAACCACATCACCCACGCTTCCAAGGGCCTTTCATCCAGGTCTAGCGTAAGACCGGTCAGAATCTCAAAGTCCAAAAGGATCCAGGCTTTCCGTTTTGGCACGTCTGGGATGAGTGAATGACGTAACCACGATCAAGGCATATCAAGGCCAAACAAAACATGTTATTTAACATGTTATAACATATCATGAATTATACTCTTGGATTTTTCAGACATTTTAAGAACCATTAAGAATCTCTCCCAAAAGACAACCAACAAGTAGCAGCAGCAGCAAGTAGCAACAGGTTCAGCATGTTCCATTCCCTTCCGCACCTTCATCTCCTCGGAGTTCAGTCGCAGTGTGACCAGTCCTGTCGAATCTCCAACGACGACCTCCAGAGATCTTCACGTCGTGAGAATGCTTTGAGGGTGTGTCAAGTTATCTGAGATATTAATGTTCATTGATGTTCATTAATGTTCATGATCTTTTCATGATATTTTCATTATCGTTTCTAGCGTTTCTATCAACTTTCATCGTTCCACCATGTCTCTTTTTCTCGGATTGCCTCCAACGAGATCAATTGTGGAAAGCTTGTGAATAGAGGCGCTCAGCATGAGGATCTATCATGGGAAATCATCTGCAATCAACTGGAATTCCAATTTACCACAAATTACACGCAGAGAGATCCAGAGAGTACAAACACTTCATCCTGCTTTCCATTCGGAACATCAATGTCGCCTCCGTGAAGGCCTCGGCGCCCTTTCCCTCCTTCAGTGGCAACTTCTGAGTTCATTTGGAGGTCTGTGGCTCCAGATGCTGAATCTGCTGGCACATTCACGGTGTCATGATGTCATGCTGAATCTGTTCCACCAGAGTTGACACCTTTTGTTGTCTCCTCTGGCGTGCCAATGGACACAACGCTGACTAGGAGGTAAACACTCCGGCTGTCAGGCCTTGGAAACACACCGGCTGAATCCCGGACTGGGCATCCTTTCCCCCAAAATCATGGCCAAACACATCCCGTGTTGCTGGACTCAACATTGTGGCGTGTTGTTGACCATTGTAGTTTAACTGTAGTTTACATTAGTTCACCAATGTTCATGACCATCATGATGTCGTTTCTTAAAGACTTTGGGACTTTGGCAAACGCCATGTTCAGAGCCTCAGATGAGGCTCTGAGGATCCAAACATGATGTCGGTGACCTCTCCGAAGGACTTGGCAGCTTTCTTGACGAACCTCACTTCATTGTTCGAGAAGGAATATGACTATGACTACAATGCAGGTCTAGATACTGAATACTGAGTTGTAGGAAATTGTCAACGAAAGTAAAGTCTATTTGCCCCTGTAGCACAAAATGCACTAGCGTGCTCAGGGCCAGTCTTCTTTTCCGCCAAGCCCACCCTGAGCCACAAAGTTCAAAAACATGACTTCGGAACTTGCACTGAGTGGCCCATCCAGCTGTACTGTACTAACCAAGTGTGGAAGTCAATCTATGCCATGTGTTGCTGCATTCCCTCTGTGAAGATTCACAGTAGGGCCTCAGTGCCGCTGCAGCCATATCCCGCATGGACACATCCACAGGTCGCAGTGAGACTCCAAGCACATCCTCCAGAGAGAAACAGTTTTATACAAGTTCAATAGATATTCCCTGACCCAAACACCATACGAAGATAACACGATATAAACTAATCCATGCAATCTACTTGGAAAGGCACGCAAACAAACGCACATTGTCACATTGTCCGTGTCCCAACACGTGCCATCAGCGGACTAATGATGCCCGTCCTTTGCTGCCTTGCAGTTGCACCTTAGCTCGGGGGCATCCTACCATCGAAACCCCATTCAGCTTCTGTGAGCCTCTAGAAGGTCTCGAACCATGTCAAATCGGGATAGGCATGGCCGTAGGCCAATGCAATCGACTCCAGATTTTTCAAGAGTTTGAAAGGCTGGGGTAGGCTGGGAGCTGGGAGCATGACTTGTAGCCCGCTTTTCCCTCCTGGCTCTCTGTGGGCAAAGGGTAGGCCTTCGAGCAGAGCCGAGCTTCATGGAGGAAACTCCGCTCCCAGCCCCAAGTTTTGCCCACAACCCCTGTGCCGATGTAAGATATCCAATCTTGGTGCGCACTCTATCATAATCATGATAATATGTTATGTTAATTATTATACAAAGAGGTGGATCATGTTAAAAGCAGGCTTTACCCCCCAAACAACTGCCTAGTTCCCTCGGGAACCTTGTATCTGTCCGCAATCATCTCAGCCATCTGTACCTAACTAGATCGATTTATCCATGAAACAATTGACAGTTGAACCTCTTTCGGGCAAAGCATAACAGAGCTACGGTGTAGCAAAAATCACCCATTTGGGCGGCTTTGTGAGCGTGCAGCTCTCCAAATATTGCTCACTCCAGATCATAAAAAAGCACTCGCGAAACATAGTGAAACACCTCTGGTAAACTAAATTTAAACTAACATGATGATGGAAAATCACCATTTTTTTCATAGGTAAATCAGCTGCCAAGTGCCACAACGTGTCACATCGTGTCACGACACTGTCATAACTGTCATCAACCGATCCGGGTTGGGACTCTTGAGGCTCTTGCATTCGTGTAGACATTTTCGCTGGTGACAAGGAATCGCTTTCCGACAGCGCCCTCTTTCTCCATAGCTTTGACCTTTCGGAAGAGACCAAGGGTTTCCTACAAGGCACATGGTTAAGACATGTTAAGACCAAGCCCTACAAGGCAAAAGAGTTTATCAATAGACGGCATTAATAGTAACTATTGTGTAATCAATAATAGTCACTCAATCTTCTTCTTTTCAAGTTGCAATATTTTTTTAACATGCGTTTTGCCAGTGCACCCTGGGCCATTGCAGCTAGCATATCTTCGACGCTTTCTCAGTGTCAGGCATGAGCCAAACCCAAATCTCGAACATCAGTGACCTTGGTGGTCCCGCCACCGCTATTAATGTTGCAGCATGTTGCAGCCAGAATTTCAACATATTTCAACCATGTTCAACCTGCCAAAGCGACAGAGAGAATCTGCTTGGAATCTGGCTGGCTTTGGAAAGCCTTTCAGGCTTCCCTCAGATGCCTGCGGAAGATCGAACCACTATATATAATGAAACAGGATTAAACAGGACTTCGAATTGGCAACTTTAGTTTGACCATGTTTGACCCTTCAATGAACTGAGGCCTAGGAATGCCAAGGACAAATCCAAAGCCCAAAATCAGATTCATTTCATTTCAGAAATCATCGTCCCATCACTTCAGGTGAACATGTCCTGTCATGAACTCAGCCAAACAGGCAGCCGAACAGCCTTCTCTTTCATCGTGCCATCCTTAGGCAAGACATACCAGGCATAGAAAAGCACTGCGACGATCGCACAAAAAATGTCACAAAAGAAAGTCAATACACCTCAACACACACACAGTTTTCTACACTTGGTACGAGTACTTGCTCTATCTTATTCCTGTATATATGCTCTTTGCAAGAAGGAAGCCTGAAGCAAAGGGACAAGTCTCAGAGTACAAAACACTAATAATTGACAATGCTCCTCTTTCATTTGGACTCATGTTTAGTCAACAAGGGACACTCCACTGATCATGCAAGACTTGGAAATTGGTAAAATCGGCTCAGCTCTGCTCCAACATGCGCTTGATGAACAGAACTGACTCGCCATCTGCCCTACTTGTCATCATCGGTCCTCAAGTTTGGAGACATGGATGAGGTGATGAACATGGCAGGTGTCTCGATTCAAAGCCATGATTTTGCAATAGCAAAAACCAGCTCGCACGCCGATTAAGCGAAAGGCCGATCACAAAGCCAGGACAAAGCACGGACAGGTCAACGTTTAACCTCATGCACCAGGCGGAACAGCAAGGCAAAGTTGGTCTCAGCTGCACTATGCTGCACTGGTGCCATGACCACGGATCTTAATGTATTGTGGCAGCACCTTGGGATGCGAAACAAGATAGAACATTGAGGTTGACCAGCTAAGATCCAGTCTCTTTGGACAATTCCCAAGCTTTCTTTTCGGCCAAAACTTTGGAGACTTTGTAACCTACGTGCAATGTGGCAGGAAGACGGTTGAAGAGTGCACAAGTTAAAATCAGCACGAGAACTCAATGAGAACGTTGTTTCTTCCAAGCTTCTCTATGCTTTAGTCAACCATGCAACGAATCATTTATATACGCTGCTCACCTTTCATAGGAGTGTCTGGCGCGTCGTCATTCCAATCATCATCCTCCAAGACCTCATGGAACTCTGGAATTCGGCCATTTCTGAATGCTGTGATTTGTTTATGAGAAAACATGGCAAGCAAGAGAAGTCACGCAACAAAGAAGGGCGACATTTCAGCCTCAGCTTAGGCCTCTGCCTTGTCAGTACCGCCAGCCTTGTGGGAGCTGACAAATCCTACAACCTTATCCAGCCTTATCCCAAATCTTCCTTTTGATGTGACAGAATCGCCTTTACCTATCTTTGCCTTATATGCCATGATTGAGATGTATTTCTACAATTTTCTACATATCGTACATATCCATGATGGATTCTAGACAAGTTTGGTGCAATGTGGGAACATGTGGGAACTGGTGGCTCTGTCGTGACAGCGTTTTCCCGCCTCCAAATATGTCATAGGAGGCCCAACCGCAGCGACGGATGAGGTGACGACAACGCGGTTAATGCTGGCCTCACCAGCCACCCGACCTCCACCCGACTTGTCCAAAACGTAACTTTCACATTTCTCCCAAACGTATCCAAACGTACCAACAGCGCCTTGCTCGCCGCTCGCATAACAGCCTCCAAAAAAATGAATCATATGTTTTCTTATAAAATTATATAAGTCGTCTCGATCATCTTGTCTTCGCACCAACATGTTTCTGTCAAAACACTGCTGAAGCAATATCTTGTAGCTAGCCTGGATATGCCTGTCAGTGGCACATGTGAGTCTGAAACCCTCAATTTTCGATCAATTTCATTCCTCTGGGTTTGGTCACTTTGCCTCTGTTCCCTTCACTGCCGGCTCAATTAGCTCCTTCTGGACATCTTTTGCATCCAGCCTCGGTAACTTTTGCATTTTTGAAGCAACAACAATAGGAAGCAACAAGAAGCATCGGCCGATCGGCAACTAAGTCATGTGAAACTCCCGACTCTGAGCTTCTGTAAGCTTGTGACTTAAAAGGTGAGGCGCAGTGAATCACAAATTTGCAGCCCTCCATAGCCTGCATGGCCATGTGAGCAATGCCCATCCCTCTCTTCTACAGGTGCATTCATTAGGGTTTCGACAATGGACTATATTTTTTGCAGATATTCAATGATATCAATAGGATTAAACATGTATAATCCTTGCTCCCCAATCCTAAACCGGCCCCCCCAATAATAAACACCTGGAGGAGGTCTTAGTATTAGGTGGTATTTAGTATTACTGTAGGGTGCGAAGCTTCCCTCTAATACTAAATTTAGAACCTTAATTTCTTTCAAAAAACGATCCTAATATCGATTAAATAATTAGCTTTAAAATCTACAATAAAATATTGCCAAAAATTGGATTTCCAAGGTTCCCCTACTATTGACTGAAACACCATAATAAGAAGATCTAATTTCGATTTCAAAATCCATTAATTTCCTGTTTAAAATGTTAAAATCTAATTAAAATATTGCCGAAAAATTGATTTCCAAGGTTCCCCTAATATAAACACAAAACAAAGAAAATGCTTGATTTTAAAGGACGGACCCTAATAACACCCCGCGTTTTGTTTTTTACTAGTTCTTATTATTAGGGGGTGAAACGATGGGACCTTCATTTTTAAATTGTGTCCAAAAGGGGATAAATTAAAAATCAAGTTGGCCAATTTAAAAATTCCTTAAATTGTGAACCGACCCTATGTTTTAATCCTTGAGGTACGTTTAGTAATAGGGAGTAAGGATTGATCTCCAAATTGATGGTTAATAGTACTACCAATACCAATAGTATAGTAATTTCCAATAGTATTTTCCAGTAGTATTTACCAATAGTATTTTCCAGTAGTATTTACCAATAGTCTATATACCATCTGGTTATTTAACATAGCCATGGAAAATGACCCATTTATAGATGGTTTACCTATTAAAAATTGTGATTTTCCATGGCTATGTTAGTCATAACCAGATGGTAATTCTCCAATTCTTTCGCCCAGGGGATCGCCCAACTCTCACCAAAGCTCCAAGGCTCCGGCCTTTGCAAAGGCTTCTTCACCACCAAGGAGGTCGGCCTGGCTTTGCTTCAGATTTCTTCAGGTCCGAGGCTGGAAAACCATAGAAAGACCACAGAAAAACCAGAGAGAAATCAAAAAAAACTGTAGACCAACCATTAATTGAGCAAAACCTCTGTTTGCCATTTATTATCATATATCTCTGCTTACTTTAGACCCGGACCAAGATCAAACTGTATCTTCCAAAGATCAGATTGCCACTCCCCCAGCATCAACTCTTCCAAGAGTAAAATAGCCAACCAATTGAGCACAGTGGACCCAACGCCACGTATGAGTTTGTCTGAAAATAGATAAAATAGGGAACCTCAAAATCCCAGGCTTTGTATTGGTCTATCATGATGTTCCCCACATTTCCCCACTATAAAGGCATTTTTGGTGCATCAAAAATGCACCTCGCAGAGCTCTACTTGAGGAAATACCCGCTTCATCATGGCAACCTCGGGGTCAAAGCGATCAGAAACAGCTGAGAAATCATTGATATCCTGTCAACCCATGTCAACGCTTCTGCTTTTAGATCAAATTAAACGATCTCAAAATATCTTGTTGTACAGTGAAATTGCGATCAACCAGCGATCAACTGCATCTTGAGAATATACCTAGCCTTATCTAGCGTTTGAACCAAGAGGTGTTCATCGCCATTCAGTCCTGTCAGTTCCGTCCTATCGAAATGGCCTATCTGCACCAGCCTTGGGATCGCTGGAATCCACAGAGCGCACCGTGCCCTTCACCTCGCCATCGATTCGCCAGGGATTCGCGGTATGGGTTGCTATCTTCTGGAATGATCATTCCGGGGAGCAAATCTTCGCTCCAAGAAATCATCCATTCAGTGTATTTCAGTGTGTCTTTGGAGAGAGTAGATAGTGGTCGTTGATCGCCAGACTGCGCTCTGTGATGGGTGGCACATTAACGCACACAGGCAGTCCAGCAATCGAGATCCGACTTCAATGGTAAGTTACAAACCTCTTCACTGCCCGAGAAATTCTAAGATGCAGTTGGCTTGCGAATGGTTGTGTTTCGGAATGGACATTCTAGGCACAGTCGTGGTTGCAGACCACTTCTGCCATTTTCAGTTACACTGCTGCCCAACACTAATTGCTGCCTGATCTGTCCAACATGTCTTGAAAAATCGCTTCACTGGAGGGAACCTTGACTTGGATGTTCATAGTGCATAAGGATTGTCAATGTTATATCATGTTATATCATGTTATATCATGTCATATCATATGTCGTTATATCAATTTTCCTGATACAGTAATACTATTATTGATGAGATCTAACTAGCTATATAATTAGTTCATGCTGTTTTTTGCATCAGGTTTGTTGCCAGTGCTAGCATTGACAGAGCTTTGCCAGCTCTGGAAGTGACCGTGATGACTCGTATGTTGTCGGCCAACACCACACACCACAAAACTCGTCGCCTTCTTTGCTAACAGTGGTGTATTCAGTAAATGTTGGCAGAATGTTGGCAGTGGTGTATTCAAAAACATCGCAATTCATGGCGAGCCGAGGCCTTGTAGCCCTCCGAGAGCAGTCTGCGCACAACGCTCCTGGGAGGCATATGTCATTAATGCCCAAATAAACAAAAAATATCAAAAGATTTCAACACCCAAGAAAAACGGGCCAAACCCTAATTGTGGCAGTACAAAAGATATATCTAGAAAAAAATGGAGATAATTTTCACATATTTTCACATCTTGTCACCATGGCCAAGGCACGTTGCCACATAGCCAGCGCAACCTGTGACCAACACGGTGGGTTTCACCTGGATCCACTTCTCAGCGCCCTGACAGGAAATTGACATCGTCCGCACTTCGCTTCTCTGTCAGTGCAAACACAGTAAAGAGATGTAAAATGTAGTAAGGATTCAACAAGCAAAGGGCAAATATGGGCAAATTGAATAGCCTTCCTATTTGAGTTGACTTCTCATCCTGCCTTCGCAGGAGTGGCTTTTCCACCCTTGCCACCTCGTCCAAAGTGCTAAATGACATCCTTTGAAACAGGACGGAAGCAGTGATATCTTGGGCAAAACCCCAGAGATTTTCAGCTCCAAGCTTCCAAGAAGTCCGCCATTCTTTCAGAAAAAGATACTCTTTGGCATGAGAAAGGTCACACTTTAGAAAGAAAATGAAAGAAATACACAAAAAACAAATTATAAACGTGATAAATATGATAATAATAGATGAGCTGTGTTTTTTGTTGTCTGGGCCTTTATACCGCTGCTTTGCCTACGCCACTGTCTACGCAATGCCTACGCGGCCACAGTGGGAGCCTACGCGGATCATACCTTTGAAGGTGTGTAAAACGATACCACAACGTACTTGTTTGCCTACGCCATGAAATCTGGAATCGGAACTTTTGCTTACGCGACCACAGTCCCATCAACACTTTGCTAAGTGGCAATGTTTGCGGCACCCTGCAGGGGCACCAGCCAGCAGGCTTCAAACCGCACTCTGCTCTGCAGCAGCACAAGCACCCAGACTCCAAAGCGCCCATAGAAATCTTGCAGCCACGCCAGCTCCCAGGTACCAAAGCGCACACTAAAGATTTGGCAGATAGATCACTGAAGGCTCAGTAGTAGCTTTTGACTATGCTGGAGTCAAGCCAAGCAACGTGTTCGACTGTCACTAGCTTGGTGTTTCGACGTGCCGAAGGGCAGTTCTAGACAGCTCAATGCGTCGAATATGGACTCATTCGCACGTGGGTGGTGGTCGGTCTGTGCACCCGAGCCTACGCGGTGCCTACGTGAAGTCTACGCGAAGCCTACGCCTGTTCCAGGGGTCCCCCGGCAGAAATCTGGTGAAACATTCGGCTCAAGCAAGAGCCTTATGGCCCTTACAGCAACAAGCAGGTGGAAAGCGAAGAACATCTAGACTCCAGTTGGCATGGACAGCTACAGTAGCAGTTTAAGCTGCTCCGCTGCCCCGGGTTCCACGGTTTGCTTGTATAGACGACTATCCATGAATGAACCTGGTGCCTTTGAACCTTTTGTGAATAACATTGGATCAATTTTAAAGCGTGAGATTGCAACGCCGATCATGTACGAGCAATTGAAATATTAATTGTCGCCTATGCGAATCAGAAATATTTGGAACCTTGAAAAATGCCTACGCCAATCCTACGCAATCCTTATGCCAGCCATGTAAAACCACACCGAAAGCAACATCCAGTTTAAGCTGCAGAATGCTGCAGATAAACCCCTTCATATTCAAAAAAACGTAGCTCAGATGGCATTCCAATGAAGCCGCTCCGGATTTCAATTCTTCGGATCTCATCCATCCTGAGCCGCGGGCCCTTGGTGGCTGTGCTAGCGGCCTGCAAATGTTCACCATCTCATGAATGATTCAAAAATCAAGAGTCTGAGCATTGCCTCAAGATTTAAAAAAGTCAGGCGCCTTTCTTCTTCTTCCAGCCAAAAGCAAATCGTCCAGAAGTGTCTATAGTCTGCTTCGGCAGTCATTTTAGTCATATTTGACTCTTGCTTGTCTGTACAGACCTACCAATACTAAAGCTGAACGGATCTACGATCACTCTAAGGCGACCCAGGCCAGTGCTGAGCTTGCGAACTCTTGGCTGCATCTGTACACTGCACAAAGGTTGCCACAAGGGCTCCATGTGAAGACTTCTATGCATTTAAGGCTCATAGCTCACCTTTGACACCTTTGGGATCCTTTGGGCCTGTTGGGTCCTACTTTGTCACATCAAGACTTTTGGCTGGCAGCTCACAACGTCGATAGCCTTCGCGCAACTTGCGCATGATCTCGCAATCTTCGAACTCTGCCTTGCTCTCCACCTTCTTCTGCTGCAAGACATCCAAGCTCTCCCCAGTAGCAAGCCAGTCTTCCAAAGCTGCAATCTCACGCAGCTTCTTCTTCATCTTTCGCGCCTTGCGCTCTTCATCTTCAGTCAAAGCAGGCACACGAGGCTTCCATGTTTTACTTGCCTTGGTTGACCACTGGGTTGACCACTGGGTTGACCACTGGGTTGACCACTGGGTTGACCACTGGGTTGACCACTGGGTCGACCACTTCCAGTGCTGCTGCTGCTTGGGGACTGGTGCTGCTGTTGAAGCTGTGCTCACATCTGACTGACCATTGCTGGCCGTCTCACTCTTGGAATCGTCTCCCTTTGGTTTGCTCGGCCCGCTGGGCACTTGGGATTGCCGCACTGGCCTGGTGGGACAGTTCAGCTTGGTGTGACCCTCAAGTTTGCAGTAAGCACATTGCCGCAAGAGCGGACACACTGCAGCAGTGTGACCGACAGTCTTGCAATACTTGCAGGACTTACTGCTGCGGAAGAAGGGTAAGTTGGGACAAGAAGCTGCACGGTGTCCCTCACCCTTGCATCGGGAGCAAATGGCTTCAACTGCTGTCATAGCAAAGAAGTCGAGCGTTTCCTGGGGAATACTGTATAAGTTGAGCTTGAGCCAGAATGCTCATTGATAGGAGTATGAATCTAAAAATCAAGTCTGAGCCTTTCAATACTACTCCGGCCTGTTGTCAGTTCTTTTGGCATAGAATGGTACGGTGCTTGGGAATTGCTTGACCTTTTGTGATGCTCTGCTTGTCTTGAAAGACCCTGAAGGGATCCTGGCCTTGCCACCTTTGCCTTGGGGCAGCCGGGCAGAGGCAAACAAAGCATGACATGCGAATCGAATAGCGCGAATTCTCATGACTTCTCATGACCTCTCATGACTTCTCATGACTTCTAGCGCTTCAATCTCCAAACGGTTTATTGATGCCAGCTTTCTGAAGATCTGCATAGATCAAAATTGAGAGAAAGTGAAAGTTGAGGCTTCCTGGCTGAGACCAAGGCCTTTGCCAGCAGCCTTGGCACCTTTTCCTTTGTCTTTGCCGCCTTTGGTAGCTTTACCTTTGCCCTTGGGAGCACCCATGGCAAAGCTTCGCGGCTGGAGCTTCAATGCCGGTTGGTCTTAAAGTCCAAGCTGGAAAGTTGAGCCATACCGAGTCAAACGTTTTCAAGCTCCCAGCATCTCGCAGCATTTCATGTTGGAAGCACAAACAAGACTTGGACTCGTTGTTTTGCTGTGGGATATATCATACTCAATCCAGCCTGCACACCCAATGCTCTTATTCTGTGAAAAAAAAACTTCCAAAAGCAGAGTTCACACTGTGAGCTATGCCCAGTGAACATTAATACTATAGTCTCCCCTTGCGATCCAACGTTCTGCACCCTCTGGCAGTTGCGTTGGCCTGGCTCATACAGCTCTTAGAAACCCGCTGGGTCATTTCACATCGTGTTCCCACTGGTTCCCACGGTCTGTGGCTTAAAATCCGATAGGCCAGCATTTTTCCTGAAGGCAAAAGCTGCCGTCGCCAGTCCAGTCACAGTAGCCACCTGAGCGACATAGACCCCATTTAATAATTGTTTAATACATCTTACCATCTGGTTATGACTAACATAGCCATGGAAAATCACCATTTTTAATAGGTAAACCATCTATTTCTATGGGCCATTTTCCATGGCTATGTCGAATAACCAGAGGGTAATACTAAGCTCACTTTTGGCGGATCAAATTGCTTCACTGAACCCACTCCATGACACCATGTTCAAATCCAAAGGGATGCGCTGGTGACAGACTTCTCATTCAAAAGACCTCTGTCTTCAACGTGCCATTGGACTGTGCACGTCCCCGGGCACTGCAGCGCATCTTTTCATTCTTTTCATCTGCGACGCCAAAGCTGAATGAGATGCCAAAGCTCAAAGCCCCTTGGGTCTTCCAACTTTGACTTCCAGCAAGTCATAGATGCGATGATCCGCACAATATCAGCCACCTGCATGAAGCTTTGATCTCACCGTTTGCACTGGCCGTGCTTCCATGATATCAATTGCGTGGAGCAGCCTGATGTGATAGAAGCATGTAGAAGCTGCTTTCTGATATGCAATAGCATTTTGAACCAAGCTACGAAACACCAAAAGAGGAGTAGCAAAGCCATACTTCCTGACAAGATCTAACCGGTCCGTTGATTTTGCAAAAATCATCTGACTTTCTGCCAAAGTCATCACAAGTCGTCAAAAAAGATCAGCCACAAGTCTTTTTTTGCGGAGGTCGACTGAGTTTGTCTCCAAGACTTGAGATATTTGAGATCTGATTGATCTGATCGCCTTTGAAAGTTGAGAAACTGTTTTCTTTCCCTTGCCTGCCAGCATCAAACTCAGTGTGGAAAGCTCTGATACACAAAAGGTGGTTGAAGGCTTCAAGGGCGAGCGTCCAATTGATAAGCACAGCTCTACGCGGCTTGCGGCGCAATAGCCTTGATAGAGGACTTGGTAAATGTGCGCCTTGGTCTCCATGGTGGAATATGCCACGTCACTGCAATCCCCAAAGCTTTACCATGTGGCTCTGTTATGGCTTCAATTGGCTTCATAATTCTTTGTACCGTCTCTGTCGCCAAGTTATCCAAGTTTCAGCTTTGTTTGCGGTCGAAGTCCCAGATTCAGCACCGGACACAGAAATTGCCTCGGAAAATTGTCACCCACATCGCACCTGTTTCCCAAGTAATCCATGATAGTTGCTATGTCGTGAAGGGCACCGAAGCCAAGGCACAATGTGACCCACTGTAATGCCTTACCGCAACGGATTCGTCGGATCCCATGAGTCTGTGTCACTGTCTGCGCGTGAATTTTGCCACTCCCGGTTGGACATAGTTGGGCACTTAAATGAGATAAGGTCATAGCAAATGGAGGAAACGACACTTTAGGCGGTATGCTATGTTTTGCGACTTATGCAGTGTATGTGCCAGCAAGTCTTATGCACGAGAAGGTAAAGAGCAAAGGGAAATGACCAACAGGGGCTTGAAGGAGAACCTGCACAAACCAATGTTGCAGCTTGTGGCTTACATGGAATGAATGACATAATTTGTAAACAGCAGCCTAGTGTAGCCTAGTAGAAAGGAGCACAAAACAACCAGTGTCTCAATGCTATTAAACTGCTATTAAACTGCTATTAGATGCTATTAGATGCTATTAGAACATTTAGAACACAGAAGTCATGGCTGTGATAGGTTTGTATTTTACACGTAATTTTTGCCAAGGCACTGATGAAGTATGCGTGAATGGGTGCAAGTCCGGTTGCAACCGCTACAGAGACGCTGGGAAAGAAGAGAGAAGGGAGCCAAACAACGACCTGAGCGCCAGCCAAAAACTTGTTTCCTGCAATGCCAAAATGCCTGCGACTGTCTAAAATGTGTAACTTGGCAATCAAACATTATAGACCAAGCAGTGGCCAAAAATAATTGTCGTCTACGGAATGACATCGGAACAAGAAACTCGCCAAGCAGCAAAAGGCCGACAAAAACTGAAACAGCCTGGCCTTCCTTTGGGTACATTTCGGGTACATCAGTGATGCCGACATATGCCGACTCTTACCCAAACGCGGTGCTGCTTGGCAACTGCCCCGATCGCTTCCAAAACGGCGATGCACGTGAAGCTCCTTCAGACTTCATGCGATATCATGCGATGGCAGGCTATAACATGTTGACAACACTCAAAGCCATTGTATTGTAAATCAGTTTAAGATCATTTAGGATAATTTGATATAATTTGAGTATTTTAGCATATTTCAAATGAACATATTCTAACTCGAACCAAACTCATATTGATTCAACGTCGATTGTGTTCAATGCCATCAGCAGATCCTGCAATGCTTGTTGAGCTGCGGCCGTCTTGATAGCATCCATGCAACGTGTAGTGCCAAGAGGCCGCACAGTATGAAGGGCAAAGAAATGACTCCTGCAGGTGGGTTCCACTAAGGCTTCCACTGAGGGGAATGTATGTGATTCTTTTATATGCTTTTACAATTCAAGCAGAATCCACTTGATCTTGAGTGCTACATAGTGCTACTGGGTGTTTCCAGGGCTCCACTTCAAAGATGTGAAATTCATCCAGCACAACATTGTGGTGAACCTCCTAAGCCCATGCTATGCACACTGCAAGGCAATTCACAACATTTTTGACAGTCCTAGCGCTGCAAAGACCACGTTGTAGAGACCATGGCAAGCAGCAATGTCCGAACGTTGCCGCACCACTGATGCGTTCTGGAGGCCTTGTCGCTGGATCATCTGGATCATCTGGATCATACTGGATCCAAGATATCCAAGTCAGCTTTTGTTTCTCATTAGCAACAAACACATGCGGCTATGCAGAATTGGGTAGCCCATGATTAATTGGATAACAATTACACAAAATGATCAAATCTGGGATTTCAATGGATTTTGTGGGTTTTAGGTTGTGACTCATTGTGACTCATTCCCGGATGTGCACACACGCTTGGCCCCGAACCCAGTACGTCGACCTGGCAGAGCTCTGACTCGCCAGGTGGATGCACCGTCCAGAAGCCCAGGCCTTGGATGACCAAGTTGTGAGAAGTTCAAACATCTCAAGGGTTAAGAAATGTTAAGCCATACATCAGACATCAAGAGAAATCACAATAACAAAATGAACACATACTACACTATGTATAATATATGCATATATATAATGTCTTATATAGCTAACATGAAGTGGCATGAAGTGGCTACTTGCTGACGAGCCTGACAACACGAGCAGTAGTCCCAGAATAGCCAGGGCTAGCATGGCAATCTCCGCTGCAACTGTCGGCCAGTCCGGTGAAAAGTCGGCCAGTACCTAACACAGCAAAAAGACTTCTCGACCACTCATCAGAACAGGTTTGATGCAAATTGGAGCATTGAAGGGTTTCTTCAGCCGGCATCAACATTGACATGGGAAACTATATTACCATGAAGGAAGTGAGGCATGAAGGAGGTAAGACAAGGTAAGTGTTTCCCTGCCTCACTCTCCTCTGAATCCCCAGAGATATCCGCGGCTTCCGCCATGTTCCCACCGCTCCATGACTTATTCCATGGACAAACTACAGGCCAGTGGGATCCAGTGGGCGTGTAGCATGTCTTTCTCGAGGCTCAAAGTGGCTCACTTGGGTTTAAAACAGGCCAAATTGATGAAAAGTGATGAGAAGATCTGAGAAGCGCATTGTGCCAGATAGTGCCAGATATTGCAAAGTTGGAATGATGGCAGCTCTCAGCACCAGCTCAAACATTCACCATATTCTAGATTCCGCCTTGAACAACGAGTCTGGGCTCCAGAAAAGTATGGCACTGACGTGCACTGGTTGTCCATCGAAAAACTGCACCAGTAGATTAAGATTAATTAACCCAACAGGAGGGCATGTAAACTGCCTTATCTGCCTTTCACTAGTCATTCATCTTACACAAACATCTTGCGGCCACGAGTCGTCACTGTAACTGAGGCTGCTGCAGCTTAATTTGTCGCTGGGCTCCGTCAGTCTGGATCCAGCCAGTCGGTGTACCTTATAGTGACGTCACGAAGTAACTTTCACTGCAAATTTCACTGCAAATTTCACTGCAAAATCTCACAACAAAATCCATAAATCGGAAAGTCAAACAGAAAGACAAACGCAATCAAGATCATCAAGAAGCACCGAAAACATGTTGCTCTACATTGCTATACTATACTGTGCTGCAAAAAGTGACTAGCCAGTCGTTGATACTCGCACACTGTTAATTGCATTTTCTGAGGTCAGCACAAAACGGATGCGTGCACATAATCCTGCTTAGGCCCTTTTGGCGGACCGCACAGGCTATGAAAAGAATGTTGCTTGGGCGAAGAGAATTTTTGTCTTCAGCAATTTTCTGCAGGTTTGAGTATTACATAGTATTACGACATATCACGCAGTGCGCGAATGGAAACAGCACACCTTCAAGGGTTGGTTCGCCCAAACGCAACGTTATGTTGCTGGTCATGCCTATGCATGGCATCGAGTCCCGGTCGATTTGCTTCTGGTCTCAGGGGACACGGAGAAGACTTCTACCACCCGGGCCATTCGGAACGAGTCAGCTGACAAGTTTCGAAGCTCGTGGCACTTTCCTCACATATACAGCAAGCTCCCAAGCTAGGGCTTGCAGGATATAGACTGATATACCCCTCTGGGAACACCAGGTAAAGGAAAAGCCCAGCAATCAAACACAATGTGATCAACGTGATACAGCAATGTATCAAAAGTGTAAGAGTCTCTATTGCAATTAAACATATTCATTCCTACTTATGTCATTTCCCATCTTTTCATATCGGTGCTCTGAGCCTGCGCGTGCAACAAAGCCCGTGCACCACTCAAATCCTGGTCCCTAGTAGGGGCGTGTAATCAACGGTGGTTAGGCTGAGAAATCTGTGCAACAGACATGCCCAGCCGCTGCAGTTGCCTGCGTCTGTGCCGGGGTCCTGTGTTTTACAATACTTAACGTTGCTCATTTAATATTCAAATAACGCTTTGTTCAAAATACTTCGGCGAAAAATCTTCAAAGTTGATGGATATTGGAACGCAACTTGCGTGAGGTAAGAAAGAATAGAATTAACACAGGCTTTTCTTCTGTGTCGCTTTGCCGTGCCCTTGTCAAAAGTCATATTGAACTTGAGAACCTCCTTTGAACAAGTCACTTTGGAATGAATGAATTCAATAATTGAAACATGCCCAAGCTCAAAGCACCTTCTGACAAGGATAAAGGAGGGGGCCTGTCACACCTCTAGGCCTGCAGCAGGACTAGCTTTGGGTGGAGTGTGGCAAAAAGACGCTGATGCACTCTCAAAATCCTCAAAGCATCTCAAAGCCAGTACAAGACATTCAAGCGCAGGGGCCGTTTTCGAATTTTCAAATCCACTTCAGCAAAAACAACGACATGTCAGTGACAGGTCCAAGACATTTGGAACGCAGAATTCACCATGGCGCCATGGCGCCATGGCACCAGCGACACAAATGCGCCTCCTCCGACTCCTCGGCCACGGGCGAAACAGCTCCAGCTGCTGCCTGTCGTCTCGACAGGATCTTCGATCAGCGGCAACCTCCAGAAATGTCCTGAATGTGTATAATATTTGTATAATCCAAAACAGGTCCTACATAAAAGATCAGATACCACAACTGGCCTGGCCTTCGGCCCTGACTTCAATCCGGGTGCGACTGCCTGCACCTCAGAAAGGAAACTACAACTTGCTGCATTCTGACTGCGGCTCCAAAAACCTGTCCCTGCCTCGATGCCCGGAGGAGCACCAATGCCACGTGGTAAGGTTGGGGCCTTGGCAATGCGCTGAAATCGCTTCGTCCTGATACGCTTTGCCCTTGTGTGTTCGCCATTTGAGCTGTTGGCCGCTGGACGTGGATAGCTAGCAGCGGCGCCCCATGCCTGGACATGAGGCAAGTTGAGATAAGGGAAGAGATGTCCTCAATATTGAATCGTATTCGGATCATTCACAAGTCTAGTTTTCTAATCTTTTCTATATAATCTTTTCTAATTATCTAGAGACTCTTGCGTTTCTTTTCCCTTATCGTGGTGAAGCAAGGCCTGAGCAGAGCTGCCAGCAGTCACGCGCATCTCCAAGGCGTTCAACCTCAGATCCAGATTGCCGTCAATCTGACAGAATATGGCAGCTGGTTTAGATATGTTTGGATCAACATAGATCATTTTCTACCCATCTCAAAACAAGACTTTTCAGAGTGTATCCAGTAGGACCAGTAGGACTTCCAGTCATTCCAATCAGAATTCTCACATCAGTTTGGACAGTTTTGTCACATGATGGAAGGTACATTGAAAGATATTGAAAGAAGAATGATCACAGAAATCATCATCAAACATCCCAATTGGAATTTGGATTCATTTAGCTTCTGGATTTCACCCATTTCTTTTTGTTCACGGCTGCACTGCCTCTCGAACAAAGGCTCCAATTTCCTTTGCTTCCTGAGCGAAATGAAAAGCCACCAAAGCAACGGGATCCGTTTCGGGTCCGTTTCGACATGGTGAAACTGCAACAGAAACGCTATTACTGATGCGTCTGGAAAGTACAGGAAATGACACAACATATATAATCAAATATGATCAAATACAATCAAAGGTGATCAATTATCATAAATATATTAATTTAATATAATTTAATGACTAGCATTGAAATATAGTGGATGTATATATATATATACACGTATGATTACACCTCATTGAACATGACCATTTCGACAAGTTGCTGCTGTTGCTTCAGCCTCGCATCCAGCTGTCTGAGCTGCTGCTGGATCTGTCAGATCGGTTGCGGGCTGCGGTGGATTTTGGCGTGGACACACGTCTATGATTTGAGATACAAATAGATACAAATATAGATATATAGTAGCATTTCACAACAAGACCCTTTGACCTTATGATGACCTTATGATGACCTTATGTTTTCTTGCGTTTGGATACATTTGTTTCATATTTCAGGAAGGGCCACCTGGGACCACACACGAACCGTGGTCATGCCTCGGCAGATTTCGACGAGCTGGTGGTCATCTTTCCGCAGCGCTCTCGCAGAGCGTCTATTGTGTCCTGTGTCACGTCTGAACAGGTGGCATGTTAGGTGACATATGGGGATGGGTCAAAACCCTGGTACCCCTGGTGAACCCCAAAATAGCTGGGATTTATGGATGTGAATAACCCACTAAAATGTATCTATAGGTATTGACCCATACCCATATTAGGTGACAGAAAAAATCATGGAAAAACCTATGGGACTATCGGAAACTGCAACATAATTTCACACTTAAAACTGAAAACTATTCGCTGCAACTCCTGGTTTGCCCGCCCATCATGTTGTTTTTCAATGCACACTGCCACTGCGGAAATGTTAACGTTCCTTGGCTTTTCCATGACCAAACAAACCCCTTCACAATAAAACCTTCAATCTAACCCTAACCCCTTAACCCCAAACAAAAAAATACTGTGTTTTTTCATTTTTTTCTATGTTTTTTTCCCCGTAGAACTAGAGCTTCTTGTTTTCTACACATCCTGGAAGCTTCCATAATCTTTGGTGAAAAAAAATTGGAAGAGTACACAATGACATACAATGACCCTCAGATCCTCGGTGCAGTCCTTATGATGCTTAATCAAATCAGCGTTGTGGTTGTGCGCCAGGATGGTCTGATGCAACTCCTGGCGCTTTTTGGATCATCTGATATCATCTGGACTGAATGCTGCTACATCTCTCGAAATCACTATGTATATACAGTATTATATATATAGTATATATACGTATAGGTATAGTATATATTAATATATATTATACACTAGTAACTAGTAACATCTAGCAACTATTAACCTTCCTTTGCCTTTCATTCATTGTAATTTCTAGTGCAGTACTTACAGGTACTTCCAAATGGTGGGATTGACAGGCCGCTAAAAGCATCTGATCTAAAACATATACTATTCGATCTTATTCGTAATTTTCTTGCCGTCAAAGTCTGCTTCTCAAGCCACGCGCCGGCAGCGAGGACATTCACTTTTGCCCGCCACCAAGTGCAAGCAAGTTATGGCCTCGGCACCAAAGTGAGGACATTCAACATCTGGCAAGCAAGGATTAGGAAAAAAGGCTGATTTACCAGCTGAAGTCTCAAAGAAATTAGTAGATTTCGTTTCAGCTTTTGCTTCCCTGCCTTGTGAGCTGTGGAGGAGTTGACCTTTGCAACTGGCTCTCAGCTCTCAAGGAAGCATGGCAGGCTTCGTCCTGCAGGTTTAGCCCTTGAGATTTTTGTTGGTTTGTTTCCCTGACAGAAAACTGCGTATACTTGGATTTGACAAATGCACAAACGCACAGCACGTGCCAGTCCATGTGCCAGGATATTCTGGCTGACATTCTGGAACTCAGGGTGTGCTTTCCTTAGCAAGTCAAGTCCTCAATTTGTCAGGATGGAATGCCAACTATTCCTGTATATTTTCCAACATATTCCAGCTATGTTTGGATGAGCAATCTAGGCACTCCTACACTAATAAGACGATTCAAAACATTTTGTTCGAGATCCTGAAACCATGCTCATTCGCGGAAGCTATCCAATAGCAACAGTATGACAGTATACAAACTGCTTTGCCTGTAAACGTTGATTTTAGTGCACGCCAGTATGAAACCAAGAAACAAGAAGCGATCGCTTGCTTCTCCCTGTGGCAAAGGGGACTGCCGAATGTGTGGGCTCAAACTGGTACAACCACGACACAAAACCTATGTTTTTGTGTCAGGCTTCAACGAAGCAAATTCCACGTAGCCCATCAAAATGAACTTACTTTAATATTCTTTTGTAGAGGGGTCAAGCACTAACCAAGAAGGTCTCTTCAATCATCTTCAATCACTATTCACCATGTCGACCAAGAAAGGCCAATGTTGAATAAACCGGGCGCAGCTCTTGTACTGCCTGTTCCTGATTTTCCCACGCAGCCGATGGGGTCAGGGTCATATAGCGGTTCCACACGCTTCCAACAATCTTCAGGTATGTCCTCACGCCAGTCTGTACAAAGATAAGCACAGCATTTTGCGTGCTGGGCATGAATGAGCTCTACAGTGTCGAAATAGCGTCGAAAGTGGCAGCGGTTTTACCGTTTCATCGCCGGAATTGTCGTAACCAGGGAGGGGCTTGCACGGGCTTGCGAGGCTCGCCCTGATTGACCGCCTCGCCCGCCTTTTCCCTGGAAATGCCAGGTTTGTCAGGTGGATGACATGGTTTGTCAGGTTTGAGCTTCCTCTTTTCAGGTTCAAATCGACTTCTGGGTGACATGTCAGCAGTGGATGGAATCTGCAAGGGAGGACCATCTGGCAAGGCCCGACTCACAAGTGAAAGCCTTCGACTCTGCTTTGAAACGACATAAAGTTCCTTGGCGACACTTCGCAGGAGATCTCGGTTGTGTGTGATGAGAAGCACCGCACCTTGAAACTCACGAAGAGCAGAAGCCAAGGCATCAATGGAGTAGATGTCCAAATGATTGGTCGGCTCATCCAAAACCAATAACTGTGGATGCTCCATGCAAATTTTGGCAAACAGGACACGCATCCGCTGGCCACCTGATAAAGTACTGAGGGACTGAAAGACCAAATCACCTGCCACTCCAAAGGATCCCAATTGTTTTCTTAGGTCCAGCTCTTTTTTCTTTGGATAAAACTCTCCCAACCATTCGATTGGAGATGCCTGGACCTTCGCAAGGGCATCAGTGTCATGCTGATGCAAAACCGAAACCTTCAGGCTTTGTTGCCTCCAAACTTCTCCTTCAGTCGCCTCCACCTCGCCAGTAATGAGTTTTACAAGAGTGGATTTGCCAGCACCATTTCGACCCTGGATGGCAACACGATCTCCGCCAGAAATCGACAAATCAACATCTCTCAGAGCTGAGTCTGCACTGTTCGGGTATTGATATGTAACAGCTTTCACCTGCAGCAGTGGTGTTCCCTTGGAAATCCGAAGGCCATCACCGGTCGCGAAGCCAAACCGCAAGGATGGATCTTGTCGCTGTAGCAAAGGTGCAGCTGCCATCTTTCCGTCATCGTCAGCCAGCGAGCCAGTACGATGCCCGTGTTCCGAACTTTTGAATCTTTTACCATCCTCAGTCTTTTCCATCCCAAGCCGTTCCAGCTTCTGCTGCTGAGTGCTGACCAAGCTTGAGGTTCCCTTACTTTCAGTATCATGCAGAATTGCATATTTGTTTTTGGCCTTGTTCTTCGCCTTATTTTTCTGTGCACTGGCAACCTGTTGCTCCTTGTGTTGGATGGTTTGGAGAATGGTATCTCGCTTCCGCTCAATCGCGGCAGCCTCACGCTCCAGGTGTCGGGACTTCTCCAGTGCAGCTTCCTCGAACATCTCCAATGTACCATGAAAGTTGGTCAAATTTTGTTCGGCAAAAATAATGATATCTGTACATACTTCATTGATAAACTCACGGTCATGCGACACGCAAAGCACGGTGCCTTTGTATTCATCTACCAGGTGGTGTTGAAGCCATTCAATGGCTCCCAAATCAAGGTGATTCGTTGGCTCATCCAGCATGAGAAGACGCGGTCGCACAAAGAGTGCAGAAGCTATGGCAACACGTACTCTCCAGCCACCACTTAGCTGAGAAATAGGTTCAGTGCATTGTGCTTCTGCAAATCCCAAGCCTTCGAGCAAAGATGTAGCACGTGCGCGCCATTCCGGCTCGCTTTCAGCTCCAGAATCGTTCAATTCCGCGTAGATTTCGCAGAGTCGGGCCGATGCGGCATCTGCATCTGCAGTCGCTTGGTCACTTGGATCTGTACAAAGCGCTTCCAAGCGCTGCACCTCATCATGCAACGAATGAAGCCGTTGGTCGGCTTTCAACACGCTCTCCAACGGTGAGAGGGAGGCATCCATACTAAGCTCCTGGTCGACCAGGTATGTGCTGAGCGACTTCGGCCAGCCCTGCAATTCACCACTTGCGATGGCGCGTAACAGAGTGGTCTTGCCGCAACCATTCCGTCCCAGCAGCAAATGTCGACCATTTTCACGCAGCCTCAGAACCTTTTTCAAATGGGCCGTGGAACTGGCTGACAAACCACTCTTGTTGTCTGAGGATTGCAGCAATTGTTTGGAGCCAGCCGATAAATCATGAACTGGAAGCTCAAGCAACATCACGAGAGAGCGGATTTCTCTGGATTTCTACACGGCAAAAGTCACCTGCTTTTTGAGCAAAGCTTCAGCGCACATGAGCAACCTTGCAATTTCACTTCGATGGAATTCGGAATGTATCGCCCACAAAATGATCCACTAACTCCGCGAACACAGCTATACCTGAAGTAGATGCTATAGCAGAGTCCAAATGCCAACCCTCTCTGAAAGTTGCATAGATTCAGTGGTCTTTCAGTGTCCAATCCTGTCCCTGTCATCTGGTGGCCTTTCGAGGTTTTCCTCCGCGGCCGTTCGAGAAGCTTTTGGAGAACAAGTAGCCTACCTTGGTGGCGAATTCAAAGTGTGAGAACATGTGAGAACTGAGTCTCTAGAATTGGCTTCCTCACAGACTCGTCTCAGATACTCGTACTAGGGTCACTAGAGTCCCTGAGAAGTCTCAAAGGTTGTCTTACATGGCGACTGTATGCGCAACAGGATCTTCCAAAACGCTACACACTGATGCTCTATTAACATCTATTAACTACTCTTAGACTTGTCATGAAAACACTGGCTCTCTGTGCATCTCTTCGCACCAAGCTTCCACAGTTGACTCATCGAACAGGTCTGCCTGAGCTTTGACATCCGACAAGATCTGGCACATATTTTGCAATCCTCCGTTTTGGTCCCCCTCTCACTTCTGCAACTACCAGTAGTACCGGTTTCGAAGCAAAAACTGCATACATTAAGATATACATTGAACGATATTGAACGCATTTAAGTCATTTTAAGTCCAATAAGTCCAATGCTGTCGCTCAAAAACATGCCAGTCTGCCAAGTTGCACACGTTTTTGTCTCCTTGGCTAAGCACATTGTGCACAGAAATATCCGACATCGCAGCGAAACCTGGCTGAAACCATCACCTGCCCAAGGCTCCCATCCATGGATGGCATTGAAGAAGTGGTATAAGGCCCTCGCCATGGCGGCCATGGCGTGGCTCGAAACGACTCGAAACTGAGAAACTCAACTGGCAAATGGGGCGAATGTGTGAAACGGAATCAACATGTATCACATTGTATCACATTGTATCACTGTATCACAAAGGCCTTTTATGATCACTTAAGAATGTAAACTCTGAGCCTCTCCAAAGGCTTTGCCACTTTGCTGGCCTCAAACTCCCTCTTGGCGTCCTGCAGGGAAAACCCTGTCTTAAAATGTCTTGAGTGAGCATGTCAGTGTTTACGGATCTTGAACCTTCAAAATACAAAGCTGATATTGATGCCCAACCACTTCACCAATATCACGTGACACCTCCAACCACAGCTAAAATCCGTCCTCCAACTTCTGCCTGTGCTCCAAAACGAATTCAAACCGGTCCGGATTGAAGGACTCATCTCCACTAAAACCTTGCAAAGTTCAGGCCGCTGTGGGGGTCCACTCTCACTCGAAATTTGTGGTTTGCTGCAGTTTCGTATAAAAATGATATCTTTAATAAAGATGTATAAAGCATATAAAGATATATAAAGTATAATGCTGACCATTGCGCAAGAACTGAGACTGGAGCAAAAGGCAGACTTGGGGGGCTCAGCAGCAAACACTTTGTGCGAAATTGACTCCCCGATTCCTGTGGCCATCCCAAAGGCGATGAACCAACGTTTTGAGCTTGCCAGTGCCAGCTGCCAGTCATGTCCAGCAATTTGCTCCTCCCCATGGAATGTGGCATTCTTGCTTTGCATCAAAGCCTCGAATCAAAAGAATGTCCGTTGCATCGTCGACCACAGCTTCCGTTGCAAAACTCTGTGAGTTCTGTGAGCATTTCCAGTCCAATGTTGTGAGAAAGTGCAGCTGAATTGCAGCAAACCTTTTCCAGAGTCTTCTCCGAGAGGTTGCAATGCTGGGTAACCTCAGATGACCCGCTACTATGACCGCTATGCGAAACAAGTGAAGCATAGTGAAGCTATGAAGCCTCAAATGCTTAGCGTAGTAGCTTGAATGCCAAGTGGCTGCAGCTTTTTGAGCTTCCCAAACTGCAAGGTGGAAACTGCTGTTCTTGCGACCTGAAATCTGACTGCTAAGAGGCAAAGGATGCTTCAAAAGGATCTTCTACTTTCTGCATGGTGATCATGGTGTTGTTCTTTTTAATTCTTGTACATACGAGATCATACGAGTACCATTCTTTGCAATTCCAGCGTCTGCTGAGCACTTCCAAATCCCGTACTCTGAAACGCTGTTGCCGACTGTTCGACAAACGAATGAAAGAGGCACGTGTTAATTTCAACCGGCGCCTCCAAGAAAATTGGATGAAAAACCTGAGCGGATAAAATCGGATAAATGTTTCATTCAAACGACGATAAGTGATAAGTCCTTCTGAGGCCCTACAAGTCCTTCCGCTTCAAAATTACCCTCTGGTTATGACTAACATAGCCATGGTATAGATGGCCCATAGAAATAGATGGTTCACCTATTAAATAACCAGATGGTATTTCTCAAATTCCAACTGCAAGCACTTTTACAAATTCCAATGAAATACAGTAATGGTCTTTGCGTCACAATGCGTCACATGATGGGTCTGTGCGTAAGTGTCGCAGCCATACTGGCCATACTATATACATCTATATACCATTGAAGAAGCTGTAGCAGCTGCATGTCATGCAACATCTATTCCATTTTGTTGTGCATTTTTGCAGTATTATGAGTTTTATGCATTCGAATCTCATCAAGATCATCAAGCAGGTGAGTTGTAATAGAATCTCAGCATGCTGCTGGCTAACCTCATATTGGCTGTCTGGTTCAGACACAGCAGCCCTTGCAGTCTCCACCATCTCGCCCTTCACTGTAAGAGACCAAATCTAATACCTTTGCCTTCTCTACCTTAGTTGCAACTATATATAAGTAGCTTGCCATAAAACATCATAAAACTGCCTGATGTTGGTTTCTCGTGTTGTCTCAGCCCTTTCAATTCCAAGCACATATGCAAAGCAATCTCCGTAGCACTTATTTAAGGCGCTCCACATTGCTAAGCACAGGGCAATATCATCCACATCCTTCACCGTCAACCTTGCATCAATGCTGTGATAGCACGCTCGAGGTGAGAAGTAATCAGATGCAAGTTTTCAGCTGACTGGGTAGTAGCCGCATTCAAAACAGCAACGGAATCTCTTCGTTTTTCGGTTCAAATCAGTTCGAAGCCACGTTCCGAACAAGCTAATTCTCGAAATGCCATCGACATCGACTGGAAAGTGTTGAACTTTTGCAACTTGCCGCCACAGAAGTTGAAGTGCAAACAAGGTGCATATCAAAATCGATGTACACTCCACCATGATGATACAAGACCTTTGCCAAAATATCTTGCGATCTGGTGTATCGCAAAAACTTCAATCATGCTGGAAAAGTCATCTTAAATCCGGTAAATCCCGCAGTCATCCGCAGTCATCAGTCCTGAGTGTGGCCCTGCTGAGCATCGACTCGATTGCTGAGCGTATCTTGAGTTTCCAGCTGCGTATCGAATGAAGTCAGATTTTGCAGCCGAGTATGGCAAACGGAAATACTCCTGGCTGGATACTCTGCCATGGAGTCCCATGGAGTTCTGGCTCTTCCTAAACCTGTCATGATCTTCCTGTTAAGTCCCAAAGCAAACAGTCCACAGTATACAGTGTACATCAATATCATCAATATGATTTGTATAGCAACATGTAGCATTTCATAGCATTTCCATATGGCGGTTGATCTAAAATATCTAAATTCATCTGCAAACGGCCATTCTTCGCGAAGAACAATTCTTCGTTCGCGATCACCATATGAAACCGTCTTACTGGTGCTTAACTGGCAGGGTTGCTGGATGGGTTGCGGTTGCTGGGATGATGACATTACGATGAAATGGATCATTCCCGAAAATTCCCTGCGTAAAACGCACCAGTAAGATCCAGTAAGTATGATAAGTATGAAACCGTGACCTGATGAGCTCCTCTGGAATGTCAGGAATAAGCTCACGGACATTCTCATCGGTGACCAGGATGGGCTCGTTGCACAAGCCATTCGAGTGACGTCGCCAAGCCTCGAGCACCTTGACGCCGTTCTGCAGTCGAGGTAAGATGTATCAAACTGAAGCACTAATATTATATATTTAATAATTAATATACATATATATATATGCCAAGAGCAAATATACGCAATATACATATATATATAAGATATTGTATAAGTCTATAATATATGCACTAATATGCATCTATATGCTACGGATTCCTGCGAAATCTTTTGGATTCCTATGGGCTCGCATGGTGATCAGCTCTGGTTCCCTACGAGACTACAGCCCAGCTGCAAGGCGTTCGAAAAGGGGCTGCTGCTGCAAATGGGACCTGCTGCGAAGTGGCTGCGTTGACCTGTCTTTTATTTGACATTTCAAAATCATGAAAGACGTTGCAACATACAAACATGGACACTCCAAACCAAAATCCCAACCATGATTGCAACTTCAAGGTGCTCCCTTCTGCGCCACTTGCAGCCACAGCACGGCTTCTCCCAAAGGCTGAAGATGTTGCATCTGTCCGAACTTTCCGAGCTTTCCGAATTCAGCATATTCAGCTCATTGTCATCTTGGAGCTGAACCTCCCCGAGGCGAATCAAAACATAACAAAACTTTAAAATGCTTGCATTCATTTCCCTGGCTTTCAGCATACACTCATGAGTTTTCTAATGTTTTCTATGTTCTTCTACTCTGGACATGCGCAAAACACGTTGGGTGCTGACTAATCTGAAACAAGCGGCCAAATCGACAGGCAGCCGGTGGAACTTGTGGCGCTGCTTCGACCGCCCCTCTGAGCCTGGGCAAACCATGAGACATGGACTCGTCGTGAAGCGTCAATACCATCTGGTAAACTAACATAACTATGGAAAATCACCAATATTAATGGGAAAATCCACTATAAATGGTCATTTTCAATAGCTATGTTAAATTACCAGAGGGTAATCACCATTGATGCTCCAAGATACGTATCAGGCCAAGGCTTGAGACCTTGGAGGAAAACATGGCAAGTCTTGAGAGATCTTGAGAGTAGCATGAAGCCTTGATGCATGAACTGCACTTGGATATATGTTGACCCACATTTCGAAACATCTCAGCGTCCACTTTCATCAGACTCATGCTGACTCATGCTTTGCATTGCAACAAAGATGCGAGTTCGTTCAAATTGCACAAGCATGCGCAAACTAAGATTAAAACATATTAAAACCATGAGTGTCAATGGGGCATAGCGACGTCAGTTTCTGTACCAATCATTGCTTTGACAGCCACACCACGGCCAAGCCAGCTTCTGCCAGGCTTCTGAGATAGCTTCCTTTTTGTCTTCGACGCCTTCAAAGTGAGATCAGCTGAGAGATGCTGAGAACATCAGAGAGCACTTTTTCCGTGAGAAAAGACATCAATGAATCACAGTGAATCACGAACAAAGTCCATGATTGTCCATGGCTATTACACCCTGCAGTGCATGCAGCACTTGCCTGCAGAGCTTAAAACGACCAACGCCTGAGCGCCAGTTGCTGCGCAGTAATCTGCGCTGTGGTCTGAGGAACGTTCAGGAATGCTAGCATGCTTTAGGACCCAGCTGTAAACTGTTGATATCTGTCGATCATGTTGGTTAAATATGGCTGGAATGATGGAATATGATGGGTACGGTACAGTAGCACTCAACAAGGAGGCGATGTTGTGAACGGAGCCAAGCCACTGAGAGTATCTGCAGCTCTCGCATCATCGCAAGGCCCGCAAGGCCCGCAAGGCCGTCACCCAAGTAGTAGGCACATCATGGCGAGGCGGATGGAAAAGCACCACATTCTGGACTTTGCTTTTTGGCTGCTTAGGATAAAACATGGACAACCCAGGTAACATATGGTAACAGTCTATTCCGTTTCTGTCAATTTCTGATTCCTTTCAAAACCAGCAAGTGAACCGGGCAGCGTGAAACTCTGGGCTCTGCCCAGAGAGTGAGACCTGAGATAGCTGTCGGAGGAAGCAGACGGGGTACATGCTCTGATGCAAAGACGTGCCTCCACGTAACCAGCTTGCATTCCATGACCTTGTTTATCCATGTTTATCCTTGGCAAGCAAAGCCTGAGCATCTGAGCATGCAAAGTGCTGAAATGTGCTGAAATGTGCTGAAATGTGCTGAAATGTGCTGAACAAGCGATTTGGAAGTTCGTCTGTTCTGGCCATGACACTACAATCAATGGATTGGTTTAAGGGAAAATCTTAGCCGGAAACCATAGATTTTCCCATGAAGAAAACTATAGGGCTTTCCGGTTTCAATTTTCCCATATTTTCCCGTGAAAACCAATCCATTGATACAAACTACATCAAACTACTCTTACGTAATCTCAAGATATCTCAATGGATTGGTCTCTGGAAAAGGACGATGCAAATGTAGCAACGTAGCACAAACGAGGACCCGGGTGGATCTCTGATGCACAGTCCGCACAGTCCTGCTTCAGAGTCCTGCGCCGGTGCTGGCAGCTTGAACCAATGGTCGCAGCCAACTTTTTCTGCAGAAGATATGAAACTGAAGTCACTTGATCTTTTTTTGAGTGGTTATAATGTTTAATTATAGATTATTTTCCCATTAAAACTTCCATTTACCCTCTGGTAAACTAACATAGCTATGGAAAATCACCATTTTTAATGGGAAAATCCACTATAAATGGTCATTTTCAATAGCTATGTTAAATTACCAGAAGGTATTCCCATTAAAACCTCCATTTATCAATGGGAAATCCCATGGGAAATCCCCCCGGAAATCCAGGACATCTGCCCCGGACACGTGACCGCCAGGTCGTCCTGATCTCCTGGCCCCACTGTTGCTCGGTCTTGGAGAGGAGTCCAGCCACGGCCTACCAGTGGATACCAGTGGACCATGGAAAATGTGTACTTAAGGCATATAAAAATATCATATCTTAGGTCATACTTACATGACACACTAGAAATTTACATATGTTTAAAAAATTTACATGTTTAATCATATATATTAATATATATATGTACATATATATATATATTTACATACTATATGATTATATTATTTAGATATTGCATATACATCCATAGTTGTACACAAGTCTATACATGCATATGGTTGATCTTACTTGATCATACTTGGTGTACTGTCATTGCTTGATCAATATAGATCAATGATGATGGTCCTTATGGCTATCACACCTATGGTTGACCACACCTCTGCCGTCAACGTGTCTGCGTTTTCCTGTGGTTGGAGGCCTGAGCTCAGCGGCAACAGTTGCGATCAATGAGGGGTAAAGCTGCCAGATGTACTTTCAATATCTTTCAATTTAGTCTTCTGAATCCATCTTAGTATAGCTTAATCCCCAGAATGTGGATATTTAGTAAGATATAATGAGATTCAAAATGATTCAAATATTTCGAATCACCATGGATATCCAACAGGACTGACCTACGGCCTGGTGGACGCTCTTCGGGCCCCAGAAGGATCCGGCTGAGCTGGTGGCCATCCAGATGAGCCAACATCTGATCCAGCCGCTCATCCATTGCCACCATTGTGGAACCTTGGAGCATGTCATGTCCCATAGATATCCATAGATATCCATAGATCCCATAGATTTCGTAGCCGTCATAAGTGAATCACAACTGAATTGTAACACTTTCTTTTTTTTCAATGAGGTCGTTACAACGATTACCCGAAAATCCAAAGAAAGCGAAAGAGCTTGGGTTGTACTTGTGCTTCCTACCTCTTGGACGACCGAGCCTTTGCAGCTTCACACTGAGTCGGGGGCGGATTTGCTTCAACTCCATCTTGACCTTTTCAGTCGCAAAGTATGATGGTGCAGTACAACTACAATCTTTGACTTAGATATTTATTAAGAACTCAATGACAACTGCAGGTCGAAATCCACTTGGTATCCCTTGCCTTTGACTCAGTGTCAACACGCGCTTGCTCAATGAGGCGTGCCACCTGCGAAGGGAACTTGGAATCTACAAAAATGAACAGCGTTCTCACCATCTATGACTGGAACTTGATGGCTGTCTGCACTCATGCTAAAATGTTCTAACATTTTCCAACTACTAGTCCTTAGTATTCATAGCCCCAATTGGTTCTTGTATGTTCTTCTCCCGCTTACTTGGACTGTGCCCCACATTGATAAACACACCCACTTGCTGTTCAATAATCATATATAATACACATATATTCATTAAATTTCATCAATATACAATTCTATTTACAATATCTATACATACACACATTCAGCCAAACATTTGCACTTTAAGCCTTTAAGCAGCTTGACAGCCTGACTCTGTCCATGACATCAACAACCAAACCTTGCTGTCAGGTGAAAGGATCTCAGCTTGAACGCTCCTTTTTTCTGAGTGCATTCAAATCGATCCAGTCTGGATATTGGGACGAACGTCAGCACATTGCATGAAGTTCCTCAGGTACAAATAGGCACAGTTCGCTTTCAACAAAGCAATGAAGTTTGATGAAAATTGCTGGTCAATATGTTTTTTCCCTGTCGAAAACCCTCAGCCCAACCAAGCATCCGACGATAAAACAATCTGCCAGCGTACATGAAATTGAACACGTGCAAAGATACTAAACCTGCAAACGCGTTTATCACCATTGCCAAGACTGCAACACAGTGGCATCTCCCAATCTTGAAGTCAGGTTGACACCTGTTGACACTTATTTAAATATATTTAAATCATTTTAAAAAAATCTATCTCTGAAATACTCTGATTGAAATCTGATTGAAATCTGCCTGGGGTCGACTCTGCACGATGAAGATCCGATCTTGTGGATCCACACAGCCCTCAATGTCCTACAGAAAACACAACAAAGGGGGCTCACAGTAGGCCAAGCAAAATACGCAAATCCATGAATCATATTGAATCATCAAATATATATATATATATTGAAGGATATGAAAGAAATCAAATATTGAATCATATTGAAAGATATCTTAACATATCTTAAATATATCCAAGGATATCGAAATATATCGAATCATCATGAACGAGTCCGTGAAACTCACCAAAGACATGTTGATCGTGTTGGCAGTGTCGAGCGTCCCCAGCCTGAGGTTGGCCACCAAAAGCCTTCTCCACGTGTCGCCCAGCCTCTGCCAGCTTTGTCAAGAGATTCTGACCTCGAGCCACACACCGTGCCATCGGGAGAGAATCTCCTCACACGTTGTATGTTGCACAGGAATCACAGCAGCTGTGGACGTCTTGCTTAGTCCTTTTTGGGTTCCCAACGATAGCTTTTGTCCTGAGGCAAAATCGGAGATGATCGGAGATGAAGGGATTTCTGAGAACCACTACAGTCACTACTGGAAGTTCCAGTAACCTCATACTGTGCAGATCTGTGCAGTACTGAGCCTCAGACCGTCAGGAGCCTGAAACGATGGAACTTGACCATGCAAGGGATGTCAGACCTTGGAAAACCACCAGCTTCACTGGGCTCTGTTTCGCTGGATTCACAGGGACAAAAAAGCTGGTCACATGACGGTGGGATCCCGACGTTGAACAAACAGACTCGAACAAGCCAGCGCCGGCAAATCCTTCCAAGTCCTCCCCATTGCTGTCAGACCGGAAAATCAGGCACTCCTCGCGCGAGGCGACATTGTGCACATTGTGATGGCCAATGGAATGTCATCTTTTGCTGACCATCATGTCTAAGACATTGAAGGGTCTTGCAAATCCTCAGCTCAGCATATTAGAGAAAGGTTTTTCAAAAAATGCTTGAACAATTTCACGTGAAACGTGGAAGTCGTGTAGTAATTTTTCAGTAGCTAGTGATTTTTCAGCTAGTTATTCTTGGCATTTCTTGGCATTTTTCTGCAGCTGGTGGCCAAACGTGGCCAGGCCAGGCCAGGCCTGTGTCCGCAGCCAGGTGCTTTTGCTCAGAAAGGAGGTGACCACCGGTTCCTTCCCACGCCTGCGAGTAACGGCGACTTATGGCGACTTCAAGGCTCTCGGAATGCTGCATTGATTGACAGGACATACTTTTCATACTTTAGAAGTCTTTAGAACCTATGTTTTTTTTACTGATCATACTGTACTATATAATACATACATACACATACTAATACTGTATCGATTTATGTACATTTTTGCACATTCACAATATCGTGTCATTGTGTGGAAATATAAGATATGAATCTGGATACCAACATACTGCCAGCTCTGAGGCCAGGACTTAGCTCTGAAACTCAAAGCGCGACCTGGATAGTTGCCAACCTGCACTGGACAACTCTAGACACTCAAGGACAAACCACTTCCAAGATCTTTCAAGAATGTCTCAATGTTGGATTGTTCAGAAAAACAGCCAATGTATCTCGATGTATCATGTATCCATAAGCAATTCCAAGAATATCTGTTGTTGAGCTGGCAACCCAGCTCAACGTAGCATCTAATATATCAACGATCAAAATCTGTGTTTGCTCCAAAAAGGTGCGCCACAAAGGCCAGGAAACAAATTCTGGTACGTCAGTACCATGATCAGCACTGGACCAATGCATTCCAGTTTGAAGGAGTGTGACTCACCATACTTCTCGAAAACAAGTGGGAACAACTTGATGAAAAGAGTGTTGCCCGAGTGCTGTCTTTCTCAAAGTGAAATCTTCATCAAATTTTATGCTGGGCTCTCTGCCAGTGTTTCTCCTCTTCCTGGAACCACCTGAGCTTTTTCCGCTTGGTCATCACAGACTCTGGGATATTACCAGCAGAAGCTGAATTCCTGAATCCGGAATATCCAGAAATATGGCTGAACATGGCTGAATATGGCTGAATATCTATACCCGACCCCATCTCCAAAGATCTGGAAACACATCCATCCTTCATGCAAGTTGACGAGTTGGGTGACCGTTGCGACGCATGGGCATTCCAAGAAGCTCCTAGAAGCTCTAGGTAAATGACAATAATATCCAAGAAATTCCAAGAATATCAAACATGTCCATCTTAGGTGGAGCTACTAGTATACCAGACCCCTCTGTCTTCCTGCTGGTTCCTGGCCTCTCCATAGACTTCGTTTGCATCTTGGGTGAAAGGATTCCTGATCAATCTGAACATACAATCACTTCTGCTGGGACGAAAAAACACATGAAAGTTGGATAGAAACTCCTGCCACTTTAACACCAGATTGGAGGCAGAAGCCAAGCGTCTTGGTGTGCAGGACGAAGGCATACTTTGCGGGTAACAACTCCTGGCAATGAAGATAGAGTGTTTCCACCAGATGAACGCCTGTAGCAGGTAGTCTTCTCTGGCAGTGACGTGAGAATCCTGAACCAGAACAGCCATGTTGAGGTCGTAGAAACTTCTCCCAGCCTGGTACGCAGCTGAGTCTGCTACGATTGCAATCAAAGCACTCTATGGCTCGAGTTGGCAAGCGATTGGAAGATATTGGAAAGCTCTATGGCAAGTGTTTTGCACACAGGAACATCAAACCTTCAAAAACCGGCTTTCGGTGGAGTTCTTGGAAGATGTTGGAACTATGCCGAACATGACCAAACTGTCCAATCAGCGAGTGACTATTTAAGTGACTTGCCTTTGCCAGTGACACCCAGGGTCGAAGTCCGAAAAGCGAAGCCCACACCTTCGGAGACTTCGGAGCGACTCCAATTGTACGAAAGCACAAGAACCCTTCGGGCAAATTAGAGAGTTTACAAAGATATCACTCAAACTACGCCTCAAAATACTGGTAGGAGCTGCAAACGAGCCTAGTTATGACCAACCCTGCCTCAAATCCTGATCTAGGTGACTACTGAAACTCTTGGGCCGCTTTACCTCATGACTGCTGGTCTGCCTGCTTGGTGGCGTCCCAGGCATCAGATCGGCGGAAGAGCTGCAGCAAGCGGCTCTCGCCTTCCTCGCGGTGCAGTCAAATCGTGCCGGCAAACCCATGGAGATGGTACCACCCAGTATATGATCATGGTATGGCATGAACTGGTGGTGTTGTTATTCAACCAATGCCTGGGAGAATGCTTGTGACAGGGGTCGGGAAAGGGTCGAAAAATGTGGAAACACATCCACGCCATTCCAAGCCTTCTTTCCCACTGTTTCCATAGCATTTCTCAGAGCCTCAAGCAGCCGATCTTTTGCATAGCAATGTACAGCAACACTCAAAGTGATTCAGCGCTATCAATGCTATCAGCAGCGCAAGCATAGACCTGGAGCATCCTTGCTTACCATCCCTTCAATGGACCATCGGTTCATCCTGTGCTACTGACTGCTTCCAGGTCTGATGGCATCTGCAAAGCATTGATGTAGACCTGCAAAGACGTTTCCCAATCTTGCTGCAAGATGGTCGCTGGTTCGATGCACCAAACAGGTTTTGTGTTTTCTCCGTTACTTGACACCCACCTTCCCAAGAGTCTTGACATGAAACCAGCTCTGCTCGCTTTGATGGGTCAATAGAGCATGCAGAATGATGAATTGATCCATGATATCAATGACACACTAAAAATTACGCAATGATCATCAATGATACACTTGCAGGTACAAGTACAGCAATGTACTCAAGGCGATCTGTGCCTGAGCTTCATCAAATATGGTCTTCGCATCCTGCGTTCAAACACTCTTGCTTCTGCATCTTGAGTGGAGATTGCGCTTGTAGACTTTCCCGTGGCACCTCTTTGCATGGATTGCTAGTGGTACGAGTAGCAAACTGCTTAGCTTGTCTTCTTTGTATCTTTCCGGATGTTAGCCAGTGCTGCGACACTAGTACTTAGTACTTTTCAGAAAGATGAGGAAGACAACTGCATCATGGATGTTTGATGGGACGGCTCCTCGTTGCTGGTGGTCGGCTGCAACTGCTGCAAACATGCCTCCAATTTGGACAGCCACTCCTGCAAATGTGATGAGCATCAAACATACAAGCAAACGCTCACAAGGCTATGGGATGGGCACTGAGCATGCCATCCCATCTGAAGCTCTTCATCCTCCCCCCCAGGAAATGATGTAGAATTCACTAATCAATCTTTGACAAATTACCATGCTTAAATCTTAAAACATGTAAAACTCTTGGCGCACTCAATGCCTCATTCTGAGTGATCAACGCAGTCCTTGGAATTTTCTCGGCTGCACAAGGCCTTCTGCATGGAGCCATATGGCATGGCCTCGTGGCAACACCATCTTTTTGACTTTGGATCTCTCATTGCTGTTGTTATTGTGATTGTTATATATATATATTATATATATATTATATATTATATATATTATATATATTATATATATTATATATATTATATATATTATATATATTATATATATTATATATATTATATATTATATATTATATATATTATATATATTATATATATTATATATTATATATATATTATATATATTATATATATTATATATATTATATATATTATATATATTATATATATTATATATACATATATATTATATATATTCTTTATATATATATATACAGTAGATGTTACTTGTATAATTATACTTGTATTCGTAAAAAAAAAAAAAACATGCCAACCAGTTCCGCAAAGTGAATGTCAAAATGCCCAAGACATCCTTGGGCATCTTGTGTTGAGAGACTTGTGTAATTGGTGGATGATCACATCTCCAAATCTCCGGTGGCAATCTTGATACATGTTATCAAACTATAGTTAATGGATGTTAATGGGGTTTAACTGCATGTTATCAATCCACATCCCTCACTGGGAGACCATCTCAATCAATACATCCTGTAGGAACCTCGAGCTGAGGCAGTGTCCACCGCTTGTGGCGTGCGAATATCCGCTGGCAACTTCGGTTTCAGCCTCATCAACGGTTGATCTGCAGCTCTGAGGGCATCGCAGCAAGTCGCAGCAAGTTGCTGAGAACACCTGAGAACTGCGCAAAGCCAGGTTCAGACTCTTGCTGCCAACCTGCCATTGGAAGATTTTGGAGTTGCTATGACTTCAACACTGCCAGCACTGCCCTTGCCGTTTGCCACAAGCAATCCGTTAAACAATCACCGTCTTTTTGACTGGTGCTTGTCAACGGGCCCATAGATGCACCTGCTGTTTGTCCATCTCATCGGGAGTGACAACCCTGAGCTGATGGTATTGTTGTCACAGCAAGAATCAGCAAATACTTGGCAAATGGGGATGGGTCAAAACCTTGTACCCCTGGTGAACCCCAAGTCATAGCTGGTATTTATGGATGTGAATAACCCACTAAAAATGTATCTATAGGTATTGACCCATACCCAAATATCTGCAATCCACATACAAAAGTCGCGCCACAGAAATTGGCACGCGCAAGGTACCGCACCATTTGCATCTAAAGTCATTTTTGAGGTTCATGTTCACGAGCTTTGTCTCATCTGGCACAAGGGCACTGGCCAAGAGCAGTGGGAAGCCCGGGAAGCCCGGGTCACAGCCGTTCTCAGCTCCTCGTGCCTGGCTTCATTGCCATCAGCTCCTCATGAACCGAGTAACTCGGAGGCTTGTCCCAAGAAACACCGTGCAAACCCCAAATGCTTGGCATACCAATTACAAGAACCCTTAAATAATCCATAAATCTCATGGTGCTGTACAAGAGTACAAGCCCAAATATGAATATTCGTGAAGATTCTACATGCGTACATATGTTTACCTCCACCTTTAGAACTTCTCAGCAGAGTAGAAGCCTTGCGTGTCTATAACGCTAATCCAAGTCAACCATACATCACATTGAGAGGTGGCACAGGAGGAAACACCGCCATGTCTCCTGTGTCAAATCGCGGCTTGCACTTCGGGCCATCCTTAAAACATCGCGCAGAGGTTTGTGTTGAGGTTTGTGTGGGAATGCAGCAAATGGATGAGTTCAAGCATGTTGAATCAGCGCTAGTCCGCTAGTCAACAGCCTTTCTCCAGTCTTCTCAGGCTGACATGTGTGAAATTTCATGAAGCAACGGTGCCACATGGTCTGAAGAATTCAGCGTTTCTCAGCTTTTGACCATCTCATCTTCTTGGGATTTGCCATAGGTCTCTGAGCAGCCTGAAGGTTTCGAAGGCCACTTTTCCCCACATCTATCCAGACTGGGGCAAGGAATTCAACATGCTGCGTGTGTTGGACATCAACATATTATGCTTCAAAAAGGTCAGATGATGAAATAAGAACATACATATACATATATATAATCATATCATATTATATATATATGTACATACAGCTTGTTACCGTCAATTCTTGAAATAGGATGTTTTAAACGATAGGATCAATCGGACACAAGCTACGTATCAACTTCACCGACTCACAGAATGACTGCGGTGCCAGTGATCGACAATTCCCAGCCTTGATCTCAACGGAACCATCAGCTGTGCACGTCACCTGATCCACTTCATTGGGGCAACATGATGACATGGGCAACTCAAACAGAATCCATAAATATCCAAAAATATCCAAGAATGCTGGATTTTGCTTTCTGGTGCCTCCACCCATTGCCCAAGCAGATCATTCTCGATCTTCTTTGTGAGTTCTGAATCGTAGCAAGATGCTAAAAGCACCTGGCTACTTGAGGCACAAAGACATTGAATCGACAATCATAGAATCATAGAATATCGTGGATATGCAAAGTAAGCAAATTTAAGCAGCGCTGCAGCAAGCCTATCATTCTGAACAGAGTCAGTGCATGTCAGTGCATTGAACATTCTTAACCCTACTCAGTCACTACTCTGCACAAGGCCGCATCCAATGCCGCATCCAATGGCTAAACCAATTCCCGGCAGATGCACCCCGGAGTTTCGCGCTCGAACTGCGCAATGACTCAGGATGTCTGGCGCTGACTTTGCATCTCGTACCAGCACGGCCTCATGCTTCATGCTTCGGAGAAGCTTAGCTTGAGGAGCAATGAGACTGTCACATAAAGTCACATTATAATATATTATAACTTATTATAATCATTTATAATTTATAATCACTGTTCAGAAATTCATTATTCACCTGGTCAAACAATGTCAACCCCGCGCCTGCACACCCACTGGGACCTCTTCCTCACCACTGACATGGCCACTGAGTAGCACAGTGGGCGTCTCAAAGATCTTGTCCTGAACAAATTGACGGGTTATGACGGGTTCCTCTTTAACTGTCGAAAATTGCATGAAGCTATGACACTATGCCCTCCTGCATGTGGAGCATACGCTCAACTGAAACCAGCTCACCTTGTACCTTGGCTGCAAAATGTCACAGGAGATCTGAAAGACTTCTCTGGAACCATCGGTTGATTCCTGCAGCCTACCCGAATCTACCCGGCCTACCCGGCCGCAGAGACTCAACTGACATGGACCAAGGCGATGACCAGATGGTCCACGGACGAAATCATCTGCCAAGGCGGCAGCTGCCTCAACCCAGCAGCTTGACAACTTATCTCAGGGCTGTCTCAGGTGTGGAGCAGTTGATCATTGATGATCTATAAATGAGTGAATCGATTCCTGAGTCTCATCAATGATAAGACTATAGTTGGCTTATGTATAATTATATATTGTAAATCAGTGTAAATATATAGTTTTTCACTTACAGTAGTGCTTCACTAATGTTCACTAGTCATTCTTTGCGAATCAAACTGTGCTTTGCCAAGCTGCGCGATGCTTCTCAGCTGCGGTTCAAGGCGCTTCAGCACCAGACCTGGCAAACAATGAGACGATGATCATGTTTGCACAGGCCAAGTGATGTGTTAACTGTGTTAACAAAGTCTCTGAGGTTTCGACTCAATGAAAAAAGAGCTGAGCCCCGAAGCACCTGTGAGATCAAGCACGGCGAAGCAGTTCGATACGTGGACGAAGTACTGGCTAAAGTCAGGGCCAGATAAAGAATGAAGGATGAAGCCAAGGAATGCAACAAAACAATGAAGTGAGTTTTTAAGGTAGATCATCATACTGTCTCATACTTCTGGATTCTCTGTATCGATAGCTACGACATGCTACGACTGTTTGTGAATCTGCATCTCCTAGTCCAACCTCGCCTCATCAACAAAGACCTCCAGGATGTTCCTGAACCGCTGAATGCGCTCCACCAAGATTCAGTATCACATGTAAAAACCATGCGAATGTTCACCTGCAACCAAACATAACCAAACTATAACTATACGAACTTTGAGACACCTAGTCATACCTTCTCTCAGTCTATCTGAATCATGCCCTGATTCCTCCTTGCACAATGTCCGTCAGGTTCTACCCTCAAAACACAGTACTCTCTCAGCGGTTTCAACGACGGATCTGTGCCCACCTCTCCACACCGACAGCATTACCCAAGGCATTTGCCTTGCAGTACAGCTTGAACTGGGTTCAGCAAGCAGCCAACACCGACGCATTTTGTCAGTTTGCTGCAAGACACACTCCAGAAAGATATCAACACTGGTCACTGGTCATTTTCCACTGGGTATCCCGATTTTCCTGATCCAAGGCTGTCGAAATCAGTAGAAAGATACATCAAGAATCAAGACATACACTCGCAGTTCTTAGATGACTCTTCAATACTCTTGAATCTAGACGCGGTGCTGAACATGATCAATCCTATTCAACCCTTCATGCTGCTTCACAGTCCTGCCTTTGGCGCCAGAAGAGTCTGGAAAGTGTCGACTTGCTCCCCAACCTGAAAAGGCACATCAGTGGGGCATGGTGAGGCCATTGCTTGAGTTAGATGAAAAAAAAGATGGAATTCGACCACACAAACTACAAGGAGCACAAGCATCTGGCACTAACCAAAACTGACCAAGACTGACCGAGTGACTTGCAAAGAATCGAAGACACTAAGGCCGACTAAGGCTGCTAAGGGATACTAGTTGCTACTAAGGCTTACTAAGGCTTCTGCCACACGGGCCAGGCGATCACAGAGAGCCTTCAACATCAAGGCGCTCTCCACAGCGCTATCTCCAAACCTGGCCGCTGGAGGAAATTGACACGTCTGCCACGTCTGCCATGGACAAATCATGCCCCGGAGATTCACAAGTCCGCACAAGCCCGCACAAGCCAGAGCTGCTTGAGACTTGCACAATCTGGTGCCAGTTGAATCCAATCCTGGGAGTGGAGTCAGGCTGTTCAATGACAATATGATACAATATGATCCAATATGAATATTCAAACAGGTTGAAATCGATCCGTGATGTTTCTCGCCGATTGTGTGAGCTTCATCCAACCTAGTTCGCCAAGAGTCAACGAGCAAAGCTCGCAATTCACCATGCAGCGGTATGTGCCTACCAAGACACAGTCCACTACATATAACCAGAAGTGACTCTCGCCGACAAGGTTTGGCGTATTCTCAAATTTGCACAACATGAAAAAAGAAGACCCGGTCACTCTCAGGTTCCAACCCAACCACTGAAGTTAGGAATGCCTAGAAATCAAGGCTGGCACTTCCAGCGTTTCATAGCGTTTCAATCGGCTTTATTCAAATACTGTAGGGATCATGTCATCCTTCACTTGCTCTTTGCAAGCGTTGTGTCACAACGGCCTGAGCGAAGTTTGCTCACACCACGCCTTCATCTGCTCACAAAGTGTTGGCAGCCGGGTCTCCGATGTTGTGCCCTCGGCCCAAAAATCGGGTCTCTATCCAAGTGTTAGGAGCAGCATGCAGCAGGCAGCAGCCAGGGCATCGACCATTGCAATCACAGATTGCTGGGTCTCCAGTGAATAGTCCAGTAGCAACAGCTGTCGAATGACCTGAAAGTTGACAGCAAACGACAGACACCTCATACCACACCCAGTGTATCATTATCATACAAACAAATTTGGCGGAGGAATTCTCAAAATCAAGAGCCCTTCAAAATCATCGAAAGTGCTTCACTCGCAGGCTCAATAGGTCAGTGAAGTCGTGACATTTTCTCTATGCAGTGAGCTGCAATCAAGTTGCTCCCACGTCGGTCTTGGAGTCGTTCAAGATGCCCAGGATAGCTGTCAAACATTGCAGGATGCACACAAAGACAGGTCTTCTGAATCAAGATGAGACTTTGATAAGTTGGTAGAAGATGGTAGAAGTCAATGCTGCGGCTCACTGTTTGATCCCACCTAGTCGTGCGTCTGTCAGCTTTGAAAAGCGTTGATGACCTCAAGATTTAAAGTTCTTCCGAGCAGTGCTTTTGGTGAGAGCTTTGCTTCTTAGCTCACTTAGCTCCCTCATTTTGTTTTTCTTGAGTCGTCTTGCCAGATCAATTCACCAAACCGTCAAAGGGCCAAACTCTTCTCTTGGGCCTCATTGTCCAAGGTTCCCAAAGATCGAGACCGCCTGTCGCAGTGCACAGCACAGTCTTCTGTTGCCTTGAAGTCTCCAGAATCTCAAAATTGTCACATCACATATGGCCGCCCAAAAACTCTGCGTGTGCCACAAAAAGTGTCGACCTCATCTTGGCTTCACCACCATCGCCAGAAATATCCTGTAAAAAATGGTCCGCGCAAAAACGGGAGAGCAACCACCCAGACCCAACATCAACAAAATTCAACAAATATCACTTGCATTCAATTGCCTTATCCAACCTGTAACAAGGGATTTCAAATGATTTCAACCTATGGCATCTATGGCATCTCTGGCATCTATGGCATCTATGGCATCTATGTTGTAACCAAGTGTGGTCTCTTTGTGTGTGGGCATTTTTGGCAGTTGAGACTATATGGGAACTATATGGAATTTTATAGAAACTATATAGAAACTATATGGGGATTTCAGGGGGAAAATAGGCCACTTGTATTAAGAGACCATATTATAATCATGTTGTTTTCATAATATGGTACGGGATGGTGATTATTGTGAAAGGTTGCAAATAGTATAATTAAACATAGGCATAAAATCAAATTCACATTCATGATTCATGATTCATGACTGCAATACACACCCCGAAAACAATGTGAAAAAACAATGAAAAAAACAATATATATATATGTATTATCAATGTCACGAAAATGGTGTTTGTAGAAATGGTTTTGACGGTTTCCGACTGTATCATGACAGTACGAATTGGGATAGTCTGAAACGGTCTCGACGGTTTCATACTACAACATGTCGGGGCCTTTTTCAGAGACGGTCTCAGACGGTCTCAGACGGTCTCAGACGGTCTCAGACTATATCCGTTTTTTCGACTTTTTTTGGGTGGTTTAGTGTGAAACGGTCGCGACGGTTTCTGACCCTAATGACTCTTACAGTAGGAAACGGTCTCGACGGTTTCAGCACACAGTTTTTTTTGCTACCATGGGTCATCATATTTTTTTGATGTTAAAAATTAAAAACATTATGTAAATCATAAAATCATGAGAAAGATGTTATATAGAATATATTGTGGATACTTACAATCAAAATTCATACGGAATGCGTGATGGCGTTTTGAAATTTCAGAATCCGGACTGAATGAGAAATGAGGATAGTGAAGCGTACATGATGAGGATGTTACATGAGGTTCTAGAAAGAAGATTAATCAATTGAGGAATGACGATTTCATGAGGTTCCAGAATGAAGATTAAATGAGGGATGGGGATTTGGTGAGATTCCAGGCAAGAGAATTCAATGAGGGAGGATTCAATGAGGGACTAAGATTTGGTGAGAGAACGAGGATTGGTGAGGTTCCAGACTGAGGATTAAATGAAGAATCAGGATTTGGTGAGATTCCAAAATCAGGATTAAATGAGGAATGAGGATTTGGTGAGGTTCCGGAATGAAGATTAAATGAGGAATGAGGATTGGGTGAAGTTCCAAACTGAGGATTAAGTGAGGATTAAAGGAGGAAACCAAAATATGATGCTTTCCAGTCTGCGACTCGCAGAAAATCTCATAAAGCTAGGCTTTAAGGCTGAAGGAGAGCTGGAGACCGTCTCAGACCGTCTGAGACCGTCTCTGGGAGCCTCGTTTCAATAGAAATCAGAAAACATGTAACATACAGGAATCACAGGAATATAATGAAACTGCCATGATCTATGCTGAAACCCTGGGGCTGTGTAGAATCAGGGGGCTTGTGAAACTTGCTGGGTTTCATCGAAACCAAACCGCTCATCAGGGGCGGTGGGCTGGGCCAAGGTATCCCAGCGTTGACTGCCATGAAACAACACACACATATATATATAATTATATATATTGGCTGAAGGGTTAAGGTTTCCAGGGTCGAGATTTAGAATGTTGCTGAGTAAATATCTGCACATTCCAGATGGAAGTGATTTACATCTTGGCCCGAATGCGATACCCCATCTCATGTGTCCAGAAACTCGTTTATTTTTCACAAACCCCGAAATTGACATGAACCTATGAATGGACTTGAATCAACATAAGCACTGAACACACATATCATACAGTCGCGCAAGGCCTACAAACTGCAACATCAGGCAATCCCAAAGAACAACATTTAATAAACAATAGAATCATACGTCATATCATTTCATCGTATCAAAGAATCATATATCATAGACTATGGACCATAGATCACAAATCACATCAAAGACTGTTATATATAACTATATAGTTATAGTCGTAGTTACAATAATAGTCATAGTTATCTATAGTCTTTTTAACTCTAACCTATCTTTAACATTGATACGACTGACTCATTTGTCACGTGATTATGATATGATATAACATGAAAAACATGATATGATTCATGATATGATATATGGCCCTGATATGGCATATGACATGTGACATGACACGACATATCAAATATCACATATCACACCTCAACCGACAGAAGCAGGTTGGCTTTATGTGTCTGTGGTCCAAATAATAGTGTGTCATGACACTATGTGATGATGTATATGTGGCTTCAATTTGTTTTACGCCCCATTGATTTTCCGAATAGGCTTTTGATATTCAGGAGATGAATGAAACAAAATTCGATGGCCCGAAGGCTAGACTTGGAAGACCGTTTTTTTTGTTTTTAATAATTATGTTATTTATTTACTGAATATATTATTCAAATATTGTTTGATAAACTGTGTGACAAGTGACATGTGAGTATCCAGACAACATTGGCAAGATTTTTCACAATATAGTTTCTGAAATTTCAATATAGTTTCTATATAGTTTCAGCTGATATCATTATAGGTTCTGAAATTCCAAAGTGTATACGTCACAAACTAGCTGATAAAGAGGCCAGACCGGGCCCTAACATCTATGGCATCTATGGCATCTATGGCCATGACAAAAAAAAGGCAACGTCCCACGACACTTGGTTCACAAGTTGCATCCTTGAGCTGCTCCAGGATATGTCCAGGAAGGCAGGATTTGGCAGCCTGGTGTAACGAATCTAGCCATCTAGCCATAGAAATCTATTGTGACAGTCTCAGCGTAAAATTCCCATGGAGTATGTGATCATGTTCCACAGATGTTCACACATGCTCACAACTGCTTGTAAGTTTTCACAGATGGATAGCATTGCATACAGCTAGTAGCTAGCGTAGCAAAGATACGCTAACCGAAAGCAGTCATCATGCTGACACCTCAATAGCAGTCTTCAAGTCAAGCGCATCATGAACACTCTGCAGAATCCTGGCACTCAATGGTGGATGAGAAAAAGGGCAAACAAGCCGCATACCACAAAACATGCCACATTTTGCAGGTCACAGCCAAAGCGAAATTCTCAGGAATTTCTCCTATCTTAGATTGCTATTACATATTGTACATCATACATTGTACATTGGACATTCTTGGACATCATTCACATTACTGGACTGGTAATTGAGCCAAAAATAGCAAACAGCAAACACATCAAACACATCAAACGCAAGGGTCAACATTTGGAACCTTCGACATCGACGCTTCAACGAAGCCTCAAATAGTTCTCAAACTCCAGGATCAAGCGGCCAGAGTCTCCATGCAAGTATGGCTCCTGCGGAACGGCAAGTCTCAGCTCCTTAAGTCCTTGGAAAGTGACTAAAGATGACTAAAGTATACGACAGTGGCTGACTTCAAGTATCTTCAAGTATCAAATTAGAGTCACTATGTCACTATGAGTAGAGCAGCCACTTCAGCATCGTTGTTGAAAACCACAACTTCGAGTTTCATCCTTGGTGATGGAGCGCTCGTAGGAGGCTAAGCGCTCCTTCGTGATGCCATGGTCGTTGAGCACCTCAAACTCGTAAACGCATTGTCTGTCGCATCAACATTGCTGTCTTTTAAACACGTTTTCCAAAGAGGTTCTTTCAACACACAATGCATGTGTAGAAAATCATAGAAATAGGATGAAATAGGTATAGAAGCAGATGCAGGTATAGATAATAATTATATAGATATTGGATATGGATACACCTAGAGATAGTGATGTCGATGCAGATTACTTATATTCTATGTGATATTCTATGAATAGGATAATGTCTTTGAGCAATTCACCAGGCGAACAAAAACAAGATTCATGCTCGTTCATGCTGATTCAGGCTTTCAGACGATGCATCTTTTGCAGCGAGAACATTGCATGGTCGCTGAACCTTCCAATACTCCTCCATCTTGCCGCCAGTTCGGAGGAAGGCCAGCAACGCCTGAAGCACAAACGAAAGATGCAGCTTGTCTTCCACAATTTCCACTATGCTTTTGGAATCTGGATGCTAACCGGATGTGAAACGCTGCTGTCTGAATTTTCCGGGCCTTGCAAATGCCGACATCATCGGGTGTGGTGTTGTTGTGAAGCTTTTGATGCCACCTTCGCAGCATGGACAAAGAGAGGTTGAAGATCCAGCCATGGACAAATTCCGCTGATACCGCGGTTTTTTCTGCGACCCTGGCTGCTCGTAGAAGTGACCCGCTGTCTCTGGAATCTTGTTCCTGTGCCTGCCGAGAATTGCTATGCTCCGAAGACCATGAAGACCAAAAAAATGTGAATCAATTCTCAAGGCAGGGAAGCCAGCAGCCCTGCGAAGCTTTGAACGGCTTGGGCTCCGGCATAATATGCAAGATCTCATCTCGAATCTGCTGACCCTGATTGCCACCTCCAAGGATCTCCAAGGCACAGACCCTCACCTGATCTGCATAGTCCCTCCACATGTTTCTGGGTTTCAATTTGCACCTCTGCCAATGGTCGCAAGTGTCCATCTTGCCCAAAGACGAATGTTTGGGTATTCCTGCAACACCAGTGCAACTGTCAGCTGCCTTGCGCCACTAAATGGACCTCATATGACCTCATAATTTGTGGCAGACACCAAACAGATTGGAATTTCATGGAATTTCACCCTCCTTCCAGACGCTGCAAATCTTGTTGGCCTGCAGTGGGAGGAATTGAACAGTGCATTGAAAAGAGTTCTATCAAATCATGTCGTACCTTCACCATCACTATTTCGCACATCCCACGACTAGGTCTCCCTAGCCAGTGCGTCAGTGGCTCCAGCCAGCTCGCGGGGCTTGGTGTTGTAATTGCCTCATCTCCAGAAGAGGTCTTTTCTTGTGCCAAGCTGTTCTTTCTGGGTGTTTGGATGAGATGGATGGGTTTTGGCCAACTGATCTAACTGTTTGCAGTTGAGAAACGCTGCCAATCCAGTAAGCGCATGTAGGAAAACCTGAGACTTGCTCAGATTGCAGGATTTCTTTGGTCCAGGCTATGTGACGTCTGGATAATATGTAAAAGTCTTCGGGGCCGCACCTTTGCCACACAAAAATCCAGCTCCAGATTTCATCATCCATCTCCTGGCGCCAACGGATACGCAACTTGCGCAAGCCTCACGGATTGTTCTGTCCTATGTCCTATGTTTCTGCTTTTGCATTCTTTTGCGACAACATCTTCCTATCTGAGTATAAAATCCTTGCCTCTGCTTTCGCTTCATCAGGATCAACAAGGAGGGACGAAGATGGTAGCCTGAGCAGTGGTCGCCAGTGGGTGCCAGCACCAGTGGGCACTGGATCCCTTGACGCTTTCCATGTCCTGATGGATCCTGATAGAGGTGTCCAATTTGTCGGCCTGGACCAGGACGCTCGTCGCAACGCCTCCTTGTTGAAGGTGGCATTCCAGGAAGGCATTCTCCTGCAGCAAGTGACCTCAACACCTGAACGTCACCTTGACTGAGGCGGCTGATGGCGGCTGATGGCTGCTGGGTGTAGCTTGGCGCCTCATTGCAGCTGGCCCTGAATCGCTCTTGCCAGCCCAGGCTTCAACGACCTGTCGACCTTGGCGAGGCTCGAGAATCGGATAGAACCTGAACTTCATTGGAATTCATCGGAATTCCATGGAATTCCCATTCTAAGACATGACTTCGCATGACTTGTTTGTGCTGTTTTTAATCTTAGTTGCCCCCCTTTATGTCAGTGAGTCCCAGTCACTTTGTTGTGTTGCCTGAAGCTATTTCCAGGCAAGTCACAGTTGTTGTAGCGATGCATCAGAGTCATGTGTCCCCACTGAGTTTCTGAGTCCATGATGAGATTCACCTCGAGTTCGTCAACACAAAGACCAACACGGTGCTGCACCCAGGATACCAATGAATTGAAGAAATGATATCTAATGAATTGTTTCTGTTACTAATATGGGGAACATATGATTTATGATGATCTTTGAAAATCTCATCTGATACTTTTCCTCCATTGATATTTACAAGACAAAATAGATCAAAATATCAAACACATCCTGATGAGAACATCGTTGAATGGCAAGGTTAGTGTGAGCGCAACACACAAACAATCTAGATTACATATGATTACATGCCAACCACATGACATCTCCAACTCCTTCTCTTTTCGAATCCATCTTTGAATTGACATGCAAAATTCATCTCTGCACCATCCCGCCTGATCTTGCCAGCCGCCCTTCCATGCTCCCGCTGGCTTCTTCGGAGGGTCGCGGAAGAATGCAACACAATCCTTGCCATCATCACACTTCAGCCATTTGTCCTGCAAGCAGATTTTATGCCAGACATTGCCAGACAGAAATTCTCAGCCAGTCTCAAGTCTATGCAACTGCTCCTTCTCAGGCACTCGAATCACGAAAGCCATACCCGGAATGGAAGGGACACATCCATCATCTGAAATGGCAGACCTAGACTCGGCACAAAACACCATGAACAGGAGCATGTATTGCAGTACTTGTACATGTAGCATCATAATGTAGCTACACATTGCTACACCTGCTGCTATAGTCAAGGTCTGCACATGCTTCAAGAATCTTCAACAAAGACAAGGGATGTGGCACACTCATGGCTACCAAGTCGCGTTGGAAGATGAATTTCAACGTAGGATGTGCCGTCATCATATGGATCAAGAAGGGTCTGGCAGGCCTGAGATTTGTTCGTCGTTTTTTCCATCGAGAACCCCCCCGTTTTTTCAGTGCCGGAGCCTTGGCATCGATGATGGTGTTGTTTGCAGGCAGAATCTCCTGGCGCGTCAATGTCGATAGCAGTGGACTCAGACCCAGTAGACCCAGTATGACCCAGTAACCGAAGAGAAAAACTGTGTCTGGCAATAGGGTAGCCCATGGGTGGCCCAGAATCCAGTGGTCATCATTTTCCCACTGGATCTATGTATTGCCATGCCATTATACTTCCCATGCCATTGGGTCTTCTTTCAGGTACTTGAGGCCCAAGGGGGGTGAACGAAAGCTAAGGTTCATATGATTCATATGAGCCTGGAACCATGATGGGATTTTGATGGGATTTGGATATGCTGAATGCAGATTGCCTAGAGACCTGGCAGGATTTGAGCCCGTGACCATCTGCTTTCAACACCGCTTCAAAATGTTACGGGAGCTTGGAGGCGGGGGAGGGGTGGGTTCGAGTGAAAAATCACTGTGTTGGACTCAGACCTGCCCCTCCCCTTGCTGAAGCAAGAGTAACTCCAGCTACACAGTAGCTGGCGTGACTAACTATTTAAAAAAAAATCATACCATCTAGTTATTTCATGTTATTTCACATAGCCATGGAAAATCACCATTTTTTATAGGTAAACCATCTATAAATTGGCAATTTTCCATATGTTAGTCATAACCAGATGGTACATATTCGATCATTTTCAAACACCCCCAACGGCAACGACATGCAACGACCCACCTCTGGAGGGCAGTGCCAGCTTCGATTCCGGAAGTCGGTCAGGACACCCCAGTGAAGCAGGGCCGATCCCAGCGGTACCTCCATTGTCCATTGGGTCAATATATCTATACCATCTGGTTATTTAACATAGCCATCGAAAATCCCTTATCAATGGAGGTTTCTAGCTGGGAAAATCATCTATAAATGGGCAATTTTCCATGGCTATATTAAATAACCAGAGGGCACCCAGAATTACCGGGCTGCTCGAGCTATAGTCTGCCACAAAGAGCACGGGGCCTTGTCAGGATGCATCAGAGCTGTGATCTCGAGAACAAAGCCGTTGCCCTCTCTGCGACAGGCAACATCCACATCGCCTACCTGCAATCTTCAAATGGAGTTCACAATGACAACGCGCCACTCAAACAACATCAATGCTACCGTACGCCCTGTTTCACGGGCAAAGGCGGCTGCTTAAGATAGTTGGAGTGCAGGAAAGGACTCATTCCTATCTCATATCACATGCCGAACTTGTTATGACCTGTTGCTGTCAAGGGTTTCCAATCTAAGTCTTGTGTTTGTCTTCCATCATCTTACACTATTTCACTCGGAATGAATTGTTGAAGAATCTAGATCGAAGCCCTGCAAATCCTGCAAGCCTGCTCTGACAAAGTGATGCTTTGGAAATGCACCTTTGCAGCATCCTTTCGCTCCTGCTCCAATGTTGGATTGACACATGGCAACTCTTGCAGTATGGTCGCCTCTCTGAGAGACTCTGGATCAGCAGTTCAGTACATCATATATATATACACATTAAAATATACATATATCTATATCTATATCTATTTATATATATATATCAAAGTAAATGGAGAGACCTTCTCATTTAGCATGGGCACTGCCTGTAGTATCCCATATTGACACAGGCATGAAGCAAGCTCTAGAGAAAAAAAGGCTACAGGATTCCAAAAAGGTGGCGCCTTGCGACCATCGCGGAATTGGCGCAACTTGTTGTCGAAATCGCTTGCAAGGCGCTCAGCAGTCTTTCGTGCCTGAAGGCACATAAGGAGGGCTCTGCAAGCCCCGCAAAATACGATAACATATGAGAAAATCCTGATGATCTGTTGGAATTGGGGGTATCCTGTTTTCAGACAAACCCATGTGGCGGGATTGTGGGGGAAGTTCTGAAGGCCATGTCAATGTCCCGTAGGCCCCGAAAAATCAGGCCGATATTCTTAAAGAAATAGCAAGCAGTACTGTAGATGCTATAGCTCGCCCGGCCGGGTCCACGCAACTTCAAGGCCTCCTCAGCTTTTGCTTGTGCCTTCTTTTCTTCCTCCTTCTGCTTTGTGATCCGCGCCTGCATAACATGGGAAACCAAGTCTTGATGCGAATAAATAACAACCAAATCGGATTCAGTTTTTATACACCAGCAAACTGCCATTTGGTTTGACCGTTTGACCAAAGAGAACATGCTTAATGTCTCCAGATTTTGGATGGAGATACCTCCATATCCTCGGGGATCATGGACATGAAATTCACCTGAGCGAAGGATTCATCCTCAGGAAGCCAAAGCTTGAAATCTTCCGCACCATCCTGCAGTGGCAACGAGTACGTAACAATGGGATACACCTTTGCAGAGCAAACTCATCACCAAAGCAACAAACAACAAAGCCTGCAACACTATTCATCAGTACCGTTGTGCCGCTAAACATAGTCAATCTAGGACCCTTGGTCCCTTGGTTCTTCCTTGACCCAATGATTGTTGGGAAACTTCAGCACAAACATGAACCTCTTGGTGACCTCTTCCTGAGTCAAGAGAAATCTGAAGCCGCACGACACTAAATGATTGCAAATTCCTCACAACTGGAGGTCAAATACAAATAATATCCATAAGTTTTTGATTTTTTTGAACATTTTGAAACAAATACACATGGCGCGAGGGTTCATGAAGAATCCTCCGAAACTACTCCTGTGGGTTGTGACATGTTTGTGTCCAGAGAATTGCAAATGTTTCAGGCGTGGCAAGTATACTGTACCATTGAAAAATACATGTGATGATATGGAATGCAACCTCAATCTAATGCATCAAGGTTGCCGGTTTCAGGTTGACCACCACTTCCTTCACACCCTGTTCAGGAGCACTCTGGAAATTCACAGATCTTGCGAAGATCCACCTGAGGCTAACAACATGCCGGCGACGTTTCCTGTCTGGAGCTGATCTAATTGCCGGGTCAAAGAAAATACGAAAGGACGAACAAAAAGAACACATTTGTATACTTTGATTTATTTTGTATTGCAAACCCAGTATCCTACCGTCTGCATCACAACACGTTTGTGTGATCAGTTGATTTCAGAATTCTGTTCTTCACCTGGAGCTTAGTCACTTTAGCCACAAGCATGCTAGTTAAAGAAAAACAAAATATTTATTTGCTTTGTGAACTCTTGCGCGGCTTTGGTGTTCATGTGTCTCTGCCACACTTGGGGGTGCAGTTGGGGTTATTAATTGGCATAAGCAGTAATGCCCCCAATAAGTTGGGATATATGAGATATAATATATATATATTATATAATATATATATATATATAATATATATATTATAATATATATATATATATATTATATGTGTTATATATATATATATATGTTATTCATATATGTATGGAGGTTGCTTCTTATTCCTGTAAAATTGTTTCCATTTAGCAGTTCTTGCGCTTCGCCCTTGCGCGGTCTTGGGCAGTCTTGCGCGGCCTGCGTTTCAGACACCTTTCATGTTTTTAGAGGGGTGAAACAATGATACGTCCGAGAAAAGAAAATGCCAATATGATGCAAACATGTTCATTGAGAATGTTGGGCAAAACATGGGATGAATGCCGTCCTGCCACACGGTCAACCCTTTTTTTAAGTTTCATTTTCGGAAGCATCAGAGCTGCTGGAACTTGATGAACTTGATGTGCCGGAGCTTTCTTGCGCAGCTTCGCAGAAATGGTACCACCTCTGGCGACGGAGCAAGAGTCGCCGAGCATGTGAAGCATTTTTCTTTTCCCAAGATGTGAACTGAGACTCATAGGCAGGAAGCAAAAGTTCCTTGTGGGCAAGATGTTTGGACATCACCCGGTTAGTTTCACCTTGAGCCCGCTTTTTGCGATCCCAACGCTTGTCTTGATAGTAACCACGACGCCAAGAGCGATCATTCACAGGTTCCTGAGTTAATGTTGCACCATGGATCTTGCCGTCTGGCAAATCTGAGACAACCAAGATCAACCAAGTTCTTGAAGCGACAGGGTCTTCTCTTTCCAAAGGACTGCACGACTTCTACACAATATGTTATGTTTGAGAAATTGAAAATTCAGCGTCGCTCGTCACTCGTCTGCCAGGAACGTTCTGGTTTGAGATCTGGCTCAAAGCGCCGAAAAACCCATCGAATGGCACTGAAGGGATCCTGGTTGGCATCACCCAAGATACCTTTTCGCACACTGTTACTAAGTCATCAGGAGTTTTGAGGATGGCCCCGGGTTGCCTGAGAAATGCGGAAGTCCAATTGGTCATATGAGCAAAGATTGAATCGATCTCCCCTCCCCCTTACCACGCCTTTCGGGAAACCAGCAAATCCGTAGCTTCCCTTTCAAAGCAGGGAACCAAGACCCGGCCATGTGAGCCAAGAATTGGTATGACCGGAAATGAGGGCCAACATCCATCCAAATAGTCACCAGCTGAGCATTGTCGAAGCCAGGGCAGCCAGGGAATCGAGATCTCAAGTCATCCAGGACCGTGCATGTCATCAAACTTATTCGATTATATGTTCGAAATATAGAAGATTTTTTTGCTCGATGCGTCGATGCGGCCATTCCGGTTCTGAAGCACGATTGTTCCCAACACTCCTAGCTCCATCCTGTCTGTTCCGTCTAAAACATTGTGGATGTTTCCATGTTTGCGAGTGGTAAAGAAATTTTCTGCTTGTAGTCCATCCACAGCATAATATGTCCCGGTGCCAAGGACCGCTTGTCTTGGAGACAAGCATCAGATTGCCGCTCTGCGGGGTTCACGTGCCAAGCATAGGCGGAAGCTACTTCGACCTCGTGCCTCAAAATGTGGCAGATTTGGCTTGAAAAGATTTTAAAAGATGGTTAGATAAGAACAGGATTCGAACAAAGATATCTATCCACCGAATCGCACCGGGCGTTCTGCTCCGTAGTCTGGTCCAGCTCTCCAGGCGTCGTCTCTGCCAAGCACGGTCGCTTGGCATCAGCTCCAACAATCAGCGGCTTTTCGCAGCACAACCTGACTTGAAAGAATGGGAACGAGCGGTTCCTGCGTAGGTCAGATTTCGGGGAAACCAGATATCATGATAATGCTGTTCATCGGGAAAGAGGTTGAAATTATATAGTTGCACCATGGAAACCAAAGGGAAGTGATGGTCAAAGTAAGGCTTTTGCAGGCCCCATGTTTGCAGGAAAAATAATCACCACAACTTATTTACGGCACCGGGAAAAGCACCCATGCAAAGCACGATGCATGCGCCAGGATTGCCAGCTGCCTGTTTTCAACACTAATCAATCCCAGCAACGTCATGAAACTTCGTTGGCACTTCCTCTGAATTGGGGGCATCGGGCCACTTCATGAGCCAGTGCCATGCATCGACTTCCTCTTCCCAAAAGGACGTCTTTTGCTCACCATATTGAGGCTCTCGTCGGATTGCATGAAACTTCATTGACCTGCCATGGCCGGGAGATGAAAAGCGAAGCCCAATCTAATCAAACCCCTTTACGCTACAGCCACGAAAGAAACACAGACCCATGTTTCTTCCAACCAGCCTGCTATCAAAGCGTACCTTGGCCTTCTTCACACTGGCCCGCGCCATTTTGCAGGACAGCGTTTGAAACAAATATCTACCATACACCCAACAGTGAGTCATTGGAGCTATGGCATTATGTATGTAGGCAGCAACTTAAACGTCATATCATGCTAAATCACATGAAATTCCATTAAATCCCGTCAGTTACACACCTATTAAATTGACATATTGTATGAAATTTCAAAAAATCAGATAGAATACATATATAGTCTACCTTGCGCTCGCCTTTGTGCGGCGCCGCCCGCGTTTTGAGCCATATGGCTTCCGGGCTACAAAATACTAAAATCAATTTCCCTTTAACAAATACTACGGGGTTAAAAAAACTTCATATTTATATATATATATCTCTCTCTCTCTCTCTCTGTCTCTCTTTTATAACTGATATAACCCCCATAACAATGGTAATATAACCACTTCTGACTGGAACTCCACCCAAGGAGGTGATGTCACCTGGATGGACTTGCATCCGAGGCTACATTTAAAGAGATGCTGATGCAGAAGCCTGTCAACTACACCCTGTCATTGTGTCCGAATTCGGGTAGACTTGGACTCTTGTGCTGGCCACTTCCTTACATTTTGACGCTCTGAACGATTTTGTTCAATTGCCCGATCTAAGGGGACGCGGTTCTGGTGGGAATGCGGCATGGATGTGCTTTTGTTTCGCGGAAGCGCTTAGACGCTGCATGGGCTTCTTAGAAGGGTTTGTTAGAAGCAGCCTCTTGGAAGCCGAGACCTTCTAAAAAGATAGGTTTTCTCTTTGATCTAAAATATGCGTTTGGCTTCTTAAAACCCCTCTGCTTCTAAGAGCCTCTACGTGGCAAAATTCATCTTTTCAGGTTCGAAGAAGGCCCCCCGGAATCCATCCAGACTTGCATCCCCCTAGATCAGCCCTATCTGGGCGATAAGGTGCGGAAAGCGCGCTTCAAGCTTTAAACATCTTTAAGCAGCTCTGAGTTCCAAGGCGCTTGTTGTAGGCATCCCCTGAGCCATAATGCAGCATTAGCTCAGTGTTCAGATCGGTGACAAAGTGTACAACCGCACCTCGGCCAATAAGAGAAGTCTACATGTGGGACTCGTCCAACACGAACTTAAGAAACCACATGAAACCAATAAAGCGCCTTTCTAAGGTGCTGGAGCGACACAGTAGAAACACCAAAAGTGCCGAGCTGCCATCCGCGTAAACGGCTGCAACCCCCATGAGATTCCCACCATTCACCTAAGAACGGGAATTTCTGGATCCAGGCCCCAGCAAGGATGCATCAGAAAGGAAAAGGGCGGAACAACCTTCCTCACCGTGGTCCTCACCTATTGTCTTCACTGCTCATGTGTCGTGAACACATGCGACAACAGTCGCACCTTCCATCGCGTGGTTCTCATTGTCCTTAGCTGCACAAAATCATGTCTATGCCTCACAAGTTCGTACGGGCTAGTGACAACTTCTTGACAAATGTTTGTACGATTTATATCTAGTTATAACGATTTATATATGTGGTTTCTCCCGCTTGCACTTGGAGATATTTTTCCACAAATCTACATACAGTCTACCTCTTTGCAGATCCCCTAGTGCAAGTGATGCTCTCTCGGAAGGGCCAGTACCATCTTCCCTGGAAACATCTGCAGAAACATCGGGCAATGTGAGAAGGAAGTGCCAGCAGTGGTCCCAAGCAGCAGCACCTGGTCACCGGTGTTCTTCCGAATAAACGCCCGCTTGGCTGAATTATTTCAGGCTGCCCAGGGTGTTTTTTGGGGGTCCCACTGCTGGGCGTTTATTGCGAGAAACACCGGTGAAGACCTCAAGATAAACGGCTATTTTTGGCTATTTATCTGATTTATCTAAGGCATTGTCACAGGGCTCTGCAGCAATCCAATAAAATCCTCTCGGTCTAGTCCCAGTCTATCCTTTCACAGCCCCATGCATTGAAAAACTTTGAGCATGCATTGAACTACCTGGCCATCGGGCGTTTATTGGAAGATACACCGGCAGCAAGCGGCGACACATGGTCTTGATTAGTCACTGAAGTTAGCATATTCTTACAGGTTTGCGGGGGTTGCATGTATCTCACAAAGCCCAAAATGGCTGTAAACTGTGGCACATGATCAATCTTTATTTGCACATCACCCAACCACCAAACCAATCACAACCAACCACAATCTTACGGTGATGTCTTGCATCCCCAAAAATATTCCAAACATGGTCTTGCCCACAGAGTCACCATCTCACCCACTATGCTGATGGGGCGCCTTCCAGACTCCGCATCTACGGCGCGGTCAGCGGCAACTTTAAATAGGGATTCATCCTGCAACAATGACAGTTTTATATCAATGCAAACATGGGGCAGAAATACTGATCATCATTGATCATCATTGATCATCTTTTTCTTTTTCGTGGGCATGAGTGGCATGGCTCACCCGTTTCACTTCAACATCACACAGACCCAGCATGGCAAGCCTGAGGCCACTCGGCGCAAAAATCGTTGCCTGGTTTGTGCCTTGGATATCCGCTACGGTTGGAACTGGGCAGCTATGCCAGCTCTGCAACTGACAGGACATGCAATTTCTGACTGGAACGTGCTGGAACCATAATAATCCCATATATAATGAAACACTGCTAGGATAATCTCTCCAGCATCCCATATTGTAGCATATTGTAGCATCTCAATCCTTGCGTCCCAGCTGCCACCCCTTTGGAGGCTCATGTAGAACAAAATTCACAGATCGCACTTTGAACTTGCTGGGGAAGGTGATCAACACTCGTCTGAACCTCGGAACGAGCGCCTAGATGAGAAAGGGTCAAACCCATCAAGAAACAGCTTGGAGCAGGATTCACAGCTATATGCTATCGCGATCATTCAACATGAACAGAAGATGGGAAGGCTAAAAAATAATGATGAGCAACACAGGCAGAAGGTGTGGATTCTGCATGATTCTGCCTACCAGTAGTACCGCACAAGGCGGCGGCGGAAGTTTCAAAGATAAACTGTAGGAGAGGTGAGTTGTTCTGATGCATGGATGGCAGAGCGAATCCACTGATGGACCGAAAGGTGGTTGGAGTTGTGTTTTTGGAATGGTTGGGCACCTCAACCACACCTGCTGGATGTAGTGCGGTGTAATGTGGTGTGTTGTAGTGTAGTGGAGCTCTAGTGTACTGTAGTGGTAGTGTAGTGTAGCTGTAGTTGTAGTTGCAGTTGTAGTTGCAGTTGTAGTTGTAGTTGTACGTGTAGTGTAGTGTAATTAGTGTAGTTTTGTGTAGTTGCAATTCAATGTACTTAGTGTAGTGCAGTGTGGTGCAGTGTAGTGCAGTGTAGTGCAGTGTAGTGTCATGGCAGTTGTAGGCGTAGCTGGTGTAGCTCTAGTTGAAATCTTGTGTACTGTAGCGTAGGGTAGTGTAGTGTAATTAGTGTAGTGTACAGTAGTTAGTGTACCGTAGTGTAATGTAACGTAGTTGTAGTTGCAGTTGTAATTCTAGTTGCATGTGTAGTTGTAGTTGTAGGTGTAGTGTAGTGGTAGTTGTAGTTGTAGTTGTAATGTAGCTGTAGCTGTAGATGTTGTCGTGTCGTGACCGTCCAAAAGTGGTTCAAACATATAGTGTTTTTACCATTTTGACTTCGAAATGTGCTTCGCGCCACAACGGCGTGCACTTTTTCCACATCTGAGCCTCCAGAAGTGGCCCGAGAATGTGGTTTGACATATTGACTTTGAAACCACAATGGCGTGCACTTTTTGAACATATCAACTTCCGACAGTGCTCCAAACTCAGGCATTTTCTACATGTTTACTTCGAAATGTGCTTCGGGCCACAACGGCGGGCACTTTTTGGACATCTCAAGTTCGACAAGTGCTCCGACACTGAGGTGTTTTTAGCATTTTGACTTCAAAATCTGCTTCCGGCCACAACGGCGTCCAATTTTTCGTCTCTCAGCTGACCAGATGGCTCCGCACCCGCCGCTTTAGCAAGCCTACTTTTCGACCCTCCGAAGCCACAAAACTTTGGAAAAACACAGTGTTTCGCGACTTTTCTACCTTTTCGCGCACTTTGATCTTGTTTCTTCTGACTCTTTCTCGTGTCTGATCTTCTTTCTTCTTCTCTTCTCTTCTCTGACTCTTCCCACCTTTGCTTTTTCATCTGTCCAAACTGTCGGAAGTTTGACTTCTAAACTTCCTTCGATCATGAGTATGGGATTTTCAAGATTGTAATATAAAACTTAATGAAATAATATATATATTATATATTATATAAATATATAACAAGATAACTAAAAAAAACGCCGTCCATTGGTTGCTTTGCTTTTTGCGACGAATGGCCCGTCTGCTTCCTTCTGACTGAAAGTTGTCTGATTGGCTCCAGGAAAGGTCTTGGTCTTTGTGGGCCAGCTGTTGTTCTGCACCTGGCTGGATGGTCATGCAGGTTCTCTGGTGAGATGCTTGTGACATATTCCAAGGAGAAACATGGAGAAATGGAGAAACTGCACTAGATTTCACTAGCATCCCTGAAGCATCCTGGGCCTCTGCGGGCGGATTTGACCATCCTGCTCCGGGGCTTTCAATCACACCCCAGTGGAAGATCAACTCACCTGACAATCGGAAAGGGGTAGTGGCGCAAGCAAGACGCTGCCCAGCACAAGTGGGCAATCTTTGTCATTTCATGTCCGACTCAGCAAAAATATTCATGCAGTCATACAGTAACCCACAGTTCAGGGCACTTTGTGTAGTCTGACAGAGCAAGTGTGATATTGCCCGCTTTCAATATTTGAGCAAGTATGCGCCTGAGCCAAATCCTTTTGCCATGACTTCCAGAATGCTACCTTCCAAGGATCAACTGCGATGTCGTTCCGAAAGCTTGGTGCATTGTGAAAGGAGACGTTGTGAGGCAATCCAAGCTTAACCACTCTGACGACTGGAAAGTAACAGGGCCTTGAATTGGGGCCGGGTTCTGACCAACATCAGTTATCAATAATTACCCGTAATTACCAAAGAATCTGCTTTTTTATACAATGGTGAATGTGGCTGCTATCTTCTCAGCAATTGCAAGAAACATAGCACCATCAGGCAGCATCACCAAAATCTCCACTCCAGGTCAGGAGCTGGCCAAGCCTCCCCCTTCTGCCGGATGAAGCAGTGCCTCAACCCTTTTGTCTCCCAAGTCCTGGGCGATCACCTGCAAAGGCTGCATCTGACTCTACAATACTCTACACTACATCCATTCGCACGTGGAAGCGGAACATAAAATCTTGTACCGAGAGCGCCTGAATTCCTTTGTCTCCTCGCAGAGTGCGATGCTCTGCGTGACTTTAGGATGACACGTTTAGCATCACAGGATGCCACAGGATGTCGCGGGCCACAGCATTGTTTAAAGTTTAAACTGACGCGTCACAAACACATGGCCACACGTTGTCACAATGTGTACCCAGTGTACTGAGTGATACTGAGTGTACTGTATCTTATTCTTAGAGAACAAAAAGGCGTCCTGTGGTGGGTTTCCCGGGCGCGCTTGGCGCTGTTCGCTTCGAGAGACTCGGAGGTGTGGCCTGTGAAGAAACCAAACTGATGCCAACCGGTGCGCGAGCAACTGTGAATCGGCTCAAAAACGCAAAACGAATCATGAGGCAAATTCAAGGAATAATCTATGTAAACCAATTTAAATCAATGTAAATCAATGTGAATTCCCACCTCACGTGGGGGTGGTTCGTAGGAGACTTCCTTCGCAGCACCGGAGGGGGTCTCTTCCATGGCATCAAGGAATGCACCTTTGTCAAAGGAATGCTCAGGTGAAAGTCGCCCAAGGGTCCTTTTTCAAAGGAACAGAACATCATTGTCACTGAATTCAGAGCACCCAACATTCATTACGCACCTCTACCAATGCAACTCATGCCAATCCTGCTCTTGCTCTGTTGGATTTGCAAACACACTATTGAAACCCATGCCAGACACAAAGCTCCTGTCGTTGAGAAGCTGAAATCTGACGAACTGCTACTAACATATTTCCAACATCAAATGATTTTGGTTTTGGCATGGTTTGGCACCAGCAATGCAGCAACGCTTCGCACCTGACATCAATGAGCGCATCCTCACCATTGACTGCACCCGCTCCATGCTTTGTCTCCGACCTTGGCTGCATGAGGCTCCAGGATACTTCAGCAAACGCCGAGCGTTTCCGAAGATGGGTTTGCCCATTACAACATCATAGCATCATATCCCGGACATGATTGGAGTAACGACATGTAACGACTACTTTATCGACTTTTGCTCCGGCAAAGTGTCAGGAGGAGCGCGATGGAAACCCGCCCGCACCGAAGGTGCCGAGGTGTGGTAGCTTTGCAGCGAGTGATACGAATGGACCGATCTGTCAGTCTCTGGTACAGCTTCAGCTGGGCGGGGTCCATGTTCGCCCGGGCGCCGTCGCCAAAAAGCGCACGGGCAGTGGTAATTTGCACATTTTGCAGATCGGCAGATCGGCACAAAATCGTCAGAAGGCACCATTTCGATCCGACATGGCCGCAACATTGGCCCGACTTGGGGTCATCTTCGGCCAGCAAAGCCCCAACTTCAGCCCTACTTGGACCAATTGGCTCCAACTTCGGCCCAACTTGGCTCCAAGATGGCGCAACTTGGCCCCAACTTGGACCCATTTTGGAGCAACTTCGGCCCAAGTTGAGGTCCATATGGCTTCAAAATGGGGACATACATAGCCGGCCCAATCCGAAATCCTCAAAAAGTCCCTTTTCATTGGTACATAATTACTGGTATTTTTCCACGTTTTTGGTGTCTCCGTTGGGCCCAACTTGGTGTGAATTGACTATATTGACCAGCAGTCCTGTGGTGTCTCTGTGTAAGGCGCGGGTCTAAGGCACGTCTTTTGCCAAGGTGCGCCGTAAAACGGTAAAACCGTAAACTGGTAAATTCCATTGTTCCCGAGAAACGCCCCGTAAAACGGTAAATTCGTAAATTTACGATCTGGTAAAACCGTAAATTTGGTAAGTTTGCGAAATTTACCGTAAACAAAATTGACCGTAAAACCGTAAATTAGTAAATTTGGTAAATTGGTAGTAAAATTAGATTAAAATTTACAGATTTAGTGATTTACCGAATTTACCTTTGCCCGGACACAGCAAAATTTACCACTTTACCGATTTACCCAATTTACCATGGCCTGAAGAGCGGTGAAATTTACCTCAGTTTACCGATTTACCAAATTTACCGCATGAAACCGAAGTCAAGCCGCAAATTGGTAAATTCATGCTTTGTGTGCAAAGCGTGGGCAGGAAAAGGTGGTAAAGCCGTAAAAGCGTAAAACCGTAAAGGAGGTGTGGAAGCGAAGGAAACCAAAGTAAAACCGTAAAGCGGTAAATTTATGCTTTTTCGTGGACAGCGTGAACAGGAGAAGACGGTAAAGCGGTAAAATGGTAAATGCGTAAAGGCGTAATGTATCAATGTACTGGAGCGTGACGAGGAAGAGGCGGTAAAACCGTAAAACGGTAAATTCGTAAAGTTGTCTCATGATAAAACAAGATTAAAATTTACAGATTTACCGATTTACCAAATTTACCTTTGCCCGGGCACAGCAAAATTTACCACTTTACCGATTTACCAGCGGCGAAATTTACCAATTTACCGATTTACAAAATTTACCATTGCCCGGAGAGCGTTCTCTCCTTAGCATCATGCCTTACACAGTGACGGCTTAGACTACATGGGTTGACTTGTCACTGTATATCATCTTTTCCGAAGCAGCAACATTGAGCCGGGATACCGATTTCCTCCATTGTCGGCTGGCCCGAAAAGGAAGTGAACTCCATTGACATTCTTCGTCGAATGATCTCCTTCATGTGTCGACCGATGTCCTGGCAGCACTACAATTCCACCTGAAGCAGATGTGTGGTCACGATACAGCCTATGACGAGTGGCTTTGGACTCGTAGCTCCAAATGACACTGAAGCGGAATGTGCGCGGAATGTCCCTGCAAAGATCTACACCCTGTCCTGATCAGCTCCATACTCTGCATCACTCTTTGCGTATTCCTTGATGGACCTCAAGTCGTCTGAGGCTCTACGGTCTGGACATGTCATCAATTTTATGAATCTCTCTTGGAGTAAACCGACAAAAAAAAGGCGGTCCGTTTGTCAGCAGGTTTGCAGCAAGAAGTGAAACTGTGGAAGGGAGACATGGACAGACAGTTCGAGGTGCTTCTTGTCAGAGAATGTCTTCAGGACAATGCAGCTGTATGGTTGCCTTGGCTGAATCGAGTCACCTGAGTCACCTGGACGGTATAATTAGTTAGTTCAACTTGCCTCGTCCAAACAGGCTCCTTTCAAAGACCAAACGCATCCAGCACAAACACATGATAACACATGTGTCATGGTATAGACCAGGGTCTCACATGCTACATGAAAGACACCATCCTTCTTCTCAATTTGAAACCAACATGATTGTGATTGATGATAGTGATGAGGAGGATGAGGAGTCCGACTGACTTGGGGTTCAACTACGCCAAGCGATGCCAAGCGTCATCATGTAGGAGTGAGAGGTGATCTTTATTGCAGATGCTTCATTTTCGCAAATGTCGTTTGGCGGGGCCAAAGTCGTGTCAATGATGCCTTAGATAGGCAACTTGGCAACGCGGCAATGCCATGACCTCGGGCATTGCCAAACCAGGTATTTTAAAGAAACGAATCTGTCCGAGCAACGATACCAGGGCTTGCCTTCTGGCAGGTCACAACTCCGGACCTTCGCAACATGTACAAACACATGACGTTTGTCCTGTGCCTGGCACAACACAAACATTGAATTATAATGCATTATATTATATATATTATATTGTATTATAATGTACTATTGTATATGCATAGCTTAGCATTATATAATATGCATCAATAATCATCAATAAAACTGTTTCCGCACACAAACATGTCTGTCTGAAAATGGGGTATACCCCCAAATGGCAATTTTGGCATGCAGGGAAAATCATGTTCAAAACTTCTGAAGTTTTGGGGTGTTCCCCTAAATTTTCAGGCAAACTCTGTACATTATATAATTACTCTTCCACAGCTGCCTCATGCCCTGCATTGAACGCGACCAACAGCCCAGCATAACCTTGCCCTGTTGCCTTGCAGGGAGACAGGGGCTTTTCTGCGAGCTTTCAGGGGCTATGACCGTGACACGAAAACCATTAAACAACACGAACAACATTTCAAGATCCCTAGAGTTGACAACTTGAGTCATGCAAATTGAAACCCCTCCAAGGCAATCTCTGAATAGTTCTAAATTGCACGTGCAAAGCTGTTAACAAGCTCTCAAACATGCCACCAGCACATGGTGGTCATGGAGCACATAGCAAATGTAGTTGTACGGATCATCCCAATGCACTCGCCACCAAATGTCCTGCGACAACCAAAACAGCAGGCGATTTGGGGACTCTAAGACGGGCTTGTCTCAAAATAGGTAATTTCAATGAATTTCACGGTTCATGGCCATGATCCCCAGCAAACAACCAGGCCGGGAGTATATACCCCGGGGAAGGGTGTCTCCTTGTTGCTCACAAACTCCTCTCGATTGAAAATGCCAGAGTAGGTCTTCCTCCGCCACGAGAAAAGGACCATCAAATGTGGAGGGCGCAAGGGCTGGAGACACTGAGCACACTGCACACTGGATACAGAACAAACATTCCAGCAATATCCAACAATATTTGCTGCTATCATAGACGCACTCGCAAGTGCTGCATACATTGATACACTGTCATGGACTGTCATAGGCTATCACAGACTGTCCCCATTATGAAGCTCTTTCAAACCACAGAAAGTCTCTCTGCCACGGCTGCAACATGCTGCAATGCTTGCTCAGCAAATGCAAAATGTCAATGTACCGAAATGTCCTCAAAGAAATCAAGAGCCGTGTAAATCTCAACAATTTTCCCGCTTCTTTCTCGCAGTCGCCTCAGAAGGTTGTGCTGCTGCCTACCAAAAAGTGACATGGTTGGCACGGCTGTGGTTTTGCCGAGCTACTCCAGGAGAACCAGCAGCGGGCGTCTTGACACCAGCCGTTGTTGCAGCCTCTCTGCGATCGACCATACTCATCACCATAGAGGATCCTGAAGCGGAAGCGAGGCTTCAGCTGGTGTTGATGAGGCCTTCTGGCACATTCAATCCTTCAAGACCAAGACATGTCGTTTTGTCTAGTCATGCTTATTAAGTGTGTTTCATCCTTCTTCAATGTAGGACGGAGATTTTGCACACAACAAATCACAACAAGATGTCGCGCAAAGAGTGGCCATGGTAGCACACAAGAAAACAGTATCTGGTATTATCTGGTCTTGTCCATGGTGCACGAAAGCCGAGCCATGCTTGCACAAGGTTCATCGGAGTACCGGCGCTCATGAAGAGCGCAACCATGAAATTCCGGATCTGCCGGCTTCGGAGGTGCTTGATGCCGCCATCCCCTGCCAGGGTGAAACATCAAAATGGCCCAACTGTCAAACATGTAGCACATCACATCTCAGTAGGTATCATAATGTATCATGTATATCATAATGTAAAATTGTTCATGTATCATATAACTATCTCACATCTGTTGAAAATGGATGAAAAAGGAACTTTAGATCGGACTGGATCAACCAAATTCATGAAAGTTGGTTTTAAAGTTCTAAGATCGATTTCTCTGCAGCACACCTACACCTACTGGGATTGCGACATATTGCGCCTGTTTCCCCTTCGTGACCACAGTTCCAGGAGTTGTTGTGGTCATCACCGCTGTTTTCCCCATTGCAGGTGTTGTGTTTCCCATTGTAGGAGACCAGGTCCTGATGGTGCTGGAACCACGCGGTTTTCTTCAATGTTCATTTCATGTGACATCATGACAAAATACCAGCAGTGCCCGGCCTACGTGGCGGAAGTTTCGAAAAAATGAAACAGCTAAAAGAAATCAATGGCCTATAGCAAAGTTTTGGCGATGCAGAAGCAATCAATTGTTGCACTTGTGAGGTGCATCAACGAATGAGCACATGGTGGTTGAGATGCGAATGAAATGATATGAAAGAATTCATGCACAACTGACTGAAGGAACCAATGCACCAATGAACCGACTCAATGAATGAGTGAATCAGTGAGTCAATGAGCCAATATAATCAACGAATCAGTGATTCAGTGAACCGATGATTCAGTGAACCGATGACTCAGCGACTCATTGAATCAATGAACCGATGACTGAGTGAATCACTGAGTCGATGCGGTAAAAAATCACTTAATGAACCAATGAATCAACGACTCGGCAAAGCAATGAACCAGTGAACCAAACAATGAATGAATGAATGATTGGAATGCAATGGAATGGAATGGAACGGGACGGAATGGGAATGGGAATGGGAATGGATATGGATATGGATATGGACATGAAAATGGAAATGGAAATGGAAATGGAATGGAATGGAATTTGGGAATGGAATGGGAATGAAATCGGAATGGAATGGGAATGGAATGGCAAAGGAATGGTAAAGGAACGGGAGTGGAACGGGAGTGGAATGGGAATGGACATGGACATGAACATGAACATGAATGAATGAATGACTGAATGACTGAATGACTGAATGACTGAATGACTGAATGACTGAATGACTGAATGACTGACTGACTGACTGAATGACTGACTGACTGAATGAATGAATGAATGAATGAATGAATGAATGGTTGAATTGAAGAATTGAATTGAATTGAATTGATTTGATTTGGATTTGAAATTGAATTTGATTTGAATTGAATTGAATGAATGAATTGAATGACTGCATGCATGCATGCATGCATGCATGAATGAATGAATGAATGCATGAATGCATGAATGCATGAATGCATGAAAGCCTGAATGCATGAATGCATGAATGAATGACTGAATGACTGAATGAATGACTGAATGAATGAATGGATGCATGCATGCATGCATGCATGCATGCATGAATGAATGAATGAATGAATGAATGAAACATGCATGCATGAATGAACAAAAGAACGAAGGAACGAACGAACGAATGAATAAATGAATGATTGAAAAAATGAATGAAGGAAGGAATGAAGGATGGAATGAATGAATGGAAGACTGAATGAATGAAAGGTTGAATGATTGAATGATTGAATGATTGCGTGATTCAGTGGTTGATTGATTCATTGATGGATTGACTGACTGGTTGATTGATTGATTGATTGATTGATTGACTGATTGATTGGTTGACTGATTGGTTGGTTGATTGAATGAATGAATGAATGAATGAACGAACCAGTGGGTCGATGAGTCAGTTAACCAGTGAGTCAATGAACGAATGACTCGATGAACCGGTGACTTGAGTCAATGGAAGACTGCACTAGTGGGTCGATGAACCAATGAATCAATGAGTGAACGAACGAATCCATGGAGGGATGATTGAGCCACTTCTTTGTTGAGCTACTTCTTCACTGAGCCACCTCTTCGCTGAGGTACCTCTTGTCTCAGCTACTTCTTCTCTGGGCCGCCTCTTATCTGGGTTATTTCTTTTCTGACCCTGCTCTGAGCTGCCTCCCGGCTAGCTCTTCTGTAGCTTCTGCAGCCCAATTCTTCTCTTCGACCAAAACCGAGATCTGGCTACAGTCTTGTTCGCTTTTTTGTCGACATCGAGCCCCGCCGCCGCGGAAACAGAGACCCTACTTCGGCAACCACATTACCCGAAATTACAGGACCGGAGAACCCCACAAGTCAACTTCTTCCAATAAGCGCAAAACAGCTGTGAAACATGGGATGGGAAAGGCAGTAAAAGGAAAGGAGAAGGTGGAAAACAGATGGGTGTGAAAGAGTTGTGTGGAAGAGTTGTGTGTGACAATGTTCTGTGTGTGAAAGATTTGTGTGCACAAGAGATCAAGAGTATACAAGAGTTTTGTGTGAAAGAGCTGTGTAAAAAAAAACTGTGTGAAAGAGTTGTGCGTGAAAGAGTGGTGTGTGACAAAGTTGTGTGTTTGTGACATCGTTAAGTGCGAAAGAGTTGTGAGTGTGACAATGTTGCGCGTGAACGAGTTCTGTGTGTAAGAATTGTGTGTGTGTGAAAGATTTGTGTGTGTGGAAGACTTGTGTGTGAAAGAGCCACGCCTGCCACACAAAAGGAACGTCGATGTCACCAAGTGCCGCCCCTGCCACGCGAAGGCGACGTCGATGTCAGTGTGTGTCAAAGTTGTGTGTGTGTGTAATAGATTGCGTGCGTGCGTGCGTGCGTGCGTGTGTGTGCGTGTGCGTGTGTGTGCGTGTGTGGCGTGCGTGTGTGTGTGCGTGCGTGCGTGTGTGCGTGTGCGTGCGTGTGCGTGCGTGCGCGGTGGGGGGCGTGGCGGGGTGCGTGGTGGGCGGTGCGCGTGGGGCGTGGGCGTGGGTGGTGTGGGGTGCGTGCGCGGCGTGCGGGCGTGTTGGGTGCGTGTGTTGCGGGGTGGGTGGGGGCGTGAGTGCGTGGGTGCGTGCGGTGGTGGGTGGTGTGGGTTGGGGGTGGGGGGTGGGGGTGGGGTGGGGTGTGGGTGTGGTGTGTGGGTGTGTGTGGGTGGGGGTGGGTGTGGGTGTGGGTGTGGGTGTGGGTGTGGGTGTGGTGGGGGTGTGGGTGGGTGTGGGGTGTGGGTGTGTGGGGTGTGGGTGTGGGGTGTGGGTGGTTGGTTTGGGGTGGGGGGGCGTGGCGGCGTCGCGGTGCGTGCGCGTGGCGTGCGGAGTGAGTGGAGTAAGTGGTGGGCGCGGAGCGGCGCGCGTGCGCGTGGGGGTGTGCGTGTGTGTGTTGTGTGTGTGTGTGTGTGTGTGTGTGTGTGTGTGTGGTGTGTTGGTGTGTGTGTGTGTGTGAAAAAGTTGTAAGCTGTGGTTGGCACGGAGGAGGCAGCGGGCCGGCGGACGACGGGATATAGACCAGAACCCCACACATCAAGATCTGGGGAAAAACACAGGGTTTCGCGCCCGAGAGTGTTTTCACCCGTGCTTTCACACGCTTCCGAACTGTTACACTTCCCAACTACTTGATGATGGGTGCTTGACATGATGATGTGCTTGACATGATGATGTGGTTGATATGATGTGGTTGACATGATGATGTGGTTGACATGATGATGTGGTTGCCATGATGGTGTGGTTGACATAATGATGTGGTTGCCATGATGGTGTGAATGCTAACCCATGACCATCGTCCGTAACTCGGAAGTTTTCAAATTAAACTTCCTTTAATGACTTCTATATTTGATTCATCTGCTTGATTCATCTTCTATTGAGATGCCATCTCAAATCTATCCTGAGTCTGAGGATATCTAGACATTCACAGGTTGTAGATTCAATTGGCCACTGTCAATTATTAAGGCAAGAAGTGCTAGTAGTGGTCCTTAAGGGTGAAGCCGTCGTGAGCAGTGATGAAGTTGATGGAATGGTAAGGCTTTCTTCCGTTGTGCTTGAAAAGATCAGAGCTGCCACAAATCCTTCGAGGCGGTGGCTGATCCTTGCCTGTAACGCAAATGCTTGGTAAGTCTTATGCCCGGTCGTGGTGTTCCATTGGTGTTGACAATGGTTTTCCAATGGACTTTGACCTCAAACCAAGGTCAACAAATGCCCCACGCGGCAGGCCCAAGTACGAGACGTATGGTTTCAATTGGTTTCAATTGGTTGGTTTTATAATTGATTTTATATAGTTGCTTGGTTTCAATTGGTTTCATCATTGATTTTAGTTGGTGTTGATGCTCCCTTCATCTAATTTGTGTCTGGAGTGTACAGATTGCCGCTTTTCCAGTCCTGGTGGCAAAGTCTCCCTTCTTGCCAGCATCTCCTTTGATGAAGCACCGTACGGTGTCTCGGAAAATGCCGTTCCTCACAGCGCCGCGTGGGTCGTCGTGGGTCGAAACATGTCGAAACGGACCCAAAGAGACACCGGATCCCCCACGACCAACGACCCAGCACTGCAGCAACGACTTGATCAGAGCTGCCACTCCGCCCATCTCGGGGGTCCACCAGAAGGGAACTTTCCAACGAGGTAGCCTGGCTGCATCTGGCTGCGCTTGCGCTTGCTGGTTGATCTAGTTGCCAGTGACACTGCTTAGACTTCTGATGACTTCTGAAAATATTGAACTTGATGCAACATGATGACAAAACACAGAGGCGCACAGGTTTCCTTTTGCAGTTTGCATTTCCAGTTTGTCACTACAGGTTGGAGTCATCCCGATTTGTCCATCTTAGTTTTTCTCTTAGTGCAACTCTGGGACCATCTGGCCAAGAGCAATCCCATGCTTCTGCAATGAACTTTGCTCTCCTTAGCTCAGTCGGACTGGGACTTGTCATGATTTGTCACCCATTATTCACCCATTAAATCTCCCTCTCCAAACTGCACTTAAGATCTGCGTGAATCACGATGTTTCAGATGCCAACAAGCATCTTCAACTTTGGTTCATTCGCCATCTTCCGCATGAGGAGTGGGTCCATGGAGACCTGCGATCCATTGCGATCCCCCCATGTTGGTTTTGAGGCTGTCTCCCATCAGTCCGAAGCCAGTCCAAGGCATTCAATCGCATTCAGCATGGAATGGGGTTTAGACGGGTTAGATTCCAGGTAGATGTCCAAATGTCATCAAATGTCCATTTGAAATTGGAGTGCACCTTGCCATCGCCTCCTCTCGTAAGCGCCGATGCCAGATCGAAACGGAAGCCATCAACATGCATCTCTTCCACCCAGTAGCCTTGGTTTTTTCACTTGGAAAGCAGGCGGGGATCGAACTGATGGAATGCGATGAATGATGCTGCGATATGCTGACATGATCTGCAGTGCAGTTTGGTTCAGGAAGAGCTCATGTTGTGATCCTTCTGCAACTATTGGATTGTGGCCAATTGTGGCAACAAAATCTGCTATGCAACAGAAAGCTCTGCCAAGCAGCACAAGCATTCGACAATCCAGTCAGAACACATTGGGTCATTTGCACTTACAGTGTTTCCGCAACCTCACAAGTGAAGACAAAAATCTTCCCGGCACCCAGACTTCCCAGACTTGCGATGTTGGAAATTGTTGGATGTTCGATTCAGCGAGCCTGTGTAGTTTGTGTCATGCCCGTTGTTGAGGATGTAGTAGCGATGCTTTGCTATGGCAGCCCAGCTATGCCAAAAATGTTCGCCCCAAGCACCTCATTTCTTCAAGAAATTTGACATGATTTACAGTAAGACAGAGAAAAGAACTCCAGATATGTCAGCTTCGGCCAAACTGGTCTCATTGTCGGCAGTCTCCTGTGCTTCGACTTCAATCATTAGCCTGTTTGCAATTCAATACTCTTATTTGATAGTCGATCAAGAAGTCATCAAATATCCCTCAAACATCCCTCAAAGGTTGCTGTATAGATGCGAGAGAAAAAGAGTCTCCACCTGACTCACATCCACCATGTCGATCAAAGGTTTTTTTGGGGAAGAGCACCTTCTGCAGTATGGTTGAAGACCACATCGAGAATGACTTCAATGCCTCGACGATGAAGCTCTCCTCTGCGCCAAGTTGCTCTTGCAACATCTGGGTATGGCTACAATGGAGTACGCATGGAAACACAAACATAATCTAACATGATCAAACACGATCAAACATAATCAAACATGATCAAACTTATGTTTCTTTAGTATTTGAATGTACGTATGTTACGAATTTTTACTATCCCAAAGTTGGGGTCCATGATTCTGAGGCCGTCCAGCAACGCTCAAAAACACTCCAGCGTTCGAAGGCATCCGAGTCATTTTGAAGCAAAACTATATCCAACACTGCACAACTTCAGAATCTGTTCTCACTTTTCTCCATCTCAGGTGCAGCGCTCAAACACTTCTGATCGCTCACCAAGCGGCGAACCATGGTTTTAAAACCAACGATCGCAGCACCGATCCGATCTCCTCAGGATGAAACTGGATGGTTTAAGCAGACGTTTTAAGCAGACGTTAATGTTTGCCACATGCTCATTGAAGCAATGAGTCTACAAGCTGCATGACAGGGAGCTTGAAGAAAAGCGCTGCATTGGGACAAAAAAGTTTACCTGAAATCATCGCAACTGGACAGATACATCAAACAATGGCACCATTGCATGATTTCATCTTATGTTCATCAACACGACTGGACCGACGACCGAACCGACTGGGAAGCTGCCAGCATAACAATTTCAGTATCTCAACATACTGTTTGTTGATTCGAATGAGAACACAAGGGGGCTCCAAGGTACAGTGGAGTATCCCCAGAAGTGGCAAAGCTGTTCTCCGTTCTCTGGGTTTCTCCTGAATGCAGCGCACCACCAAGAAGCTCCCAAGCACTCTCTGGTGCTGCGGCTTTGTCCAATGGGTCATGCTCTATCTATTCAGCCGTGGCAAACAGTTTGCACAAGCCATCTCCTTGGACAAGCCGTCTCGTCAAACTCGTACACTGGCAATAACCTCAGCGTCAAAACAGCTCTGATCAGCTCTTTTTGTCTGTGTGATAACCCCAGTGTTCTCTGCTGTGAATATGTGGAATGTGTATTGAAAAATCGTCATGTCTTATCAATGAAACAATTTCTCGGACAACTAGAAACACATATTTTGATGTATGCATAGAAACACCATATATCATACAAGCAACACTCACCACTTTAAGCATCATAATTATAATAATCACATGCTATGTCATCATGTATATATTATAATAATCACATGCTATGTCATCATGTATATACAAAATAGGTTTCATTTTAAGCATCATGAATCATAGTCATATGCTATGGCTGCTATATCATCATGTATACACAAAGATAGGTTTCACTTGCTGGAGAAGTATGTGTTTTTTTCCTGTTGCACTGCATATGGCCAATCATACTGAGCCACACTTCTGGAAAACATGAAACAAAATAAATCAACATCTGTCAGACAGAGTGGTGCATCTAAGTTGCTCAACTGCATTGATGCCCATCTCGAGCAAATGAGGGATCTTCTGGATAAAGCCTGCGGGCATGGTGGGCCTGGAACTGACCCTCAAACCAAATTAAAAAAATCCAAACGCACGGAAACGCATCCAAGAATGTAAAACTGCAGATGCAAATAGATGCAATCTATATGGTATAGCCTAAAAAGGTTCCAGCCGTTTGGTCCCAATCGTCCAGTTTGCTATCTGGATTCCTTAGTGTGGGATTGGAAAAGGATGGAAAAGGCACAAATCATTCCAAGAACGTGTTTGCAAGAGGCGGTGCCTTTTGATGACATGGTGTGTAGAGGCGAACTTGGGGTGCAGTTCCACTTAGTATGGCCATGATAAAAGGGGCCCATTGATCCCAACTTGTGGAGGTTATAAAATGTTATTAAAAATCGTTGTACCAAGTTGTATCCATTGATCCCAACACCCTCAATTTCTTCGACTTTCGAGAAAGTCTCCGAGTCATGCCCCGCACGTGGGTCTCGTAGATCACCAAGTCCTTCAAGTGCTTTCCCGGAGGCTTTACGCCTGGGCACCGCTCCAACCCATGGCGTAAACACCAACTCTGACAGTGTCAGTCTGCATCAAAGGACTCATGATGATTCATGATGACCCATGATGATTCATGATGATTCATGATGATTCATGATGATTCATGGTGATCTATGACGATCTATGATGATCTATGACGATCTATGATGATCTATGATGATCTATGATGATTTATGATGATCTATGATGATTTATGATGGTTTATGATGATCTATGATGATCTATGATGATTTATATTGATGAGTCATATTGTTGATTCATGTTGATGATCTATATTGGTGATTTATGGTGATTCGTGATTCTACGAAAGCTATGGCGGTATTTCGATTTCCAGATCGCGAAAAAGCAGGCCTTGCCAGTCAAAGTCGTAGATAGCTCTCCGGTCGGGGATCACCGCCATGGGTGAATATCGGGGACCTGGCATTGTGGCTCTATCACTGCCACTGTAAATCATGATGAACATAAACTAGAGGGACAAGCAGCATCAAGCAGCTGTCCTGTTGGTACATTCAAAGATATTCAAAACATGTCAGGACCCGACCATCTCTCTTGTTCCAATCCTTTGCATAGCGGCTGTCCAGGCATTTTGCACAAGGATCGAGGATTCGCATGGATCCACCCTGGGATGGTGTCAGCTTTTTTTCAGCGACTTCGCGACTTCATGTCGCTTTTTGCGTCCAAGTTCGATCTGCACCAAATCCAGGCTGAAACATTCCATGAATAGTGGATTTTCCCATTAAAAAATGGTGATTTTCCATAGCTATGTTAGTTTACCAGAGGGTAGTCGGTGTAGTGTAGTTCCTCCCTCAAGTCTGTGTAATCAGTGCCTGTGGCATGCCATTCTGATCCAACTTGGGGTACAGGATCCACCTGGCCACGCGATGCCACGTGTGACAGCAGTGTGATATGGACAGGTCAAGCCTAGCGGATTTGTGTTGAATGTGCCAACTAATTTGATTTCAATGGCTGGCAGGAAATTCACCCAACAAATTTGAGTGAGTTCTTATACAGTTCTTCAGAAGGATCTCAGGGTGCGAACGCTCTCGACTTTTCTTTCTCGGACAGCATCTGATGCAACTGCTAGCGCGCTCGCTGCGATGCTTTGCGAAGCTGCAGAAAGGATGATTGCCACGGCCTCTGGCGTCAACAGTAGTGATTTCACCTGTACCTGTACGAGTCGTACGAGTGTGGTACAAATGTACAAGTCGTCGCGTCACCAAACCAAGGACTGGGTGCAATGCAAAGGGCGTCCTTGGAAGGGTTGGATCAACATGTTTCAACCTTACCAGCCTTACATACTTTACTAATCTTTACTAGACCTGCAGTGACCCGCATGTGCTCTGCTCCAGCCCAAGTGATCCAAGTGGCAGGAAGGGCAATGTCCGCAGGCAGAAGACCTTCTTTGTTTCTGATTTCCACACTTGCACGGGCATTCAGCAAAGCCTCCACAACTGGTGCCTCAAGCACTCAAGCACAACGCACAAAGGAGAGACATGCGATCCCAAAAATCCATAAAAATCCCCCGGAGAGCATTGTGACAATGAGAATGATGGCACACTTTTTCCACCAATTGTTGTGAACAGACACCAGCATAATTGTTGGTGTGTTCATCCCCTTCATACTTGAGAGTAGAAGCATTCAACACCATTCAACGGTGCGAAGACGTTCCATGGCAAACACAAAACTCTGCAATAGTTTTCAAGCATTGGCTGCATATGCTGCAACCTTTATCAACCTTTGGCAGCCGTTACTTTCACCAGCTGAAAGCAACTGCACCTTGCGGGTTCTGAGCCAAGTCTCCCCACTTCGGCGGGTTACAGCCAAATGCAGCGCTGTGGAACCATCGGAGTCAACTGAGTCGCTTGGGTCGGAACCGATTCTCTGAAAAGTGTCGCTTTGATTGACCTTTTATTGACCTTTTGTTGAGAATGTTGAGCCGAGTTTTCAAATCCATCTCGACGACTCAGTGCGAGCCTTCATCCACCATTGCTTTGGCCTCCAACAGCACTCTTACTCCAAGGCCATCAACTGCAAGGTGCAAGGGACTTCGGCCTTGTGGATCACCTGGCTGCACTGCTCGAGATATCTGGAAAAACCACCTGGCTGCCCTGTTGAGAAAGCGAATCTTCGTGACAGCTGAACCGCGGAACGAAGAGAACACGCTGAGAGGGGGACGATGATCCACCGCAAAGCCTCTGGCAAGCAATGCCTCTAATGCTGGGGCACCGCAATGAGCTGCGTGGTGGATGGCCAAAGCCTGAAATGGTGACGGCAAAGTTGAGCAAAGTTCAAGTTGATGCAGTTCAATGCATCTTAGATCTGCAAATATCGGCAGGGACGAGCATCCAAAATGGCAGTGACAAACCACACGATTTACTCAAGAGATCATACGTCAGAACTATAGCATTTCATATAGAGCATATATTGCTGGTCAAAGAAGATTTGCTCGACAGTTGAGAGTTGATATAGAATTGATAAGTAGATGGACGGATCACAGAACAAAAACAGTGCTCCAAATCAGAACGCGTATTCCACTGTGCGCTGCACAGCAATAAGCATCTAATCCACCAACATCTCCTGGAAGGTTTCTCAGGAAGTTCTTGTCCAAGCAAAGCATGGATGCAGCCAACCTTGGCAATCCTAAATCTTTCAAATCTTTTAAAAAAACATCAAAGTTCCATCAAAATTGATCAAAACGATATAATATAAAACAATCATCGCGCCCACATAGCGAAACGAAAGGGAGAACGACTGCAGAGACTTTACATTGAATTGAGAAGCTCAAAACAGCTGGTTTAATACATTTTTCAATTTAAAACATATTTAGACAACATCAAAACTTCAAGACCTTCAAGGTTCAGGATCTGCTTTCAGCCGGTGAAACATCACCAAGCTACAAGGCTCCAGGACAACACCCCGCTTTGTCAGTGACTTCTGCTCGGGCCTGTGACTCATCCGCAATGGAAAGAAACCAAATGTGTACTGGGCCACTGGGTAGTGGGTCTCTGTCACACACTTACCTTTTTCATCCTTGTCTGCGTAAAAACCTGTGGTTTGCAAAGGTTGGCAGCCATAGCTTGTCCCGCTACAACATGATGACCACTAGTACGAGTTTGGACAGCCAACAGGATGTGATCTATTCTGAATTTATGAAGCAAAAGAAACGACAAACGCAGAAAATTGTTGTCCCCCGCGAGCCTCTAGCAAGAGTGCCACGCTCTCATTGTCCCTCGCATAAGCCAAAACCGTCTGCCCTGCGGCATCACGCGCCTACCGGGCAGTAAACATCATTGCCATTGCAAAGCTTGGACACAAAATCCTTGGATATCCTGTATATTGAGAGCTTTCAAGTAAATTCGAACTGAGTCACCTGCAACAGCTGCGGCGATTTCTTGAAGTCGAAGCCTCGGCCCAGGTCGCAAATGTTGGAATTACATCAACATTTACCGGGAAGTTGTCCCTACTGGAACGCCATCAACTTCTCTATGGAGGGAGACATTCCTTGTAGGGACACTCCTAGAACATTCCTTTTCATTCATCTTGATTCCAAATAATTCAAATTCATTCCAAATAATTCCATTTCATTCCAAGTAATTATTGTTCATTCCAAATAGTTATTTGTCATTAACACGTTTTAGATTAGTTTTAAAAAGTTTTCAAATATGTGTTGATAATTTTCGAGATTTTTAGATTGTTTGCGAATGTTCTGGACTTCTGGATTTTTTGCATTTGTTTGGAACGTTTTATTTTTTTGATTGTTTGGAACTTGTGTTATGCTTTATTTTTATTTTGTATATTATATGTTAGATTTTTTTGGCTTTTTGGAGTTGTTTCTATATGTGTTTTGATTTTTTGTGTTTTTTTGTAATTGGATCGATGTTTTTGAAGGTTATTTTGTTTTCTTGATGTTTGTATTTTCGTTGTTTTGAGATTTTTTGGATTTTCTTTGAGAATTTGTTTGAACAGATAGCAACCATTAGGAGTAGCCCAGGGCTCTTTAATGAGTAAATCAACGACGGGAGAAAGTCAACTCAGTTGTTTTGCTCCATGTAACTCCGCATGAATCCAGTCATGTCTTAACAACAGGGGTTGTAATATATTTACATCAACTGTTGAAGTTATTTGTACTTACTATATGTTACTCTGGGGAACATCATATGATATGGATTTCACCAGCTTGTTGAGCCCTTTCCTACTGGAACTCCCATCATACTTGCAGCTTTTCACCATCCATCATGCAGAAAGATGTGATGGGTCAGGAGTGTCTCACCTGCTAGCTCCGCCTTTCCATCCAAGCATCAAATTGTCACTCTGCAACAAATTCATTCATGAATCACACATAATATGATGTAAGGTCCCGATTAGTAGCTCGGTTCGCGATTGTGGCTAGAGATTTCCAAATGTCTTCAGAGTACATGTATTGCGGCCTTGGTTCGGTATTGTGGTTAATTTGTTTGGAAAAAGTGAACGGGACCCTCTCATGGCTGGTGGCTTGAACACTTGTTCGGGTGTTGTTCTTTAAGAAGGCTTTAATGAGAGATTGGATCCTTTAGGAAAGGCAGACAAGCAAGACTTTTTTAGAGAAAAAACTAAGAATAATTCAAAGAAAACACTTTTTGTTAGAAAAAAAACAAGTACATACAAGTACTACAAGTACGTTTTAAATTGTCGCCAATTAAAATCCTTACTTAAATCAAATGTATGATTGTATCCTAACAGTTTTCAAGACTCAACTTTAAAGAGAGTATAGCATTTGTTTGAGGGGGGTACCAGCAAATCAGGACGCAACATTAACACATCTTAAAACTAATTATTCCAAACGTCATTTGAAACATGTTGAAACTCCTTGAATCATTGTAATGTGGGTAAAACACTAATAAACCATCCTCCAAATCACTTTTACCATTCCCAAATGGGTGGTTTATTCTTGTTTTTGGTGCCGGGCATCTGAGAGGCTCGCGACTGCTGTCATGTTTTGCATCATACTATCAAACATAACATTGGCACGGCCACACATATGTGATGCTACGCTACTGCACGTTCTCCTGCACTGGCACACATATGTGATGCTACGCTACTGTACGTTCTCTTGCACTTCCACACATACGTCATGCTATGTACGCTACTGTACGTTCTCTGGCACTTCCACACATATGTGATGCTCCGCTACTGTACCTTCCCCTGCACTGGCACACATATGTGATGCTACGCTACTGTACGCTCTCCTGCACTGGCACACATACGTCACGCTCTGCTACTGTACGTTGACAGACATGATGGTGATGATGATGATGATGATGATGATGGCGATGATGTTGTTGTTGATGTTGAGACTAAAGTTTCGTTTTTGGCCCGTTTCAGTTCCCCCCTGTAAAACTTCTGAAAAGTGACAGTGACAGCAGTCGCGAGCCTTTCAGAATCTTTCAGATGCCCTTTTTCCATGTTTTTCCCATACAATTTCAGCAATCTGTATAATCTATACCCTCTGGTAAACTAACAGTTTGCTATTGAAAATGGCCCAGTCGAAATAGTGGATTTACCGATTTACCCATTAAAAATATTTAAAAATGGTGATTTTCCATAGTTTTTGGTATGTTTACCAGAGGGTATACTTTTCTGTGATTGACACCGCTATACACCGGGTCTACTCCAAGGCGCTGCGTGCCTTCAGTAAGGCTTGCAGGGCCTTGGCAGCGTGGCCTTCCGCAGCGTGGTGCAGCAGCGTGCGGCCCTTGTGGTCCTCCCTAAGGCCACGGCGTGGCTATGTCCATGGTGATAACCCCAATAGTTGGGATATAACCCACTATCACTAATAGTTGGGATATAACATTATGATACATTATGTAATATAAATTAATATAACATTGTCCATAATTATGTCCATGGTGATAACCCGGCATAATGTAATATAACTTAATATAACTTACTCTCACCCCTATCAGTATGCCAATATATATCCACAACTTTGCCGTTATCATCCACTTATAGCTGGAACTGCACCCACAAGTGACGTGTGACACATCGGCTCGACGCTTTTTAAGAGTCTGAAACCATAACCACTTCAACCATAACCTGTGTTCCATGGTGCACTTCATAGCATGATTCTGCAAAAAAAAACAGACGCTGGACGGATCTGTACAGTTCAGTGCATCATCGCCCAGGTAATCCCAGGTATCCACGCAAATCCAGTTGTGTCAGGCTTTCTGCGAACGCAAAGCCGGGCTGGGCATCAACTTCTGCACCACGCCGTTCCAACTCCTTCAACGAAAGGAATGGAGGAATGGAAGCCAACTGCATCACTTTTATTCACTTTTTACAGTCAACTGCATGGACAATACACATCAATACATATCAATACACGTTCATAATGTTCATATTCATATCTTTCATCATTTTTGCCAAGCAGCATGCTGGGCATGAAATTCCCTCCTCAGGGAGATGTCATGTCAGATTGCAGGTCCAGGTCCGGATTCGAGGATGGTGAACATGTGTGAAGCTCGTGTCTGCACACAACAATTTGATTGCCATTTGATTGCCATGTTGCAGTTGTGTTGATAGTCGCTGGTGTTGTGATTTCTTTTCTTGGCATGACAAACATGACAAAGTATTTCAAGCCCAACTCCAAGTTGACCTCTTTTTCTTTGCAGAGTTGAAAGCAATTTTTAAGAGTTTCTCTGTTTGTACAAAACTTTGGAACCCAGCTCCATGCACAACGCGTTGCAGACTGCACATACTCCTGGCAAGAGAACGTTGAGGCTTGAGTCTGGGGATCTGCTTTGAAACTGAAGTTTAAACCCTGGCTGGCTGTTGCTCACAAGCTCACGTGTTATTGAGCACTGCACCTACAAAATGCTACAAACCTATGCCTAGTCTTTTGACATCGAAAAGCCGGTGCTTCCTCTTCGGGATCTCCTGGTCCTTCAGACCAGGAAGCAGCCCATGTCTGCAAGACAGAGCTGGCCTGCGGATTGATTGGGAGCTCAAACAGTAAGAGACAACAATGACCCCGAGAAATCCTCTGCTTGGGCCCAGGCAGTTCCGCACAGCCGCCGCAGCGCTTGCCGTGATGGCGAATGACAGTCCAAGATCTGCGCAGAAACTCAAAAGGGACAAGGACGGACACTTGCGTTCATGCAGCAGCGTCACCTTTGAGTCTGGATACTTTGCCAAAGGCGTGCATGCTGGATATCTCTATCCTGTGTGCGTGTCACTCTCATTTGCCTGTTCAGATCTGGCATGCGCAGATAACCATGCCAGCTTTGTATGGTTGCCATGTTGAGACCATGGTGCCACCATATATGCATGCATCTTCACATCTCCTTGGATGCCATGTGAACTACTGCGATCTTGTCGGATTGAATCTATTGATTACAGTAAATATATCCTCTGGTAAACTAACAGTTTGCTATTGAAAATGGCCATTTATAGTGAGTTTTCCCATAAAAAATGGTGGTTTTCCATAGTTATGTTAGTTTACCAGAGGGATCCAGAGGGTATTGAGTATTGATATGTCAATCCTCCTGATCTCCCAATGTACCAACCAAATCGGCAGGAAGAGCATGGAATTTCAGGACCTCGAGTACACGGCAAATCCAGCAGGACCAGTCATCCACCTTCAGCCAAGCATCGGGCCCAATTGAAGGGCAAAGATATCGTACCCACTGGCCACAAGCCCCGGGTGCAACCTGCAACTTCACATGGCGCAAAGTCTAAAATTCCATGGAAATTCCGCGTTTTTTTTCATGGATTGAAACATGGAAATTGCTGGTCTTTCAATATTTCTTCAGTTTCTCTCAGTTTCTTTGGGATGTTCCCATGGATTTGATTGTCAAACCAACTCGCTGCACGTTGCCTGGCAAGCGTCGAACCGTCAATGCAAGGCTCCCTGGCTGCAAGCGTTGCAGTGCCGAACGTAACTTGAAGAGCAACGGCACCGAGAAAGCCTGGTGAACCAAGCTGAACATTTCAAGGGTCACTGAGCATCACTGAGTCACATGAGTTTTCCACTTTTTTCAAATGTTCGATCATTTCGCAGCAAGACTGCATTTCGAATTGAATGAAGAACAAGATGCAGGAACACAAAGTTGCATTTGCTAAGGCCCAAGTTTCATAGCCTCAACACTGAAGAAAAAATCGAACTATCAGGATCCTAATGAATCCAAATGTGCTGAAATGGGCTGTACGGCTGTACGCTGACGAAATTCAGCAAGGAGCAGCAGAGTTCACATAGACCAAGGTGGCGTTGAGCCAGGCATCCACCTTGAGGAAGTCGCCTTGAAATCCCGAGCTTCGGTCGAAGTAACTGTCCAAATATATAATTAATTATTATGCTCCCGTCAAAATCCTTTACATCTGAGTAGATGCTATTGTTATGGTTATCGCTTTGGGGGGTCTATCGCTTCCAGGGTTTTGTAGAAATCTGCATATTCAAGATCCAACATGAAGCCAAAATCCATTCCTAAACAGGCTCGGAAATCGATCTAGGAGTTGTTTTGTTGGTTTCAGCTGCTTCGGCTACAATTCATGTTGCTTTCATTTTGCATTCATGTCCTTTCATCTTCCTTTCATGCTGCATTCATTTCCTTTCATTTTCCTTTCATTTGTATTCAGTATTCATTTCTTTTCATTTTCCTTTCAGATTCCTTTCATGTTTATGCCAAGGTGCATTCATTTCATCTCCCTTTCATGTGCATGCATTTTCCTTTCATGTTGCATTCATTTCCTTTCACTTCGTTTCTAAGGCTATGGAAATGGGTTTCTGGCTTGGCCAGGGGACCGAGTGCAACACATGGTTATCGCTAAGGTTATCGCTAAACAACCCCTACAACACATGACATTGTTCGAAGGAATTTTCCGCAAAAGGACAGAGATAGAGAGAGAAAGAGAGAAAGAGAGAGAGAGAAAGAAAGAGAGAAAGAGAGCGAGCGAGTTGGATGCCAAATGATATGGTACAGTGACTGCAGGAAACAGGGCACCACAGGTTGAACTTGCCTCATCGGTTTTGCCCCTTGGGTGAATGTGTACAACGGTGTTTCCTTGGTTTACACCAAGTTCAATGGACTGTGTATGGTCCCAGGTTATTGCTTTTGGGGGGCCCTATTGCTTTACAGTGTTTCGTACACATCTCTGACAAAAAACGCCTGCAATACTAAAGTGGTCTTCAACCATCATGACTGTGACTCATGTGTATATATATATATAATTATATATCCGCCGACCCTGGCCTTCGCCAAGGCCGGGGCGGCGCCTGGGACCACCGGAGGTGTGGATCCTGTCTTTCTTGAACCTTTGCCACGCCGTGGATCCTGTCTTTCTTGCACCTTTGCCACGCCCACACTCCAGGCAAACGCCATCACAAGGCCACAGCAATGGCTCAAGGCATCCCCCCGGCCGCAGCAATGGCTTCTTATAGGCGTTCACGGCTGCCGTTTGACAGGCTTCAAACCCTTAAAACGCTTAAAATGCCTCGCCGGCCGTTTGCCTGCATAGCGCTCTGTTGTTACGGCGTCCATGCCTCGGGCACGCCCGCAGGCAAAAGCCACCACAAGGCCACAGCAATGGCTCAAGGCATCCCCCCGGCCGCAGCAATGGCTTGTTCTCGGCGTTCAAGGCTGCCGTTTGACAGGCTTCAAACCCTTAAAACCCCTAAAATGCCTCGCCGGCCGTTTGCCTGCATAGCGCTCTGTGGTTAGGGCGTCCATGCCTCGGGCACGCCCGCAGGCAAAAGCCACCACAAGGCCACAGCAATGGCTCAAGGCATCCCCCCGGCCGCAGCAATGGCTTCTTATATAGGCGTTCAAGGCTGCCGTTTGCCAGCCTTCAAACCCTTAAAACCCCTAAAATGCCTCGCCGGCCGTTTGCCTGCATAGCGCTCTGTCGTTAGGGCGTCCATGCCTCGGGCACGCCCGCAGGCAAAAGCCACCACAAGGCCACAGCAATGGCTCAAGGCATCCCCCCGGCCGCAGCCATGGCTTCTTATAGGCGTTCAAGCCTGCCGTTTGCCAGCCTTCAAACCCTTAAAACCCCTAAAATGCCTCGCCGGCCGTTTGCCTGCATAGCGCTCTGTCGTTAGGGCGTCCATGCCTCGGGCACGCCCGCAGGCAAAAGCCACCACAAGGCCATAGCAATGGCTCAAGGCATCCCCCCGGCCGCAGCAATGGCTTCTTATAGGCGTTCAAGGCTGCCGTTTGACAGGCTTCAAATGCTTAAAACCCCTAAAATGCCTCGCCGGCCGTTTGCCTGCATAGCGCTCTGTCGTTAGGGCGTCCATGCCTCGGGCACGCCCGCAGGCAAAAGCCACCACAAGGCCACAGCAATGGCTCAAGGCATCCCCCCGGCCGCAGCAATGGCTTCTTATAGGCGTTCAAGGCTGCCGTTTGACAGGCTTCAAACCCTTACAATGCTTCCAATACTCCGCCGGCCGGTTTGCACCAAGCCCTGTAGCCGTCCTCGCCGTCAGCCCCTGCTGTTCCAGCGTTGCAGCCTGCCGTTTGCCTGCACAGAGCCCAACACGCGCCACTCCCGCATGCACAACGCCCAACTTCGCAGGCAAACGGTACCCCAACAAGCCCAACAGGCGCCACGCCCGCAGGCAAAAGCCACCACAAGGCCACAGCAATGGCTCAAGGCATCCCCCCGGCCGCAGCAATGGCTTCTTATAGGCGTTCAAGGCTGCCGTTTGCCAGCCTTCAAACCCTTAAAACCCCTAAAATGCCTCGCCGGCCGTTTGCCTGCATAGCGCTCTGTCGTTAGGGCGTCCATGCCTCGGGCACGCCCGCAGGCAAAAGCCACCACAAGGCCACAGCAATGGCTCAAGACCCTTAAAACCCCTAAAATGCCTCGCCGGCCGTTTGCCTGCATAGCGCTCTGTCGTTAGGGCCTCCATGCCTCGGGCACGCCCGCAGGCAAAAGCCACCACAAGGCCACAGCAATGGCTCAAGGCACCCCCCCGGCCGCAGCAATGGCTTCTTATAGGCGTTCAAGCCTGCCGTTTGCCAGCCTTCAAACCCTTACAATGCTTCCAATACTCCGCCGGCCGGTTGCACCAAGCCCTGTAGCCGTCAGCCCCTGCTGTTCCAGCGTTGCAGCCTGCCGTTTGCCTGCACAGAGCACAACACGCGCCACTCCCGCATGCACAACGCCCAACTTCGCAGGCAAATGGTACCCCAACAAGCCCAACAGGCGCCACGCCCGCAGGCAAAAGCCACCACAAGGCCACAGCAATGGCTCAAGGCATCCCCCCGGCCGCAGCAATGGCTTCTTATAGGCGTTCAAGGCTGCCGTTTGCCAGCCTTCAAACCCTTAAAACCCCTAAAATGCCTCGCCGGCCGTTTGCCTGCTAGCGCTCTGTCGTTAGGGCGTCCATGCCTCGGGCACGCCCGCAGGCAAAAGCCACCACAAGGCCACAGCAATGGCTCAAGGCATCCCCCCGGCCGCAGCAATGGCTTCTTATAGGCGTCAAGCCTGCCGTTTGCCAGCCTTCAAACCCTTAAAACCCCTAAAATGCCTCGCCGGCCGTTTGCCTGCATAGCGCTCTGTCGTTAGGGCGTCCATGCCTCGGGCACGCCCGCAGGCAAAAGCCACCACAAGGCCACAGCAATGGCTCAAGGCATCCCCCCGGCCGCAGCAATGGCTTCGTATAGGCGTTCAAGCCTGCCGTTTGCCAGCCTTCAAACCCTTACAATGCTTCCAATACTCCGCCGGCCGGTTGCACCAAGCCCTGTAGCCGTCAGCCCCTGCTGTTCCAGCGTTGCAGCCTGCCGTTTGCCTGCACAGAGCCCAAAACGCGCCACTCCCGCATGCACAACGCCCAACTTCGCAGGCAAACGGTACCCCAACAAGCCCAACAGGCGCCACGCCCGCAGGCAAAAGCCACCACAAGGCCACAGCAATGGCTCGAGGCATCCCCCCGGCCCAGCCTTGTTATAGGCGTTCAAGGCTGCCGACAGGCCCTTACAACCCTTAAAATGCCTCGCCGGCCGTTTGCCTGCATAGCGCTCTGTCGTTAGGGCGTCCATGCCTCGGGCACGCCCGCAGGCAAAAGCCACCACAAGGCCACAGCAATGGCTCAAGGCATCCCCCGGCCGCAGCAATGGCTTCTTATAGGCGTTCAAGCCTGCCGTTTGCCAGCCTTCAAACCCTTAAAACCCCTAAAATGCCTCGCCGGCCGTTTGCCTGCATAGCGCTCTGTCGTTAGGGCGTTTATGCCTCGGGCACGCCCGCAGGCAAAAGCCACCACAAGGCCACAGCAATGGCTCAAGGCATCCCCCCGGCCGCAGCAATGGCTTCTTATAGGCGTTCAAGCCTGCCGTTTGCCAGCCTTCAAACCCTTACAATGCTTCCAATACTCCGCCGGCCGGTTGCACCAAGCCCTGTAGCCGTCAGCCCCTGCTGTTCCAGCGTTGCAGCCTGCCGTTTGCCTGCACAGAGCCCAACACGCGCCACTCCCGCATGCACAACGCCCAACTTCGCAGGCAAACGGTACCCCACCAAATCCCTTCACGCTCGCTCGTTCAGGGTTCAAGCCTGCCGTTTGCCACCCCTCCAGCTTCTTAACCTGTCCGCAGCAGCGTGTGGACGCTTGCGCTGCCTTTGCCATGCTTGTTGCGGGTTCAAGACTGCCGTTTGAGAGCCTTCAAACGCCGAAACTGTCCGCAGCGGCCCTACACTGTGTCTTGTTGGGGGTTCAAGAGTGCCGTTTGCCAGCCTTCAAAGCCTTAAACCCCCCACAGCAGCCTTACACACTGTCTTGTTGAAGCTTTAAGAGTGCCGTTTGCCGGCCTTCAATCGGCTCAACCCTCCGCAGCGGCCCTACACAGCACTGTCTTGTTCAAACGGCTCAACCCTCCGCAGTGACGCTACACACTGTCTTGTTGAAGGCTCAAGACTTCAAACCCCTAAACGCTCTGCAGCCGCCCTACACACTGTCTTGTTGACGCTTCAAGGCTACCATTTGCGAGCCTCCCAACTCCCAACCCCTTACACACTGTCTTGTTGGGGCTGCAAGAGTGCCAGCCTTCAAACCCCTAAACGCTCCGCAGCAGCCCTACACAGTGTTTTGCTGAAGCTTCTACTCAAAACTCCCGTTGCCAGCCTTCAAACGCGTCAACCCTCCGCAGCGGCCTTACACACTCTATTGTTGGGGCGTTCCGCCGTTTGCCGGCCTTCAGACGCGTACTGTTCGCAGCGGCACTACACATTCTGCCGTTGGCGGTTCACGAGTGCCATTTGCCAGCCTTCAGACCTTTATTCAAACCGTTAAACCCTCCGCAGCGGCTCTACAAACTGTCTTGTTGCGGCTTCAAGACCACCGTTTGCTAGCCTTCAATCCCTAGCCACACTGCCTTGTTGGTGCTTCAAAGGAGGGTCGGCGGCACCCGGGCGTTAGCCCATTCTATATATATTATATATCAGACAATATGTGACCAATTGTGATCAATTGGAGTGTTTGTGGGGACTTGTATTTGAAAAAGAAACGTGGTCAACTATATATTCATTCAAGAATCGTGGTAATCGGTGCTTTTCGCATGTTTTTGAGGTTTTTTTTCTGCGCATGCACGCCTATCTTGTCCTTGCACCACTATTGCGGCTCAGCGTCCATGTAGCGTCGTCAGCCGTTGACGATCTGATCTCTCCAAACGGTCAGCCACCCGCTTTGCTGTGTTTGCCCTCTTCCTGGGCGTCTAGCATTGCAACAGCTGGTGGTGCAGGTTCGTTTCAAAGTCATGCGTCTTCAAGACATGTCTGATTGCAAATGGATCCTCATTCAAATTCGTTCCTTTGAGCGCTCTCGGAAAACTCTAATGTAATACAAGTGCAAAAAAAAGCTCCCATCTGGCGTGGACAACCTCTTGCATCCTGAAATTGGATGAAGTTAGTAAATTTCCTTCCTGGTACCAGTAGTTTGTATTCCCATGTTTCCAAGTCGGGCCCAGCATCTCTGATAGCTCCACTCCAATGGCTCTCATGGGAGTGTCCAACACGACCTGGAAGCTTTGAGCTCGTTACGACATGTATCGACGTCGAGGATCTGAACATATCTGAACCATGATGCCATGGGTCTTGGAATTCTTGGGAGTAAAAGGTTAGAGTATGTTACAGGAATTCTCGCGGCACAAACTGCACATGTTGCTCAATCTGTACAACAGCCAGTATGACTTCGATTGACTCAAACTCCAGAGCCTTCTGCTGCAACTTGGATAACTTGGAGCCTCACCTGCACCAGCACGCCGCCACGACCAGAGCCCAAGTCAGCAAAGATATCTTCTGATGTCAGAGGTGCAAAGGAGGCCATGAAGTCCTCCGGTGCCACCAAAACAGCGCTTCGCTTCTCATTTTACGCACATTGGACAAGCGCCAAAATGTGTCAAGGTTCTTTGAATTTGTTAAGCAATCAAACCTATTCCAAATATTCTAAATCATTCTATAATATTCTATAATAGTATAATAATGTATAATATAATCTATATTGAACCATGTCTACAGTCTACACCCATTTGTTTCAACGCAGCTTTTCGCTCCAGCAATTGACGCACACCATGAGGTCGCAGCTCCCCGTAAGTGCCAGAGTTTCCAAGACTCGGTTCCAAGGAAGGCCAGGCTTCAGAAGCATAGAACTCCGATACCTCTGGGGCACCAGTTCTACACATTTGATGCGACTGTCGCATGTGGATCATTTTGGTAGACATGCCATGACATGCCCCATTGGATTGTTATGGTTTGTGTGGAGTGCGCCTGTACGTCAGTTTCAACCGTTGTGAAGATGCTTGTCTGACCGCAGATTGTCTCATGTAGCTTTGCCATGCGTTTCCTCTACTCTATGGGTCATTTAAGTTCATTACAGGAAATACAATGTAATTACAGCTCAGCATGGCTTACTTTCCAAATCAGACATCAACAAATCAACAATTAGTTGTCGTCCAAAGTGCCTGTTCCGCAGCTGCAGGTGCAGTGCACTTCGGCTGAAGGTCCCAGCGTGACATGCCATAATCCAAAGCTTATAGCTGATGAAATGGAGGATTCACGCGACAACGCGACTCTCCATCGAACTCAGGCTCCATATCCGTCCGCAAGACAGGGCAAAGTCTCGATTCTATTGGGTAAAAGTCTCAGTGAGAGTAGTCTACTCTGGCTGGCCTTTCCTTAACAAGAAAGCTGTCAAGCATCATAGGTTTGATGCGGCAAGTGTGATGCAGCTGAGCTGAGCAAATATGGCGATGCGACAAGAGGCTAATTGGATGAGGATCTTACTAGTAGCAGTCAAACATGGCCATGGTCTGACTATTGCATGCTGCGCTTCTTTTGTCAAAGCTATTTACATGCGCAAACGGGCAAAGTTCTGGGAAATATTAAGATACATGGTGCAAAAGGTATCAAGTTGAGAAGCAGCTAAAGTACCTAAAGTAATGAACTGCGAAGAATGGATCGCCAATGCATGGTTGCTTGATACCTCATAGAACCCTTCGGTCACGTCAATAGCCACTAAAACGAAGAGAAATATGCATCTACCAAAGCCTTGTGAACTACTGTAACAATATGGACAGACACCATCATTTAGACATGACCGCAGGACCCAACACCATGCTACGGCCAATGAACTTCGGTCATCTTAGGGTTTGAAAGTGAGGTTGATAATGATACGTCATCGTCATGAGTACCGTGACTTCGTTCTGTGCCGACCGAGCTCACTGACTGAAGGACTGAAGTGCAGATGGAGTCAGAGCAAATGTTGCCTCTCTTGGAAAACACAGCTATTCCACGAGATTTTGTGCAACATGTAGGAGTTTGATGGATTTTGTGTGTGTGTGTAACACTCCATGTCCTCAAACACATGTGGCCCATGTGGACATGAGCCTATCTGGGCTGGCACAAAAAGATATGATTGACAACCATTCACAACCTGTATTGCCTATGGCCTCTGGGCAAATTGTAAGGCTTTTAGACACATGTAGCACAGAAAGTATACTAAAAATGACATTGAAAAGCCCTTCGCACATGCCAGGTCAGCTCTCGAGTTAAAGATGACAGCTGGCATCTGCACGAAAAATCCATGGCGCTCGACAGGTCTCTCTGCGTCCGACAGCTTTGTTCTCGTCAACGGACAAGACAAACTCGCATGTGCTTGAAGGATAGCCTTCTTGCAACCAAACATACCAAACAGGGCTGTCTCGGATGATCTTTGATCTTTTGAAGGAATGGAAGACTCAATATCCTTTAATTGCATTTAATTGCCAGATGTATTCATTGAAACAGCACAGGCCGTTTCTCATCACAATGTGGCAAGTGCTTCAACAGGGATTTCACCTCTATGGCAATGTCATTGAAGAATATTGAAGATATGTCAAAGCTGAACATGAACGCAAAGAGCAGAAGGCCATAGGTTGGGAAGAAGCACCAACTTTCACTTCAACCCAGTAGCCACAACTCTCGCAAATGAGCTCAAAGTTTCTATGCCCACTGCTTCCGACTACGGAGGAACTGTGAACTTGTTGGGGTAACCATGACCTATGAATCCTATGAGATTGCCGGGAAACAGCTGAAACTGACAGCAGTGATAAGCAGAGTGTTTAAAAGCTGCATTGAGGTTCCCATGTGTTCAAAGCTTGCGAAGACTTTGGAGAAACAAATTCCGGCGACTCCCAACGCATGGATTTGTTCAGAGTTCTCAGCTCCGGTGAGATAAGCTGCTGAAGCACAAAAGGTGGTTTTCTCTGGCGTTTGGATGGTTTTTAGCCGGGGCATGCCGGCTGTAGCACATGAATACTGTATTGTCTCTCTACCATTTGTGATAAATATAGTCATCGATAATGTATACACGTTCTTGTGACGGCTTTTTTGTGCTTCCGAGTTTTTGACAATCCGGCGAAACGCTTCGGGCTTAGCCCAGAAACGGTCGATGCACTGACAGGACAGATTTCTCATGATTTTGGTTGAAATGCAATTGGAATGCCAAGCAAATGCCAAGTCAAAGGCATGGACAAACGGAGCTTGAAGCTCCCGAAAAAGGATTCACATTGCAACAGCAAGGCTGCGCAAAAAGCATCAAGAAGCACAAGGGAGGTAAACACAGCTTCCCACACTTTTGTGATCTTTTAAGCTGCATTTCAGGAGCTTCCTATGCTTGGCACTTGTTTTCCCCAACGAGACTCAGCTGGCAAGCCTTCAAATCTCAGACACCTTGTCACAGAGGGAGACGTCAGTACTGAAGGATGTAGAGGTACTGTGCAGTAAGAGTAGCGAAAAATAGAAGAACAAATTGCACTTGAGGTTTCTGCTCTTGTCCAGTAGGCATCTGTACGCATCTGTATGTATCTGTATGCATCTGTATGCATGTTTGTTGAAGCTATTTGCGATTGTTTACACTTCTTCAACTGCCTTTCAGGGACGCTAGCCTTTATAAATCAGCTGAAACATGCAGAAACCAAAGACGCAAATGCCACCGACCTCAGCCACGGCGTCGGGTAGGAAGGCCAGCAGCCGGTAGGTGAAGAAGGCCAAGCCTCTCTGTTCGACTGCCAAGCTGATCTGCCGCAAATTGGTTATCAAAAAACTTATGGATGATGTTGAACCAGTTAATGTTAACATCTAATAAACCTCCCCCCTCAAAAGTTGTGGGGCCGTAAAGTTGAGGCGAAACAAACTTCTTGGGACCGCCAACATGGAGTCCGGTAAAGCGTGAAACAAGCAATCAAAAAAAGTACCTCCCCAAACAGACTGCCGTACTTTATTGTGGAGGGGTCATTTAAGCTGCTTTATTGTATTGTGAAGGGGTTGATTAACCTGATGTAAACATTAAACCCCTTCAAGAGCCACAGCACAGAAAATCAAACGACAGAACATGACTCATGTGGCCTCTCAGCGCGCGTACTTCGCAACGGCTCCAAACGCCGCGCACGGGCCTTCACTGGGGCTGTGTCGGCCAGGGAAGGCCTGAAGAGCAGCAATTCAAAGTTGACCGATGTCTACCGATGTCTGCACTGATCGGCTTCAGTTTCCGTGTCATGAATGCTATCTCGCTTGCTGTGCTCCACGGGTAACTATCTGAACATCACCTGTTCAGTTTGCAATTCACAAAACACAAGCGCAACGGGTCCAAATAGATGTCAATCCTGGATGGAAATTTAAGGACAATGCTACAGCTGCTACAACGATGTGTTAAATCATGTTAAGCTGGTGATGTTTCCAAATTTTTGCTCCAGAACCACCAGATTCCCTGCCTGGGAAGTGTGGGATTTGGCAGCAAGGTCCGGTTCTTTGAGCTCGGTCGCGGAGGAGAAGTTCGCATTGCTGGATCCGTATGGTCCAGGTGCATCACCACCTGCGTTGCTGACGCAGCAGTTGAATCACCGATCACAACAGCAATGGATTGGTTTAAGGGAAAATCTTAACCGGAAACCATAGATTTTCCCAACCAATCCATTGACAACAGCACCACATCAAGGAAACTCTGAATATCTCTGAATGTTTGTTTAATCTTGTTTAGCTCAGGTGCTGCAGTGATATCATCTGACAGTTGGCCTTAGCACACAAGCAATGCTACGGACTTCTGCTGGGACGGCCACAAGATTATTCAAGATTTAGTATCAAGATTTAGTATGACGAATAGAATTGAATAGAGTTGTTCATCGACATCTGGCTGCATCATGAACAAACTTTGTGCAAGAACGGAGAATTGGCAGGATTCAAACGTTATAATCAATGGATTGGTTTTGTTGGGAAAATCTTAACCGGAAACCATGATCTTTACCATCAAAATATAGGGGTTTCCTATGGTTTCCTGTAAATGTTCCCATCATCCAATTCAAACGTCAAAAATGCAGCTCCGTTGCCCTGCGTCTCCGCATGCCATCGCTGCCGAGCTATGCTGGCAATCTCCCTTGCAGCTGCATTAGGGTCTGTGTGCTTGGCAGCAATGTCCACTGCCTGCATCACAAAGGCTCATGGCTGAGAAGTTCCAGTACATATCAAATAGTATCAATTCATACCAATTCATATTGATCAGTCAACCTATCAAACGGCTTAACATGGCTTAACTATTATATTAGTGTTTTAACGATATACTGGTTCATTAGGTCTTCCAATGTGCATACGTTTTGGGTCCAATAAACGAATAGCTTTGCTGGCAGACAATGCTTCGATGCCGCACCTCCTGAGAATTGATTCGATCCCAGACACCATCGCTCCCAAGGATAAGCACTTTATCCTTGGGGCACAATGTCCTCTCCGAGACCTGCAGTGAACATAGTGAACATGTTTCCACGGTGAACTCAGGTTGGATGATTGTAGATGCGTAAGAGCAGATACGGCAGTAGATGCGGTGAAATATTTCGACCCTGCCCACTCTTTCATCTCCTCCATTCTCCTACGCCATATTCTTGTAACCACGTACTAGTATGATGATCCTGATATATGATGGACATGCATGCAAAATCATGGCAATAATCATTTTTGGATCCGTTGATTTAGTGACGCTGTCAACCATTCCTCTTGTCGTGGTCTTAGCGAATATGCAGATGTAAGCGCTGGTCGTGCCTCTGGCTGCGCAATAACAAACGGATGCATGGAGAGATCTCCTGCAAACTTGGACAAAATAAAACCACAAAATCACAGAGCTACATGCAATGGAAGCTTCATGAAGCTTCTGTCTCACTGATAGTTACTGTTAGTATCTGTTAGTTGTTTGCAACGGCTTCGTGTTGATGTCTCTATTTTCCTCACTTCTCGCGTTTTCACCATTCCTTTCTCGAAGCAGCTGTCTCATTCTAGCCCCTTGCTCTCCAAGAAGTCTCTCAGAGAAATCTCGAAAGCCTTCTTGGAAACGTGGCTCGCACAGTTCCTCAATCACACGCCCACAGGTACGTTCTTTGGCACATGCAGCGGGCCCAGGGAGGCCTCGCCGGCCTCCATTCTTGTCGCGTTCTTCACGCACTGCCTGACCAAAGGGACAAGCAAATTGACCGTCCCTGAAGATGCATTCAGCCAGGACAAGATTTCCAGCTGGTGCCAAGGGCACCTCAACATTTGCTTCGTTGCTGAGTGCAAGATCCAAATAGTCACTTGGAAGGACTCCCAGTGCCAAAGCGCACACAAGCCCAGCCATGCCACGAATCTGATGGTACAAAAAATCTCTTCCAGTGATGCGGAGCACAGCGAAGGCTTTGTTGGAAAGAAAATCTCTGAAACCAGTGGTAACGCCCGATCTGCATCGATATACACTGCGGATGCTTTTGGGATCAGAGGCGTCAGAAAAGCCTGGACTGAAGTTGTGGAATGACCTCGTGCCGGTCAATTTCTTTAACGAAGATCGCAACCGTTTATGTACATTCTGCAGCAGGTGCATCACAGACTGAGGCAACGCCAAGAGAGGGGCCCGAAAACCCTGAGCATCTGGTGGTCCCTCTGCACCATCCATCTTCCAGCACAGTGACAAAGCAAGGGCTGCATCTTTGAAAATGAGTATTGCAGAACCATCTTTGCGAGAGAATTGGACTTCCTGCAGTGAGCAATCTGTTGCCACAAATGCGTCGGCGCGATCTCTAGCTGATTGATCTGATTGTGGGCTGGGCTCGCAATGCTCGCCCTTCTGAAGGCTTCTCACCAAATCTTTCAATTCTTCGATACTTGTTCTCTCTGGCAAACCTGAGACCCACACCTGACAAGCCAAAGGATCCTTGGATGACATACCATCAGATTGCAACTTGCGCATGGCATGCTGCTCATCCGGCTGCAACAAATAGCAGTAAGGCACATAGTACCAATACTCACGTTTCTGGCACGCAAAACGAGCATTGAATTCCGGGTCTGAGACATCGAACACGTGAATCACTGAGATATCACGTGGAAGGTATTCTTTCAGTGTCTCAAAGCATTGCTTGAGGTCTTTAGATTGACAGCTGAATTCATGAGTGATGCGCAGGCACAGAGCACTCGCAAGAGCATGCACACCTTTGTCTGTTCGTGATGCTCGTGAGCAGATGTCCACGGAGCATCCAGAAACGGCGGGCTGTGCCAGTTCAGCTCGTCGGATAGCTTCTAGCAATGCACCCTCAACCGTGGGAAATCGTGCCTCTTCTGCCGCGGTATTAAACTGACTACCATAATAGTTTGTGCCGACATAACCGTAGAGAACCAAATATCTTCGACTTCGGCGCCGAACGCCGCTGCCACAGCCGTGTTCTCGCAAATGTCGGAACAGAGCATTGCGCGAGGAAAAGGAATCACCGCAACCGGAGCATTGCGTCACACATTTGATATCGCTACCATAACGACATAGTGTGAGTTGTATAGGCCTCTGAAGCTCATCGGAAGGTCCAACCATGGCAGTGTATTGAGTGGACTTGTGTTGCAAATGATGTGGATCTAAATGTTTGATCGAGTCACCTGTCAAATCATGTTAAGTCTGCCAAACAAGGACTGTGTGCAGGCAATCTGTGAATTTGTCATGTCAACGTATGGCAACAAATCAAGTTATATGAGCTGTTGAGACTTAAAAAAAAAAATCCGAGGAATTGGCACTGGCTCAAGCTTATTTGGGCCTCCGGAGACATGAAACTAAACTATGTTGAACTCTCCTATCGTCCAGAATGTCATGTCTGATGCATTTCTGACTCTTCCCAAGTCTTCAGGGTCTCCAGATGTCTCCAGGACATTCCAGGACTAAATCTCCAGCACTTCCCCAGCAATCCTAGTGAGCGTGTCACGCACAAGCCGCAGCGGCCAGTCTTGTCCCATACCCGCTCGGGCCCAACTCGTACAAGCACTGGTGGGCCAAAGCCTGAAACGTATCGTGATCAGTGAAAAGATGTGAAAAGGGGTTTGAACGAACTACAACGAGAATCTCTGTTTCCATCTCAGAACTTTCACAATTGCTCCACTAAACCACAAGAATCCAGTCCTTGTCGCATTGGGATGGCACTCTGGTGCACCAGGCCGCCCTGTGTCACAAGGCGTGAACACAACATCGTCTCTTGTCAGCCATGTCTATGTTGGTTCCAGGCCAAATGTTGAACTCTTACATAACATCCTTTTCGGTAATTTCGTCATTCCTGAGCACTAAAGTAATAATGTAAGATATGTAAGTGTATATTATGCATGTTTGTGATGTGCTAAGTTCAGCTCAATTCATCATATTTGATCTTACTATCTATAACATCAATAAATTCATTTGTGAAAGGAATCTCTCAATAAAACATTCACAAAACACACAACTCAACGTACAGTTGGACACATCTGGGTTTGTCTGATGGGTACCTCAAAATTTGATGATTTATAATTTTTTGTAAACATATTCACATGTGGGGGTTGCCCAAGTCATAGGGGTACCCAATAGTTGGATGGTTTAGTTCATGGAAAAACCCAAAAATCGATGATCACCGAGGGTACCCCACCTGCTGCACGATCCGTGTGCGCTCGTCCTCGCGCATGGGCCGCTGGTCACTGGAGAGGTCCACAGCTCTCAAGCCGGCGTGGGACTCGCCCTGCGTAGCATGGATCGAAAATAAGGTATAAATGTGTACATATTGAATTTTATACATCATTAGGTGTTATTATGTACTACTTATTTGATATACATTGAAATACCATGTAATCATGTAATGATATACTATGTAATTATTCGTTCATCAAATGCTATGAAATGCATGATGTTTCTGCAGGACTCCGATCAATCGTCTCTCGATTGGCAGGCACGTTGTAGTTTCTTCGATGAAAGTGTTGGCATATCTCGTGAAACCTGCATTCCAACTCACAAACTGTGGATGGAAAGCCTCATATTTACACTGGCGCTCCAGAATCCACTGATACGCAAAAATACGCAAAGACTTGGTGTGATATGATCACCGTTGCTCGTAACGAAGCAATATTAAGTAAGCCTAATGGTAAAAGTTTTCCTCCGCAATGAGTTGTCACGCGCGGCCATGCAGAGTCTCTGTGAATTCACCATGGTGAACCAGGTGAAGCAAATGGAAGCTTCATGAAACTTCAGAAAACTGGATGATGAGGGTTTAGGGAGCATATTGAATCAGCCAGGGCATAGACTTGCGATAAACAATCATACAAAATTATCAATATGACAGGTCTGGATGTTTGGCACCTCTCTGGAGCTACATCTTCCGAGCACTGCCCTGGAGTCACCAACGTTGGCCACAACCAGGCGGTCTCGATGTCGATAGCATGCAACAGCCTCCAAACAAGCAGGAAGTCAGCTGCAATTTGCAGCAGCAAGTTCTGTTTCAGTCACTGTACTGCACAGTTTCAATTCGTATCACTATGTTTGTGACTTTATTCATCTTGCATGTGCTTGAATGCCCAGATAAACGTGGAAGCAGCATGTTGGACTGGAGAAAGCACAAGATGATGCAATGATTAGTCTTGCCCAAAAAAAGCTGTTGGCCCTGCAAGAGGGCATACATGTCAATTCCTTCCACCCTGTTGATATGCGTCTTTTGTTCTTAGAAACATGACATTTCAGAAAAGTCACCATGAAAACAGCAGAGCCCAAGATCTAGTCTACTTCTCTGGATCAAACGTGTGGAGTCAGGTCCCGGCCGTCGTCCCGGAACGCTGAGCGTCAATGGTGTGGCTGCGCTCTATGCCACGCTGTGTTTCTGCGTAAGCATTCTCCATGGCCATTGCTGGCTTCGTGTAGAGTTCCTGCCCAGCAACTTTAAGAACATTAGCACGGGACTTGAACGTGGCTTGATGCGTTTCATGATGTTCCATTTATTGAAGCTATCTCACTGGCCGCCAAATCCGCCAATTTCTGAAGGGACTGGACATCGACGGCAGGTCTCTAAGCATGCCAATATCATTCAGCTCTTAGCAGCTCTTAGCAGCTCTTAGCAGCTCTTAGCATGGGGCCTTACTGGCATAAAGGTTCTTTGCCAGCTGCGATCGAGCAAACTCTGAGACTCGTTTGCCTCCCGAATCCATGCGGAATCTTTCGATCTACACGGGCAAGAAACATGAAACTATATGAAACTGCATCTTGAACTCGGCATCACTGGCACCTTGTTCACCGTGGCCATCCAGAACTGCCACCAAACTCTTTGTGCCATTTTCAGTGGCAATGTAGGAGTCCTCAGTTGCTTCGCATGCTTGCTAGTTGACTTCTGAAAGCTGGAAGATGCTGGAAGTACATGGGCACATATGGGCACGTTTGGTTGCTTGCAGCTCCACCCAAGTGCATAGAAGCCATGGTGGAAAGACCCACAGCCAGGCCTGGTTCTCGCCATTCTTTCCTTGATTCTGGAACGTGCAAACCTTGGCTCCAATGTTTAATCCATATGCCTTGAAGAGCTAACAGGGCCAACCTTTTTTGGCGTCAAAAGGCCTGTAGATCTTGTACTGCACGCAGGAACTGCTCAATGCTTAGGATGGGACTCCTATGTAGCAGCGAGGGCCCTCGGAGGCTACGTCCCTGGCAGTGTTCAGAATCACAGACAACCAACCGCAAAGTCTGCATCGCCAGGGAATCTCTCAAACACATCTAGAATTCCTAAAGGCACCTAAGTCAGCATTGTCAGCAAATTCCATTGATTCAAATTTTTATTTGACATTCTTAGCAAACATCTAGAAAGATCCAAAAAGCATTGAATCAAATTTCAGAAGTGTCGAAAAATCGATCCGTTGCCACATTCGTCCTGTGGGAAATCGGTGTCGGTGGCGGCATCAGCTCATCTCGCAGGCAATGGAACCCTTCCCCTCCAAACGTCCTGCAGTGAGCAAAGAGAAAGGATGAAATAAGCTGTCCTAAGATGTCCTTTGGTATAAAATGCATTAGAATGGCAGAAATATGTAGAAATGCAGAATCCTTATGAATCCTTATAGCATTTATAGCGAATGGCGAAGTCATGCGAAGTCAGGGGGAGATATCCAGAAGACAAGAAAATTGAAATTATGACAGCCAGACTGACAATAATTTGGGATGTTAGGGGGACAAGAAAGGGATATTGAGTCAAGCTGAAAGGAACAACTCCGGCGTCATCTCCTGCCCATGGCCATTCGCCCCCGCATGGTGCTGCAGGTGGGGCTGCGGGCAGCCGTGTCACAATTTCACTGCCTTTAAACCATGTTGGCCTTCAAAACGTGTCTGGCTAAGCCCTCACGGGTCAAACATCTTGTGGCCCAGATGGTTCGCTAAGAGTTGGCCTAAAAATGGCTACAACCTTTTTTCGGGGGCCGTTGCAGTGGCCATTTGCAAAGTGCAGTTCGAACTACACCAGCATTGTTCCAGCACTTGACACGGCGCGGCGAAATGGTCAAAGATTTGAAAGAATCAATCCATTGACACTTGCCGTAGTCTTGCCACACTATGCCACAGTCAGATATTCAGTTTCCGCAGCTTGGATCATTTGTCTCAAAAGATTCAAAAGTCCCAACAATGGGCTAAACTTGGTAAACCTATGTAAACCTGGTAAACGTGGTCGGCATCACATGTACTTCACACCCTTGGGGTCAAAGCCCGAAGGCAAGATGAGCTTCACGTGCCAAGTATCTGGCGCTCACCGTGTCACGAGGCGTCCGAAGGATGCAGTGGATCAGATCACATGTCGCGAAGGATGTCGCCTGCCTCCGCTTTTGTTGCTCGGCTCCAACCTCGGACACAGTCGGACACCGTCGGACACAGTCCATCTAAAATTCGAAGCGGATGTAACATGATGTAACATGATGTAACACTAGGTCAGTCTTTGTGAATCTGTTTTAAAATTCTTTAACTGTATCATACTGTATCATACTGTATCGGTTTAGCTCTGCATTGGAGCTTCTGTTTCCTTCTTCGGTTGGCATCAGCCAGCAGCTGAGTCCATGTCTTCACGTAGGCTTCGCCGCCCTGCGAAGACACGCCAAGAGCAGAGGCCCCTGCAGACACAGCGGAACAGAACAAGGAAAAATAGAGAACTTTGGCCTGGAATCTAACCCCCGCCCATCCCTACCCCGTATAATACCAAGGAAATCCAGGGATCTCAAGACGGGCCATTGAAATTGGATGAGTTTCCAGTTTCCTCAGGGGATTCCTGTCGACTTGGATTGTCAGAGTCTGGAGCGTCAGAGACCGTCTCAAAGCTCGGGGAAAGGTCGCGCTTTCGAATGATGCTCTGGCCAGAGAAAACAACGGGCCTTCGTGATCACTGGGCAGCTGCAAGTACAGCCATGCAGATCCTCTTCCGGGCCTTGCAACAGAAACTTGCCATGATCCATTGAGATATCATGAGATATCCATTGAGATACCCTCTGGTAATTTAACATAGCTATTGAAAATGGCCATAGAAATAGTGGATTTACCCATTAAAAATGGTGGATCTTTCCATAGTTTTTTGTAGGTTTACCATTGAGATATCCATAGCTTAGCTTAGCACAGCTGAGCTCTCGACGCATCCAAGGCGAAGTTGACAGATCCGCCTTTCGGAGCCTCGGTGCAGCCCTTGGGCTTTGCTTCGCCTCGCTGCAGCTGTACAGAGCCTGACAGCGGCCATGTTGAGCATTATATAACGTAATATATTATATGTATATATATATATATATTATGTATAACATATATCATCATATATCTTATATCAATAATATAAATATAATATATAGCATATATTATATAATATGTATTATGTGTACAGCACTGCCGAGCGCAGTTGAGCATCGATCCATCCGATCCATCGGCGTCTTGGCCTGGCAGCTTCCCTGGCGATTGACCCATGGCCTGCGACAACTGCGCTGACAGCATCCAACTGTTGCGCAACAATTCACTGATCTTCACTGTGTACAATTGCATACAATACATATGGGTTTGTCTGAAAATAGTGTACTCCTACACCCAATGGTTAATGATCATTATCCCTACTAAATGGCTATAATTGGGAATATACTCTATTTTCAGACAAACCCATATTTTACTTTGGACAGAGATGTTCCACAGCGTTGCATCGAAATCAGATCTGAGTCCATCTTGTCAAATTCTGAGCGGCTGGCGCAAAAGCTTTGAACACGAACGACAAGGCTTGATCGGGCTTGATACCCCTATATTGTGTTGTTTCTTTTCAAACTTTTAGCTAGAAAAAAAACAAAATGCAAGCTGCTGGGTCGTATCAATATCTTCACTGATTAGTAAGGTCCATCCAGGCCATCAAGCTGCTGTCCATAGCTTTCCTGAGAAAGTATCACTGCGCAGTAGCCTGGTTGACACCTTTCAGACGCCCCTGTGGGCCGTTTCTTGTCTTTGAAATGGCTGGCACTGCGGATGCGAATCAGGGTGGTAGAGCATGGCAGTGCTGGCCTCATTTTTTTGTGCCCGATGCTGGCAAAAGAACAAAACGGCATATGATATATATATATATATATATATTATATATATATATATTATATATATCATATATATATATTATATTATATTATATATATATATATTATATATATCATATGCTTATATTATATATATATATTATATATATATTTGTCTATTTATCTATTTATCATACCAGTATCATGTCATCCTTGGAAGACACACGGCAAACGGTGGTCATCTGGCAGATTCGAGAGTTCAGAACATGCACCAGGTTGGATTTACCTGAGTCTCGATGGTCTGTGCAATCTCTGCCTGCGGGGGCTGACCCTGACACCAAGACATTAAGGACAAGTAGACATCTGGTTGGTGGTTTCTAGTTTCAACCCCTCTGAAAAATAATGGAGTTCGTCAGTTGGGACGATAAGATTCCCAATTAATATGGAAAGTCATTCAAAATTCCATGGTTCCAGTCACCACCAGCCAGTTATTGTCCGAGGAGTCAGCCTGGAGGTCGGGGGTGCCAGCGGCGCCAGCCTCTCCTGGCCGATCACAGGGTGCAAAAAAAAAACACTGCGGCCCTTTTTTTGAAAAGCCCAGCATCAGAAAAGTACGTTTACTCAGTTTACTCAGTTTGGCAAGCTTTTTCTGAACATTTTTCTGAACATGATGAACGAAAAATTAAGGCAAACACCAGAGACTGCAGACATGTTCCTCGTTGCAGGGTGATGTTTGTAGTCCATTTGTCCAGAGATGTCCAGCTCATCTGATTTTGGAAACTGCCACAGGCCCGGGCTCACTGGGCCCGGCCCAAAGAGTCAAAAGCCCAAAATCCAAACTTCGAGCCACAGACTGGACAGACATGGACAGACTGGGTAAATGAGGGTAAATGGCAAGGCATTCCATTTGCCATGCAAAATGGTCGTCCAATGTCGTACATGTAAGCATTGTAAGCCAATACACTCAAAGGCCTTTCGCGAATTCATGTGTCACTATGAAGGCCGCATAGGCCACCTACGTGTACAGTATATTTGTAGGAAACAACATGGGCGCACAATGAGATCTAAAAATGTCCCATGCAGCCAGAACCCTCTCGACCTTGTCTCTTCCGTCATGTGTTTTGCTGCAGGGACACCTTGCAGATTCCTCCAAACACACAACAGCTTCATGAGTGGCAATCCGTGAGTGGATTTATCCCGTGCAATGGAGCCAACTGCTGAGCCAAATCTCTTTTGCGACTCAAAGCTCGGCTCTCCCACTGACATGGCACACAGTCAGCACATGTCAGCACTTCACGGCAAATTCATGAAAAAACTTGCAAAAACAACGTTTTAATGTACACGATTGTGAGATATTGTGATCATACTTCTGTCAATTCGTTCGTATTCACTTGCTCTTAATTCCATCAAGCAAATTCTTATGGTGGTGCCACTCTTGCCATGGTGCACGACCCTGTGCTTGGTGAGAAAGCACAAACCTTGCATCACTTCCTGCCTGTGTGGGAGTTTACTGGAAACTACTCCAGTGTCATTCAGCATCTATATAATCTAATCCCCACAGAAGTACAAACTTGAAACCGTATCAAGCATGTTTGATTCCTGACTTTTCAATACACCATGTTCACTTGTTGGGAGGTACGATCGTATCAATTCCACATGGAGAAAACACAGACATGGAACTGTTGAACTTTATCTTGGCAAAGCATATGTAAAGGGTTGAAGAATGCTGTCTCTGAATGCAAATTTTAATGACTGTGTTCTTGGAGCTTTCCATCTGTAAACACACACCTCACTGGCAGAATTTGAGCTTCCGCTGCCAAACTTGAATCACATTGAGCACATGTCGAGCACAGCTTTGTGGAGATGCCTCTACCATGATCCAAGTTGTGCTCCCCTGGTGCTGTTCAGGGCCCTGCGGGTGAAACTGTGAGACGAAGTGATGTCATGATGTCCCCCCAAGGCTTCAAGCCTGTCTTTCTCTCATGAAACAAATTGTCGGACAAGGGTGGAAACCCAGGCTTGGATGCAAAGGGCTCATCCATACAATTTTAACATCAAGAAGTAGATGATGATCACCATGCCGAGCACCTCAGCACGAAAAGCATAATGCTATCTCTATTTATGTATATCATATATACAGTACGCAATTAGTCATGCATCGTAATGCATACATACAATTATAGTGTATATATAAGTTTAATTATATAACACAACTTATAACGCCTCTTTGTTTCTAGAAGTGATCATGCATGGCTCGTGCTCTCAATGGACCACTCTTCAACACGGAACATCGGAACAAGTTCCTGACACTGCCAGAGACAGCTCCAACAACCTCAGCACCAAAAAAGGAGAGCGGGGAGAGCTGATATGATGATTAAAGAATGATTAAAGTAAATAGATGTTAAATAGTATAGCCGTATAGCCCTCTTCTATGGGTGTGCAAGTGTCTCGTTTAAAGCGGGTGCACTTTGAGAGCAAAGTGGACCCTCTCTGCAGCTCCAGACCCTGAGAGTACGATCGTTGGCAGCTTGACGAATCACTTCCCAATCCGTGCGCATGATGAGACCAGCCTCAAGAGCTCCATGCGGCGCTCCATGCGGCGCTCCATGCCATGGCACATTGACATACTTCACATGACTGACATCAGTGGTGGATGTTTCGTTGCGCATTCTGACCCCCAAGAATCTGGACAACAAATTTAAGTGGAAAACACATTGAAAGAGGATGAAAGAGGCATGCTTCGGTATTTTCATAGAGTCCTCAATATGATGTCATAGACTGCAACTGCTTATGCTCCAAGAATGCTGCATATCATGTCACGAAATATTCAATGCCCACCAATCCTGGGCTATTGGCATATGCCATCCGGTGTCCTCTGTAAGATTCAGCCACAATGTTGAACACATACCTCTCGCGGACAAGGCTGGAAGATGTCAGAAACTGCCACAGATGCCTTGAATCCGGTGCCAAACGTGTGCCTTTTGTCCGTGATGACACCGTCGATGGTGGCATTGCACTTTCCATTGCTACACTGATCCGCAGGGATCTCAGTGGCTCGGCAGTTCGCAAAGTCGTCCAGAGAGGCACAATGTTCAAAGCTCGAAGCACAATCAAAAACGTACACACACACAGAGAACAAAGTCACGCATATTTATTTCTTCAGTAAACTTACAAAATTAGGATAATATGAATGTTATTCTTAATTACTCAGGAATATTTGATGCCCTCGACTTCAAAGTGTGGTTGAAGTTGTGCCTCTGATGGAAGCAGTCTCAACTTACTACTAGCAGTCCCCAACTTTTTTCACAGCTCTCGAGCACTCTTAGCTCATGACTATTGAGTACTGACGGTCTGTGTTATTTTGCAAGCCACAAACCTTGGAACAAATATGTCTCGGGTCCAAAAAAATCACACGCGGCACGGGACATGAGATTTTTCAGCTTCCCAAGATGCCAACTGTGTTCATGATCTTGTCCGGCCGCAGGAAGACTGCCATGTTCGTACGGTTGTCCTGCCATCAACAGCTGGCCTGAAGTAGAAATGGAGCTCCCTACGATCATCTCAAGCGGTTTCCCTGTTCCATCGGGGGCAAATAATGGCAAATATTATATATATATTATATTATAATTATATATAATATTATATTATATATATAATATTGTATATAATATTATTTATATATATATAATATTGTATATATACATAATATATATATATATATTGGATATAATGGATATCAGCTGACCCCGTGATCCACCCACAGTCCGACTCCAATAGCATGGAGGAGTAGACCCAGTACTGCTTGGCATCGGAAATGCCTCGTTTCTGCCAGCGGTTGAATCCGGGGTTTAACCAGTTCAACCAGAAAAGTGCAGATTGCACACAATACCGTAAAGTTTAAGATAGATTACAGTAGCCATGCATTACAGCAAACGTCTACATCGGTGTCACTGTAAAATTGCAAGTGCTGCTCTAGCTCCACCCGGAACACTCGGGAGGTCAAATTTGTGAACATCCGCCAGAGCGAACACTGCAACGTGTCGACAGGACTGGGTGCGTCACCTGGTGGAACAAAGCCAGAGGCATCCCAGGAGATCTGAACTTGCAACTCTGACAGCTGCCTGCAATACAGCTGAGGGTCAACTAACCCACAAGTAGTATCAAGCATTGCTTCTCAAAGATATTCAAAGGTTCAGATGGTTAAGTAAAACGAGTAAGGATAATAAAGGTTAAAAACTTCTCAGTCTCAGAAGGTCTCAGATATATGTTTGATTCAAACTGTTTGATCATGTTTGATATTTCATGAATTTTCATGATATAGTCATAGTATGATCTGTCGATATATTTCGGTAGGGTCGAAACGTCGTTAAACATGTCAAAACGCTGGTTTTTAGATCAAGCTGTCGCAGGCGACGTCACCTTGCCGTGAGGCGGCCATTTGCCCCAGGTCGGGGGAAGGCACCGATATCTGCCAGGACCGTGAGGGTGTAAGCCTCAGCGAGGCAACAAAGGTTGGATCAATGAGAACAACGTTTAACATTAACAGCATTGACATGATCAGAAAAATAAGTCATGGTGTATTAATGGTGATGAATAGTGTATTAATGGTGATTAATGGTGATTAATGGTGATTAAGTCATAAGATGTCATAAGTCATAAAATCAAGAAATTCATCAATGGTTGATTGTGATGGATCATGTGAATTGTGCAAAATTTTGCTGTGCTAAAGAGACCCTTTGAGCTGGCTTTTACTACACGATGTGTCAGCAAAATACGACTGGGTCTGATGGACATCCGAATTTCGGCAAGGAACGGAGTTCTCTGGAGCGTAGACCGAGATGAAGTACCTGACTCTGCCGAACTGCGCAGGCTGCAGAACTGGACAGAAGTGGATAGCTATTCTGCATTCCTGGTGGCATGGGGCACTTCGTAGAAGAGAGAGGCACTTCAAAGAACGTTGGAGACCCATCGCGACTGCCATCGATCTCAGACCTCACGAACAGGACACCCGCAGAAGTCCATGGTGTCAAATTGTCACGCCGCAGTTGAACTTGTCACACCCCGAGCCAAGCACATAAAGTGGGTCCATGTGCATTGAGATGCCTTTCATGCGATTCTTTTCGGTTGACCACATTGTGAAAATAATTCCGAGCCTTCCTAAGTACCTGCCTAAGTGCTTTCTCAGCTCTGTTGGTCGGAAGGCTATGAGGATGAAACGGAACTAGTGAATGTAAGTGTTCATCGTCAGCAGCACTCTCCAAAAGCATGATAGCAATGCAGCAAGCAAAGTTTGGTCAGGGGGCCTCTCTTTTTTCAAAGCCTTCTCTCACGTCAATACAACCTCATTCTTTTGCATCTGCATGAGAGTGGTGCTACAAATGCTGCTTTGAGATGTTTTTTGAGAACATGGGGCTACACATTTCAGTGCTTCCCCAAGCTTCAGGCTATATGGGTTTGGGTAGCATCTGCGAGTCTTCCGTACCTTGGCTTTCTCACTTCTATAAGCAGAGCCAATGTTGGCATACCCATATTTCCAAACTGTGGAACTGTGGACTCGATGGTCAATTTGAAGCCACGTGTGTCTGGGATTTTTTTCATTTCTGGGTCAGAATTTTTCAGATCCCCAAAACTTCATGGGCAAAGCACCAAGCTTAGAACTGCAGCGGCACAGCTCCAGGTCGTGACGACTGGCGTGACTGACGCTAAGCGCCAAACAAAGAGATAGACAACACCCCGGCACGGCTCCAGGTTGATGATCAACTGGCGGCAGGCGATGCATCCATTTCCATGTCCCAAACGAGTTCTGGTTGGTGGTTGACCTACCGAACCCGAAAAATCTGAGTTAGTGAAAATCAGTTGGGATGATGAGATTCCCAATATATATGGCAAAATAAAAAATGTTCCAAACCACCAACCAGAGTTGATAGATGTTGGTACTATCTGCCACCTGTTGTTCAGATGAAACACGTCGACTGGCCTTTCTGTACTGGTCGGGTTGATTCCTTGGGGTGATAAGCACAAGTCGCCAAGATCAGCTGGAACTTCAAATCTGTAGATCGAACCAGTCGCACTCTCTCGAACATTCTCTACCTGGGTATCCACACATGACCGTGACATTGTTTGTGTTCTGGTAGAACCACCTGCCATTGCACCAATGTGAGCAAGCTATTGGGCCACAGAAATCTAGACATTCCAAATGAATCTAGCAAGCAGCACAAGTGCGTCTGGTTGAAGCGAATGTCTCTGTAGACAGGCTCCCCATCACGAATCTCCAACGGTAGTGGACTGACCTTCAAGCGAATTCATGGCCAGGTCTGCTTCTCAAACAGAGCATGTAGATGCGTGAAGTGACCAGCTACTAGGATCAGAACGTGGGTCAAAGCCTGCTTCCATATGCTGTCTTGACATGCAAACATGTTAGAGCAATGAGTCAGATTGCCATGCTGTAGGAATACGCATTATTTCGGCATGAATCCTTTCATCCGCGAGTCCAGTTCAATGCTATTTCATTGAACAGGTGACACTTCCGCACAAGGACAACTCTGTGCGAAGATTGAATTTGCTGCAGCCATTTAGAATGTTAGAACAGGGAAACTGCGGAAACGCAAAGCCATCGACAAAATTCCTTTTCTCTGCTGAAACAGGTTCTGAAGAGTCGCAATCACGACGAACACATACAAACACCCAGAGGTGCACTCAGCGCGTACAATCAGAAGACCACTTCTCGGCAATTGCATTGATTGCCTTGAGGCAATTCCACCCTGGAGGCACCTGACTTGGAATAGCAAGGACATCGATTTGATTGGGGGTGTAGAATAGTTTTTGTTTTCTTTTTGCCTCAGGTTTTGGATTTTTTTGGGGTTTTCTTTCCCGGTACCATTTGCCTTGTATTTGCAACAGTTTAGAACTAGAACCTGTCATTTTGCATGGTATTTGCTACATTTTGGCATGGTCACTTTGCATTTTGTATGGTATTTGCTACATTTGGCCACGTTTGCCTTCCATTTTGCATGATATTTGTCATATTTTGGCATTTCAACCTCTCGTTTGCATGGTATTTGCTACATTTTGGTGCTTCAAACGTTCATGTGGGTCTCTTGAGGGTTCTTTATAGGCTTTCATTTAGGGTTTCATTTAGGGTTTCATTTGGGGTTATCGGTTTTATTTAGGGCTTCATTTGGGGTTTCATTTAGGGTTGCATTTAGTGTTTCTTTAGGGTTTCATTTAGGGTTTCATTTAGGGTTTATTTAGGGTTTCAGTTTGGGTTTCATTTAGGGTCTCATTTAAGGTTTCTTTAGGGTTTCATTTAGAGTTTCGTTAGGACTTCTCTAGGATTTCATTTAGGGTTTCTGTAGGGTTTCATTTAAGTTTTCTTTAGGGTTTCATTCCATGGTTTCTTATCAGGATTTTTTTTCGCGATTTCTAAACGTTCCAGTGGGTTCCTTTAGGGTTTCATTTAGGGTTTCATTTAGGGTGTCTTTAGGGTTTCGTTTAGGGTTTCATTTAGGGTTTCATTTAGGGTTTCTTTAGGGTTTCATTTAGGGTCTCATTTACGGTGTCTTTAGGGTTTCATTTAGAGTTTCTTTAGGGTTTCATTTAAGGTTTCTTTAGGGTTTCAATTTAGGGTTTCAATTTAGGGTTTCATTCAGGAGTTCATTTAAGCTTTCTTTAGGGTTTCATTCCAGGGTTTCTTATCAAGATTTTTTTCACGATTTCTAAACGTTCAAGTGGGTTCCTTTAGGGTTCCTTTAGGGTTTCATTTAGGGTGTCATTTAGGGTTTCTTTAGGGTTTCATTTAGGGTTTCATTTAGGGTTTCATTTAGGGTTTCAATTTAGGTTTTCATTTAGGGTTTCATTTAGGGTTTCTTTAGGGTGTCAATTTAGGGTTTCAGCTAAGGTGTCAGTTAAGGTATCATTTAGTTTTTTTTCAGTGTTGTTTAGGGGTTTTTTGGGATGTCATTTAGGGTGGCATTTGAAGTTTCTTTAGGGTTTCATTTATGGTTTTTTTAGGATTAATTTATGGTTTTTGTTTGGGTTCATTTATGGTTTCTTTAGGGTTCATTTAGGGCTTCATGTAGGGTTTTTTATCATGATTTCTTTAGGGTTTCTTTGGGTTTCACCTAGGGTCTCTAGGGTTTCATTTAGGATACAAACAGAACAGAATAAAGCAAAAGAAAATGAAAAACAAAGAGACAGTAAAGACAGGAAGCAAAGAAGCAAAGGAGCAGGAAGTGGAGTAGCACAAACACATGACTGAATAAAAGAAAAAGTATAGTAGAAGTAGAAAGGCGCAGAAATGCAAAAGCAGAGAAGCAGGGAAAACAGAGAAGCAGAAAAGCAAAGAAGCAGGAAAAGCAAAAAGCAGAAAAGCAGAGAAGCAGGAAAAGCAAAAAGCAGAAAAGCAGAGAAGCAGAAAAGCAAAGAAGCAGGAAAAGCAAAAAGCAGAAAAGCAGAGAAGCAGGAAAAGCAAAAAGCAGAAAAGCAGAGAAGCAGGAAAAGCAGGAAAAGCAGGAAAAGCAGGAAAAGCAGAGAAGCAGGGAAAGCAAAAAGCAGAGAAGCAGAGAAGCAGGGAAAGCAAAAAGCAGAGAAGCAGGAAAAGCAGAGAAGCAGAAAAGCAGAAAATCAGAGAAACAGGAAAGCATAGAACCAGGACCACCCCCAAAAAAAAAAGAAACTTCCGCGAAAAAAAAAATAGCCCTCCTTTGATTGGAAGTAGTTCGAAGCGTCAGCATGGAGGACAGAGGATTCCGCAAAGTGCACCGCAAGGATGAAAGTGCCGCAAGGGCAGTGTCTTGCAGAGTACTGCAGATCAACATATCAATTCAGACAAGGCACTTTCCAGTTTGGCAAAGCCTCAGATGTTCGGGAAGGGGAAGTGCCAAGACTATCACTAAATTGGCGGCCTTCATAATCAGATAAATGAGGGACCAACTGTCCACAGTACACAAGACTTGCACACTTTGACTGAAATGCAGGAGCATGCAGAAGCTTTGACCTAACTCAGAAGCTGGTACAAAGCGTGGCTTAAAGTCTGGGATGCTGGCTGAGCAAGCGACAGTTGCATCTGGTTGGCCACAAATGGTCACCACGTTTTGCCACAGGTCGCTGCATGCGGCACTGCATCCTCTGACTTGACCACTTGACCACACGGATCAGTGTAGCAAGAAATCTGCCAAGGAATTGGCGCGTAACAGTGCCAAGTCATTGTTCTTGAACAAATGCCGTTGCAACTTCAGTAAAGCATCTGGCTCACAATGATGTACTGTGCCCTAAATTCAGAATTCAATGCAAGTAGTGATTCACAAGCCTCTCCCTCTCTCTCTCTCTCTCTCTCTTTGTGTAGACACTCCTGCTCGCACCAACTGCCATGCAGTATATGCAGCATACTATGGCTCCTTCTGTATTCTCAGCAGGCCGGTGACAATGAGTGTTGCCGAATGCCTTCACCGCAGCCTCCTCAGTCAGATTTGCTCAAAACCCGCACCAAGCATGTCATCATGGCATCCAAAGATATGTGTCACATTTGAATGGGCAAAAGTCGCCTCGCAGGGTGATGCTGCCACACTTTCAAATGCCGCCGCCAGCGCAACACATCTCAATCCCCTCGACGCCATCATTGGCCCTCTACTTTAGAGAGCTGTTGAGCTTAAGCCAAAAGGTGCCAAGTGGTACAGTGACACAAACCACCATATTGAGCACGGACCCACCTGATCTCTGTTCCTGATGCCCGATGTGGCTGCCTCCATACTTGTTGCGGCCAAGAAGCTGTCTCAGCTGACTCATGGGTACAAACTCCTGACAAATCCTGGCAGACTCAAGCGATGGCAAGGAAGTTCATTGTGATTCATGCTTACTTACTTACTCATATTAATATCAACCCTCAGCATCATCTCAACTGCCTTGCGGTGCCTTGCTGTGCCTTGCTATGCCTTGCTATTCACCAGCCTGAGAGACTGCCAAATGGAGAAGCAACACAGCACCTGCAGTCACACGATATCACATGTGAATGTTCGTGAGCACTGCCGGAGAGTCGGAGTACACTACATGTTTGCACATCCCAAGCCTCCAAGGACCTTCATGCTCGGCGTCCAACTTTGGGAAGAATTACTGTTCAAAGATATGTCTTGTTGCAAAGATGAACTGTACCGTTTCGGGATAGTACATGTTAGGACATGTTGAAACAGTTTTTTTGTGCATATGCATGTTTGCTGTTTTGCCTGCTGCTTTTGGTTGAAACTCTCTGGTGAAGTCTCTGTGCATCTCTTCTTTGAAACGGTTTGAGCCGACTCACCAGGGCACAAGTCTGGTCCCTCTTGGGGTACTCCCTCGTTCTCCCGCAAAAACACGAAAACCACAACCTTCATAGGTATGTATGTACAGCATATTAATATGTATATATATATATATATATGCATGTCACATATATATATACATATCATGTATATGTATATATACTTATCATGTATATGTATATATACATATCATGTATATATAATAACATGTATGCATATATGATATAGTATGTGTGTATATATTATATATTATGTATGTATGTATATATATACACATATCATGTATGTATAGTATATTATGCATGTATGCATGTATGCATGTATGCATGTATGCACGTATACGTATGCACGTATGCACGTATGCACGTATGCACGTATGCACGTATGCACGTATGCACGTATGCACGTATGCACGTATGCACGTATGCACGTATGCACGTATGCACGTATGCACGTATGCACGTATGCACGTATGCACGTATGCACGTATGCACGTATGTACGTATGTACGTATGTACGTATGTACGTATGTACGTATGTACGTATGTACGTATGTACGTATGTACGTATGTACGTATGTACGTATGTACGTATGTATGTATGTATGTATGTATGTATGTATGTATGTATGTATGTATGTATGTATGTATGTATATACACAGATATACATATCATGTGTATATGTGTATATATATATAAAGTAATTTATGTATAGTATATATATAATGTGTGTATATATATATGTATATATATATATATATTATATATAGATATAATGCATATATACATATATTAAGTGTATATGTATATATACGTCAGTGTATATGATACTCAAGAAATGTTGAATTGAAAGCATTAGTATTCCATACATATATACGAAGGGAAGACTTTGCCAACACCCGTGGCAACATCCCTAGCACCGGACCCACATCTGCGAACAGAATTCTCTTTGGTTTTTGGGTCACTCTGCTCCAGCTGCCATCTTGGCCTGTTTGGCCCGCTGCTCCTTATTTTCAACATGTCACAACGACACGGTGGTGACATGTTACTTGCAACTTCAGCTGATGGTACAGCTGTCCTCCTGAAGTCTCTTCAGAAGATCTGGCTTTCTCATCAAGTAGTCAGTCCAAGAACTTCGCCAATGTGAGTTTACCTTCACTGAAGGCACAAACCTTTGACTCGCTTTGATTCGCAAATTCCGCGGAAAGTCACAGCAGCTCCAGGGCATCATATCAAGTAGAATTAATTATGCACTTTTACAGAGGTTCTCATATTTTATGATAGTTTCAAATGATATCCATCTCTTTCTTGCCTGCATATCAGTCATCTGATTGTCCATGATGGAGGACAAAATCGCTGCTCCCAAAGCCACGGCAGTCTCTGGGTCGATGCGGGCGCTGGTAGGCTGAACACCGGTGACCAACGACAGGATCTCGCGCACGGCTGGGTTCCTGTGCTTGGCGAATCAACCACTGATGGGTCGGTTCACCCTGGCTGCTGTTCAGTCCCCCACGAAATATTATATTTTGGGGTGTTCACCCATACCCGGCCCTTGGAAGATGGTACTTCCAGTTAACCATACATAGCAAATACGTAGTAAATGACCCTGTGCCAAGTACTCAAAATATCTCAAAATAATTCACCTCCATTGCAGCTGCCCAAATTCACTAGCAATGATTCGATTCTGTGGATTTCTGGCTTCTCCTTTTTCATCCCTCTACTCAACCTTTGTGGTCTTGCAACCAGTGCAAGAAAGGACAACACATTCTTAGCCACAAGACCGGTAGAGATACTCAACTCAAAGATAGAAGCTGCATGATACATTCCCAAGCATCCAGGTCGCAGCACCAATGAGCAGAATTTCATCAACCATAATCTCAGCATCATCCTGGACGATGACTCAACACGAGTTTCTGTCTGAATAAAGGGAGCATGTCTCTATGTGCACGGATGGTATGTACCTTGGTGATCTCTCGTCTGTGTCAGCCTCGACGTCGCCCTTTTGGTGCTTGGACCGCAGTTGTTTGCTTCTGGTGCGGAGGTCCCTTTCGGTCATTGGCCTCTCCATGGTTGGGATCAAGCACGTCATGCGGCAGCTTTTCCAAACAATTTACATACGAAGGCTTACCTCCAGAGGTTCTACAAACAATTAACTATGATAATTATATGTAATATTACATTACCATGATGTTTAATCATGTATCTCAAGAGCGCTGTTGTTTGACGCTGCTTGGTGCCTTTTGGTCTTCCTTTTGCTCTTCTCGGCAACAAGCATGGCTTCATCCGCCAAGGTTTCAAACGGAAGGCGTAGGTTGGAACCATAGGCCGCTTCTCGAATCGTTTCCAACATCCGCTTCAGGACGTCCAAGCATATAACCCGGAAGTCATCTTGAGTAATGGTTGCCTGTCTGCAAGAAAGACACGGAACAAATGTTGCCAAAACAAGCAGAACCTGTGCACATTGAGCCCTGTTCAGGCGTGTTTGCCTTGAGTCCTAACAACTGCCTTGAAAGGGCCAAAGGAGATCTCGGATGAGTCTGAACTGCTCAATTTCTCCTTTGCCTTAGCAAGATTCTCTTTCTCCGTCCAGTGTGGCAAGAGCGCGTGTGCATTCATGTTGCACTGTTGGTCTTGTGTCCCTGTGTTGTGCTTTGGGTGTTTAATATATGACGCTTCACTTTTGAATACTTTTGCAAGGCGCTGGCCTTGCGTGCAACCTGTCTGAGTTCATCTTGACTTTGTTTGGACAGCGGCCATTTCTTCAATCGCATCATCTCAGGTTTCCTTACATGGTGCGTTAAGAGATATGCAACACGAGATCAAATCACACCAGGTGGGTCACATAAAACTGTATCCACGAGGACAAGCATGACAAGCATCGTTCAATTGAGCAATCATAAGCAGACCAAAAGCACATCATAGGTGACTAATTGAGAAGAGTTTCATCATCTTGAGGCACCATGCTACTAAGGCATTGTCGAAGTCATTTCCACCGAGCCGTTCATCACCACTGGTGAAAAGCATGTCAAGTTGGTCCCACTCCACCCACTTGCGAACGATACACGCATCAAACGTTCCTCCTCCCAAGTCCGCAACCAAGATGTGCTTGGCAGTCGGATCCTCGATCTTTCTCATGGTTTCCTCGCCAGGAAAACCAGGATGCAGCTCTCAAGGTACAATGCCGCCAAAAGGAATTGACTTAGGAATTGACCCTGGACGGATTCTCCCAACACCGTGCAATGTCACAGATGTTTTTGATATGTTTTCTTATGATATATATATATATATATATTTATTCAACCATACCATATGTATATATATATCTCTCTCTCTGCTATCCAATGCTATATTATAAAATGTTATATGACATTAGATTATACTACATATCAAAAAAAATGTTATATATTATAGTGTGGTATACTATATTGATTTTTTGTGCTGTATTAAAGTATACTATGTTAGATATATATATATATAATATTATATTATATTATATTTTATTATATTATATTATATTATATTATATTATTATATTTAACATTCAACATACCATATATAATTTAAAATATTAAATATACTGTACAAATAATGTAAAATACAATTTATGGTATAGAAGTCTTAAAAAAAAAAAAAACACTATAAATTAATAAATCTTAAAATACATAATATATAGGATATGATTTATATGATGCAAAGAAAATAAAAATATAATTAGTACACATTGTATACCTATTAAATACACCATGTATATTATTTATGATATAGTTAATATAAAGATATATATATTTTTTAAAAAAAAAGTATGTGTAATATATAGTATATTTACATCTAAATATAGTATATTTAAATATATTAAATGACTGCAAATAGTATAGTATATAGATATAGTAAAAAAAAACATTCGCATGTAATAAAACACAATTAAATTCAATATAACATATTACAGTATCATAACAATTTTAAGCATAAGCAAATTATTTTGCTGAAAACTATATCAAATGGAAAAGGAAAAATATAACATCATAAAATACATAGCAAAAATATTATGTAATTTAGTTCAAATAATTTATATCTATATATATATACACATATGATTAAAAAGTAAAAATATATTGTGCATATACCCATATATATATATATTGGAAATTAAATCGTGTCTAAACATAACACTGTATCTTGAATACTATATACTATGTATGGTATATTATGTATAATACACTATTTGTCATATTTTGTATTAAATGTTATATATCATATCTGTCATGTCTTACATTATTTTGTATTATGTTGAAAATATGAATGAAATGATATATTAAAATACATGTCATTTTACATATATATATATGTTAACAATATTGGAATATGTTGAGATGCTGTTCGGGTTCGTTCCTTGGCACCCCTTATCTCGCATCAAGATGATGATGCCTCCAGTTTCTTGCTCTGTGGATTCATTTCCGAGGCGCTTTGAATGCACTCAGCTCTTCAGCAGAAGCTGAATATGGATTCTCCTCCAGTCCTTACAAAGAGAAACGTGAAACCCATCTCAAGTAGTCTGGAACTTACCCTCTGTCAGAGCAATAGTAAAACTAAAAGCTGACTGGATTGCCCCCCAAAAACCATCGAAGAACGGCCACCTGTCCAGAAATATTCGCTTGCCACCAGGTGGCTCAAGCGATCTTCTTTAAGCTCCA